AGAAGCAGAATGCAGACTGTGATTGGACGGAGTGGAGGATGGATGGAGCAGAGGTGGTTGGAAAGTGGAGCGGATATCAATATCGGAGCGGTCAGATCAGGTATATGACATGATGTCCAACTTGGATCGATCATGACTGACTGGGCCAATCGTCAGCCAACATCTATGTGGAGCGGCAGCATGGGAAAGTGGGTCGGAGAGGATCAGAAAGATAGGGGATACTAGCTCAGTAGTGATCGGCTTCCTACAATGCTCAAGCTAACCCTCATAACCTCTGACCAGTATTCACCATGAAACAGCTTCATCACCAAAATTCTCGAAATCTGATGCTGCCTTATTTTGACAAGTTCTCGCACCACAATCGTATGGGTGATGACGTGTCAAGTTCATACTCTGTCAGCACAACAAGAAGTTTGTGAGATGCACAGTAGTTAATCTGTGAGCGTGTAAGGTTGCCATCAGTATGATACACTTCAGATAAGTTCAGATCATCTGCATGTCTCCCAGACATGTTCGGACCTCATGTTCACCTATACAAGTGCCGACCCATTTTGTTCATAGATTGAGCAGTGCTTTCAAGTATCGAGCTGTATGTAAGTATATAGCAAACTAGTTAAAGTGTGCCATATCCTTCCTGAGCAAATATATTATCATCCAGCTCTTTGTCCAAGTCTGCAATCACTGCATCTGGATCGTCTACCTCAGGCTTGTCTTCATCCACCTCTACATCTGAATCATTCTCCTCTTCATCTTGATGTCCCTCTCCCTCTTCTAGATCATCCTCTCCACCCTCAAAGTCTAAATCAATGATATCATCGTCAATGACATTGGGTGCGTCATCAGACAGCAAGAGCTCATCCCACTCTCGCATCGCCTTGTGACCCACACCACCACCGTGGAAATGCATAAACATATCATGGTCTATGAACCTGTCGGTTTGAGTCAGCATAAGGTGTCATGTAGAATAAATAAAAATAAAACATACATATTGACATAAAAATACATCCAATCTTCATCCCCCTCTTCCACACGACAAGTGAATGATGGCCCGAGGTATTTCTCTGTGCGACTGTAAGCATATGCAGGGATTAGATGCACACCGCGAATAACTTGGTCAGGATCAATGAATCTGAAGCAGCCAGGGTCTGAGTCGAAGTTGTCAGTGAGGAAACCGATGCGATGCAAGTGTTTGCTTGAGAACCCGCCATTAAAAGACATGTCTCATCCAAACCAGTGCACAAACAGGACATCCATGCACTTTGATGTCGATTGTGCATTCTCTTCACCATAATACCAGATGTCGACATGGAATATGCATATAAGACGAGCATACCAATACAGGTGACGTTCATCGTCATTTTCATGCGAGAGCACCATCAGATCAGTGCGAGTTTGAGGATTGATGCAGTCTTGCTCTCTCCTGAGATTGTATGTCGTGTAGTTTACTCGAAGGATGCTGTGCTCATGTACCTTGTTGTTAGAAAAGATAATCAGGTCTTGCTCAGCATCTGAGAAGGTGTGTTCATTGCCCGAGTAGTCAAGGCCACGAAGCCGTGCAAGTAGATGGTCCTTCAAATGGGGAATAAAGTTCTGATGTGCATGCCTTTAGTATACATGATATAGTCAGAGAAAAAGAAAACCGACCCTCTTCGCAGAATCATCATCTTCAATATCGGTCAACCAGGAGGTGAGGTCAAATGATGCCCTTGGATGCTTTGCAATATGATAATGGTCAGAGGGAGATGTCCGCCGGTGACGGTGTGTATTCCTGAGTGCAGATCGTGCAGTGACAGTGCTCTTGAGTTGAGCATTGATCTTCAGGAAAATACGGGAGCGTGACTCTTGAATGGCCATATTCTTCAGCAATGTGTTTCTATTCTTGGGTGTCCTCGGGTACCAACATTTGGAACATCGATGCTCCAACTCACCCTGTTAGAGCATCAAGTGTCAATTTTAAAATTAAGTTGTGTACTCACCGCTTGCGTCGTGTAGTTGTCAGTTGTCCCCATGTGTCGGATAGTATTTGGATAGTCCCCAAGTGCGTGGTATTTGTATGTATGAAGATTCAACTTCTTAACCTTTTTACCGGAGGACCTTTCCTTTCCCTTGGACAATTCACCCTGCTTGGCACTCAAAGCAGCTTCACATCATCCTTGAGTAGTGTGCTCCTGTGGAAGCTCAGTAGTATAATAGTACTTGCATGTAGTCTTGTTGAATTCCCAAACTGTCTGTCCGAGAAGGACTGTAGCACTGTCAAAGAGGGAGAGCATATCATCTGTGTGCAAGCACAGTTTCACAAATGCATGCCAGCTTGCCAGGTCAAAGAGCAGATTCAAGACAATTGAATTGTGAGGCTTGCGGAGGAGATCCTCAAATACTGGAAGAGCACACTGAAACTTGAGAGTATTAGCAGATGTATGTATGACCCACATAGATCCAAAAGCATTACCTGAAGGAGATCCTCAAAGTCTCGACCTGCCAATCTCTTCATCGCTGAAGCATTCTTATGAAACCGTTGGATAGTGCCACATCCGAATGTCGGAACAGCCCGGTACCTTTAAGGCATCAAACCATTGAAATTTTCTTGATGTGATCTGTTAGGTACCATGCCGGCTCAAGAGGCAGAGGGGTCGGGGCTTGGCTTCAGCTCTTGCGCTGTGCCCTTAGCCGAGTATGTGCCCCGAATTTGGAGCGGGTCCAACGTTGTCTGACGGTAGGACAAGTGGACCGCTTGGGTCTGCTTTGGGGGTCAGGGAGTAAGAGCTGCCAGCGGCGGACCGACTAGGAGTGGAGCGGGGAAGGTGGGGAATAATGTGGAGGATGGAAAAGGGTCAGAGGGGAATATTGACAGGGGCGGAGAAATAAGGGAGAGACTTAGAGCACGGCTCTAAGTCGGAGTGGAGAGTCAGAGGGTCGGAGGTGACAACAAGCTGAAGCTTGTGTCCAGAGGAGGCAAGGTCCTACTGAGAATTCTCACAAGTAGTAACTGTGAGAAGACAAGTAATATTAAGACTAAGGAAAAATATCTAAGTACATGATATGTTATATACTTCTATGTATGAGGCAGTGACCAGGATAACTATGTAGTAAAGCTATGTACCAAGGATATCATTTGTAAGTACTTTACATAGGAAAGACATAAGTTGGGGCGGATATCAATATGTACGCATTGGATCAGTGATCGAGTGGTAATAGGAATTACCGGTGATCTGGAAGTAATGGTCTAAGTACCGAAAAGGAAAGCATATATCTAAAAGGGGAAAGAGGTCCAGTTGAATGGAGATGTTATGGGAGGGGACCGGTTGAGCGGTTGAGCGGAGGTGTAGGGTGGAATGTGGGTTTGTGATAGGATGGAGTGGAGGATGGATGGGGCGGAGGGGGTCAGAAAGTGGAGCGGATATCAATATCGGAGCGGTCGGATCTGGTATATGACAGATCACTCACTGTTTATTCAGCTTTTGGATAACGCCACCACCTTGGGCATAGAGGATGTGCAATAGGTGGGTAAAAATGGCCTTCCACACACCGAGTTCGAATTCATGCAGCAGGTCAACAACGAACAAAATGAACATGTTGAATCCGAATTTTCCAAGTCGATCTGAGAAAGTGTTCTATGTAGATGTGTCAAGCATCAGTTTAGTTTAGTATATGATGGAGCTTACTCAGATAGGGACATAAGACTCATCACCAAGAATCGCTTTGATGCGAGCTCCATCAACAGGAACACCAAGCTCAAAAATGAGCTCTCGGGCATTCTCAATATCTTGACGGTGGTGTTCATTGTCCATGCGCTGTTTGGTCTCTCGGTGCTTCATGTCAAGCTTGGTACCCATCTTTGGCACATCGCATTTTTTGACAAGGCAGCATGGGCACAAACACTGCCCGAGGAATTTGATGCTTGCCAGAAGGACCCTATAACAAACTCTGAGTGAGTGAAAACAAACAAAAGAATCCTTCAATGCTCACTTTTCAGGGTAATCAGTGGAATATGAGAAAAAACGAGGGAACACATGACGTGTGATTCCATCGGCACAATGAACAACCATTCCATGCTCATAGGCATGCATGAAATCTTCGTCAAGCAATAACTTCCAAATCGCTTGAATAAGTTCGTGCTTACAGAAGGTGTGGACCTCGTCTGTCATTGCTTCACCGAAGATATTAAAATATACATCCTGGATATCATCTGGAAGCTGTATATATGACCATCAGATCAGTAGTTACATCTATATCATGACAGAATGTACTGTTGGTATATAAGCGACATGGTGACTTGCAAAGGAGGTTGGCTTCCCTCGCGCGTACTTCGACTGGTTACTGAAGAATAAATAGAACGGCCATAATGAGGCATCCCCAAAACTTGCGAGGTGTGTCGCGTCGGACCACATCATAAGAGGTGCTAAGACACGTTCAAGATTGTTGTCTGGTGCACAGGGAAGGGAATTTATCTCGGCATATGCATTGAGCATGGCTGGTGACGAGTATGATTCTGAGAAGACTTGTACAGTCTTCATCTCAGATACTTTCCAATACTGAGAGTATGGAGTCATGTGAAACGTGTTTGTGATGTCGTCCTCAAATGTTGACTGAATTACTGATGTGAGTGACTGGTGATAAACTCCTGGCACTTCAAGTTCTGGTGCATGTTCCTCTGATTGCCATTTCATTTGTTCTTTTGGCAGGCAAATTTTGACCGAAGACTGGCGCCAACCAAATTCTTCTCATAGAGGATTTGACATATCTCGCAAATACTTATCTAATAGTTTAGCTTCATGAGTGCAAGTAAAGCCACTCAAATCCTTCGATCTGAAGTGCGGGTGCTGGTGAATACCAGCTAGCCGATTGATTTCAGCATCAGACTTATCGTTCGTCCCAGTATAGCACCAGGACATCAGCAATCCACATGTTGGATTGGTGAATGCATCAAATAGATGTTCATCATCTACATCCAGTGGTGTGAGTTCAGTAGTAGCCACAAGTGGGCCCAGGCCTGTCACAGGTCATCCTTCAAGTGTCGGCGCATCTGTGAGATTGATGAGGGAAGTATTGTTGGGAGGGATGAAGGTCGGATGAGCTGGGTAGACTTGATAAAGACCCATTGAATCTGGATCTGTCTGAAAAGGATCTGCAGGTGGCGGCTCAATAAATAATGGATCCTCATCAGAAGACTCTGACGGAGTTGGTTCCCGCTGAGGAGGTGCACAGCATAGAGGTTGCTTAATTGGCATGTGAGCCAATGGGATTGCCGAGCCAGGAAGATAGTCAATAAAGCGCCGGGGTATTTGAATTGAACACCCCAAATGCTTTGAGAGAAATTGTGTGGGTGGAGTGGGTGATCTTGCTGGTGATGGAGTGGGTGGATTTTCTGGTGGTGATGGCAGGCGAGACAGTCCAGCGATGTTCATGTCCTAGAAATAAAATAGTAGCACAAATACATATAGAAAATTAAACACAAGCTTACCTCAAGATTGAGATCCACGTAGTCGAGCTGGTCTTCAGCAAAAGCTTCTTCCACCTGCTGACAAGGTTTCTTCACGTCACGGAGAAGATCTCGTCCTTGAGACTTTTGTTTCTTGTCCCATTTTGAAAAAAACAATGTCCAAGGTCAGTGCCTTGTTCTTTTTGCACTTCAAGGCATGCATGGAGAGTTGTCTCTGTGACTTAAAGGCTCAACCACAGCCAACACAATTGACTGTACCATCCATAATGCAAAGATGGTAGATGTGGGCTGACGACGGATGACAATGATGTAGAAAATGACTTCAGAACAGGAACCGCTCACTTTTTGTCAGCATTGTAGCATGCTGATTGTTTCAAGATGCTGGCAGACTTGGAACAGAGGCGTGAGGTGATTCCCCATAGAGTGAATCTGAAGTCACACTGCAATACTGGTCATTTGAAAAATATAATCATTAAGATGTGATGGTGCTAGTGTGCTGACTTACAGCACAGCTGGCACCTCACGAGTAGCATTATAAACTAAAGAAAAATGTAAAGCATTGAGAAGACACCAAATTTGTTTGTGTCGAACTGAAACCAGCAGCAGTCAAGAAAGTTCCACGTTCCATGATACCAGAGGGAACGAACACCTCGGGGTGCTTTTGGTGGATAACCTTGAGACCGGTGGAACCCTCGAGATCACCTTTTTAAAAATTAGCCAAGTTCCTGAGTTGGTAACTGGACTCACTGTCGATAACCATAACTTTCTTGGCAGCCTCCTCCTTGCTCAGCGTGTCCAGCACCAAGCTGGTGGATAAACAGCCTACAAGAAATGAAGTCAGTACACATAGCAGGTAGTAGGAATAGATATGATAAAAGTTAGAAGCTGTCAGGCTTAAGTGCTCGGAGTCGCCTCCAAGAGGTGTGTCCTTGCAGCTTGACAGCCTCTGGTTCAAGTCGCCTCCAAGAGGCGTGTTGAACCAGGAAGTGAAGAGCAAATTGAAAAAAAAACTCACTGACAGTAGTGACTTACCATTTTCTTGGGGTTAGGGTTATTCGTCCTTTCTGCTTAGCGCCCAGTAGAAATGACAAATGAGAAGGTGAAATGTGCTCAATCACAGGTGCTAGTGCACCAACCTACAGCACGGCCAGCACCTCATGAGCGGATGGAGAAGGTGAAATGTGCTCAATCACAGGTGCTAGCGTGCCAACCTACAGCACAGCCAGCACCTCATGAGTGGAGTGGTACTAACTGAAGAACAAGTTTGAAAGTTTGGTTTCGAACATCACATGACTTTTCAAAGTCAGCCAGCAAATACCGGTAATGCAGAGAGCCACAACTACGCGATTTCATATTCATCCTTATCAAATCTCCTAATCTTTTTTATGATGGCATCCAACTCTATTCTCATTAATGGTACCGACCAGGTCATCATCTGTGACAATGTAATTGTCATGGATATCGAGAACCTCCTGACTGGTTGGCCGACTTATGAGATTAACTTTACCCCTGAGAATCCGGGCCCATTGGCATGTAATCTCGATCTTTTCATATTACTTACTAACAGTAATCTAGAAACTGATTATCCACCTCAAAGATCCTGTCAAGATGGTTCACATTGAAGAGTCTACAGATAGCGAGGCGGAGTTGTTGATTCCAGGCAAACCCAAATGGAAAAGGTGATTATTATTAGATTTCCTCTCACACATACATTGCTAACTTAATAGACAGAACCTCATGGAGCAATCACGAGAGCAAGAAGATTAAACTCTCCAGGTTCTCGGCTGATACCATCAAGATCACAGAAGATCTTGTGGGCCTCAAACTCACATCCCAGAGTTCCAAGTAAGATTTTCTTATATTTGCTTGATCATTTCACTGACAAAATTTGATCTACAGAAATAACTCTGTCAAGGCAAAGCCAGTGCGCTTGGTGGGGATCCCCAAAAATCCCCCACCATACAAACCAAAAGTCGACAGTAGCATCGCTTGGCCACTGCGCTGCTGCCACCATTGCAGGGACATAGAAGATAAGGATTCCATTGCTGGTCTAGATATGTTGTGAACCTTGCCTGCTCCTGTTGCAGCAGACTTAACTTAAATTATTTTTTTTGCTCTCACATTGCTCTCATGTTATCTTGCACTTTGTACTAATAGTATACAATAATCAATTGTTTGGGGTAACACGTCGACAGTACCAAACAAAAACATATGTGTACAGTTTATTGGGTATCTCTGTGTGATCACTGATATTGTTTCATCAGCATGTTGTTCTCATCCAATCTCTACCACCATCATGACACACCATCATCGTCATTCCTCCTCTGCAAGCCTAGAATCAATATTCTCTCCTGTGTTGTCGCATGAATATTCCCCAAGCCCTCAAGAAGAGATGGAGAACTCTCCTCCAAGCACCCAGCCCCTGAAAAATGCAAAATGTAAGCAAAAGTCATCGGATCATGATGATGAGACCAAAACTAGGGTTTCAAAACACCTGAATTCGTAAGTGAAGTGTTTTTCAGCACATATGTTCACTTATTGTCATGTTTTTAGCCATTCAAAGGATACCAGCAAGTACAAGTAAGTACATGCAGCACTCAATGAGCTTCATACTGACCATTGACACGTGTTTTCACATGTATAGGAAAGATACAAAGCCTCGCAAGCAATGTCTTCAGTTCACTTGTTGGATTCCTTGAGGAATAGATATGTTTTGCATACTAAAAGATGTTTTCCGCATTGTGCCATTGGTCGAGATTGCACGCAGCACTGATGTAGAGGACTCTGACGTGTCAGATGATGAGCACAGCGCACGCAATGCAATCCTTGCTAATATGTAAGTCATCTCTTTTGTGGATGAGTATATTATATATTGACTGTGTACTAGATCCAATGATGCACAAGATCAGCTACTTTGTACCTATAAGAAGATTCTTTCTGGGGCGCCCTACCTCCTTGAACTTGTCAAAGGAGGTAAGAAAAGGGCAACCAAACTCAAAGATATTCTTGACAATGTACGTATGCATATATTCAGGGTTACATTTTACTAATAATCACTGTTCAGATGCAGTATATGATTGGCCAAGTACAATCTGAAGATGCCATGCACCTGAAGAAAAGCATCTCACATTATGCTTCTTATGACTCCAACAGTCTTGAGCCAGCCATCTTTCCTGACAGCAAGGAGTCTCATGCAAAAATGGGCCTTAACCACCCTCAGCTTGCGCGCATGCTGTGTCCTGTCAAACATCTTGTGGAGTATCAAAAGTTTCCCTCGCAGTTTGCATATTTTTTTTTTTGAAAATTTAATCAATAACGCATCGGCTTTGTAGGACTAAAAACAAGATTGAATCTGGCGAGATTAAGATGGATGCCCGTGCCTGGCCTGCTCTTCTATACAAGGGTAAAGTCGCTGGGGAATCTTTCAACCAACAGAACATGCAAGACAGCCTTTTCGAAGGTTACATTGTCAAACGTGTAGTGTTTTCCTTTTTCAATTTGTGTATTGGTGTTGCTAATTAACACATTCTATTCAAGGTCTTGAAGCATATCCTGACGGGTTCTTCATCTGCACTCATGGGCGATGATTTTCATATCTCGAATACTTGCAATGCTTCACTCCACGGGATGATGTCTTTTGAAGCTGAACACATTGCCTATGGGGCTATACAGGTGAGCTTAGGTATGACAAGCAAATAGGGACTGACATCTCATATAGGCACAGTCCTCTATATCTTCTCGTGACAAAAAAAATTACTACCGGATCATAGATGTCATTCGTAACCCTCCTGACGAAGCATGGGCTGCAGCAATTTTGCAACATTACAACTTGTATGTATCAAGTTTGTGTATGTACAGTATCTAATTATTATTTTTTGATTTAGGAAAGTATTCAAAGATAAAGCTGGTCATGCAGCTGCGCTTTCAACAACAACTGCTTCTGGTTCTGGAGATATGGATGATGATGATGACAATATTGCGGTGATGTGAAAGCAATCCACACTGCGTTCTGCTAACATGTCAAGGTCGTCTGCATCTATTACCCCCCCTCCTGTTCAACCACACAGTGCCGGTGCCCAACGTCCATCGCTTCCTGTACCTCAAACATCTACTCAATCACCCACTCCACCTCGTAGATCTCCTTCTCCACCACTTACACCACCTCCCAGACGCCCTTCTCCATCACACCCACCTCCTACTAGATCTGATGCAGATATAGCACTGCATCCCCCGTCGCCTCCTTGCAAGAAAATGAAGGCAGTGGAATTCGAAAGCCCACTGACAGAAGATGCGTCGGATGAGGAACATGAGTTTCAGCCTTGAACATCGCCACACAAAAGTTGCAAGGCCGCTGCCAGCAGTGCCACTGCCTCTAAGGTGAAGGCCTCTACATCAAAGAGGAGGAGGGTTGAAAGTCCAGCGGTTTCTGAAGGTGAGCCTGACAAGGAGCATGAGCATCAGGTTCGGAGATCACCATGCAAAGGTGCCAAACCTGCCACTGCCTCCAAGGCGAAGACAACTCAAGCTGTGCCAAAGAAAAGGAAAGCAAGGAAATGAATGTGAGTCTCATCTGGAAACAAGTCATGGCCAACGACGAGAAACACTGAAGAAACACATGAAACAAAACAGAACCACATTCTGCATTGCAAGACAACGTCCAACGACAAGAAACACTGAAGAAACACACGAAACAAAACAGAACCACATTCTGGATTGCGAGATGACAACGATGGTAAGGTACAAGCTAAGGGAAAGAGGTGTCTACAATGCAATGAACCATATGTCATGTGTACGTAAGCCACCAGGCTTACACCCTCCCAGACTATCAAAAAAAGCTATCAATCAGCAAACTAATGTCTGAAGGAGTCCCAGCAATGCGCAAACAGGGGAAGGGGCAACAACCACAGGCGTATAAAAGGCGGGATAGTCTGTGGAACATGAGCTAGCATCAGTGGTCAAGAAACGAAAACATAAACTGTGGAACAATTAAAGGAAGGAAGGAATATTAATAACCATAACCATAATCATCTTCCTCTGAATCATCACTGTCGGAGCCACCTTCAAGAACACATGATAGCATGACAACATCATGGGGTATAAGAGTGGCGATGAGACCAGCATTAGGATCAGAGAAATCTGTGACACCGGGGTTGCCATGTGTCAAGAAGACTTCCTTGTAGCCTTCAGGGATAGTGACTGCTGCCACAGTTGTCGCCTGATGAGGGGCACATGAGGGAATTCCACGTCTTTGGTCACCTGGGCATTCGCGCGCAATATGTGGTTTCCAGGTAGTGTCAGATGGCGATAAGCGACAATGAAAACATCCACCGGCTGAACGCAATGCTTCACGCTCTGCATAGCTGAGATCAGGAAGAGGGTATGCAGGCTTCGGTCTAGGCATGGTTGATGTAGAGGGAGTGGTAGACATTGGTCTAGTGGGCAATGACTTCATCAGGCCTTCTGCAACAAGACTAGACCAAGTTGTTGCCATGACATTGATGAGTGCATCAACCTTCAAGTTCTCATACCCAAGATTCGGTATTGTGCAAACACGCAGTTGGAGGATGGACTGGGCGCAAAACAAGAGGTGGTTTTTGAAGACTGAATTGCTGATAGTGTATCCGAGACCTGCTGAACCAAGTGTGTTCCGAGCTGCTTGTAAGTTAGCGACAAATGAGCGAAAGTTGCTGTTGCCTTGCGAGACAGCATAGAAGTGAGCAAGTGCATCTAGACGCCAGCCAGAGGGAATGAAATGGTCCTTGAAGCGCAAGGCGAAAGCCTCCCAAGTGGCCAGCAGCTTGAGTACATCATGATTCTCGCTCCACCAGAGGCTGGTGCTAGGTTTGTCAAGCTTGAGCCCAGCGAGCACAATGCGAAGTTGTGGAGGCATAACTTGACCTGCATTGAGGGCAGACCATGCAAGGTAAGAGTCTTCACAACAGCCAAGCCAGCCATTGATGGCCGCTGGTTCAAGTGGGCCAGAGAAGGTGGGGATGTCAAGTTTCGACATTTTAGAAGCTCGCAAGGGTACTAGTAGTGTAGGTGATGGCACGAGCTGAGAAACCATGGCAGGATCCTGGACAGGGGGAGTGACAGAACTAGAAGATGGCATGGGCAAACTGGGCATACTCAACGGAGGCAGAGGCACCGTGAGATGTGGAGGTGGATCACGCTTCCTTGCAGTGATGACAGGAGTGGGTAGACACTTATTGCTGTCCGGCAAGCGCAAGTCAGAGCGTAGAACACGCGAACTAGTATTAGTAGCGTGATGCTTCTGTTTGCAAGACCGATCCAGTGTAGACAATGGCAGGAGAAAAGGAACAGTGGTTGAAGTTTGAAAAAAAGTGGAAACAAGTTGTGGCCAATGACGAGAAACACTGAAGAAACACACGAAACAAAACAGAACCATGTCCTGGATTGCGAGACGACAACAACGGTAAGGTACAAGCTAAGGGAAAGAAGTGTCTATGATGCGATGAACCATATGTCATGTGTACGTAAGCCACCAGGCTTACATCATCCTCTAATTTCAAAACGATGATTTAATCTAAGGCATGTCTTCAGCTGTAATCCACTTTCTGACGCTACTCGTTAATGCTCTGATTCCCAAAGTTCACTCACCATTTTACAATTCATTTCTGCTCTCGTGGCTGGATTCATTTGCTGTCTCATTATCTGCATGCTGTCGTCGCCTGTTCCTCACTCATATTTTTCATCCTCAATGCAATTCATGTCTGAACCATGCTTAGATGTACCCATATGACTGCTTGTACCATGTAATACCTTAGTGCAATGACAATGTCTTATCAGCTCTTAACATCAGATCAGAACGAATCAGCACTCCTAAGGTCAAACATTCTGCTAAGGTCCAATACAACTACCCAACATTGGCGTACTGAGCAACAATCCTGCTTCTAGCTCTGGTCTGATAGACCACTCCTCCACCTTCTGCTTGCTGATGTGTCTGGTACGCCTTTTGTGACCTTCCATGTCTAGACCTGTGCTGACCTGCCCTTATCTATTTTAAGGAATTTCGGTGATGTTGCTTTGTCCCTACAAGCAGTTGTGGTCATGGATATTGAACACCTCCAAAAAGACATTTTGACCGCCCTCCCTACTGACCCCATCGCTTCCAATCATCTCCTGGAACCTTCAGACCCAAGATGGACAGTAGATGGCAATGGATTCCTTCACTGTGACAACTGTATATATGTCCTGCAATCCAATGACCTCCACCTCCATGTCCTCCAAAACACTCACAACCATCCTCTATCTGGACACTTTGGTCAAAACCGGATGTTGGAACTTATCTGGTGTGAATACACCTGGCCCAGAATATGCACCTATGTCAAGGACTATGTTAAGTCCTGCACTACTTGCGCCTGAGCCAAAGTCCTGAGACATAAGCCCTATGGATTGCTCAAACAACTTCCCATTCCCGGAAAGCCATGGAATTCCATCTCCATGGACTTCATAGAACAACTCCCAGTCTCCTCTGGTTTCACAGTCCATCCTTGTCATCATAGATCATCTGTCCAAGCAGGCAATATTCATCCCAACACATGACACCATCACCTCTCCAGACCTCACCCGGCTTTTCCTGCTCCACGTCTTCTCTAAACACGGAGTTCTGTCCCATGTCACCTCTGACCAAGGCACAGAATTTGTATCTCACTTCTTTTGATCCCTTGGAAAAGCACTAGACATGATACTTCACTTCACCTCTGGATACCACCCAGAGGGTGATGGCCAGACCGAGCATGAGCATGCCAACCAAACCCTAGAGCAGTATCTCCATATCTACTGCAATTATCAACAGGATAACTGGTCTGAACTTCTTCCTTTAGCGGAGTTTGCATACAACAATGCTCCAAGTGCTACCACCGGAGTATCACCATTTTTTGTCAATAAAGGATACCATCCCAACATTTCTGTATACCCAGAATGAGATCTTTCCTCCACCTGTGCCCAGGATTTTGCTGTAGATCCAGATGAGCTTCACCAATTCCTCCAGGAAGAAATGTCTCACGCACAAGAACATTACCAGGGCCCTGCTGACGCCAGATGAAAGTCCACTCTGGACTTCAAGGCTGGGGACCAAGTATTTGTCAAAGTAAAATATTTCCATTCCACCTGGCCTTCCAAGAAATTATCAGAAAAGAACCTAGGCCCTTTTGACATCATTTCCTGTCCTGGTACCCATTTGTTCACCCTCCGCCTCCCAGACTCCATGCGTTCCATACACCCCATATTCCATGTCTCATAGTTGGAACCTGCAACTCTGAACACAATCCTTAACCATATCCAGCCACCCCCGCCTGCAGTTGAAGTCAATGGAGAACCAGAGTATGAGATCTCCGAAATTCTGGACTCCAAACTCAACCACTGAAGGCGACATTGCCAAATCCTGTACCTGGTATGTTGGACTGGTTATGAGGGCACAGATGAAGAAACATCCTGGCTTCTTGCCACAGAACTCAGAAATGTGTTGGAACTCATCTCAGGCTTCCACTCTGCTTATCCGAGCAAACCCAGTCCTCTTGCCGAGTTATGAGTCATTTAAGCCTCGAGGGCTTGGCCCTAAAGGGGGGATACTGTCATATCCCATACATCCAGACCCAGAATTCCGGATTCTCCCCTATGAAAATCCAGGTCTCCATCCTGTTTCTCTGTCTGGCGCTCCATTTTTCATCTCCAGACTCACACCTATTTCCTTTTAGAATACTGCTCTCTGGCTACCGGTTGTACACCTTTCTGCCTTGCTTGCTGATCTGTCCATCTGCACTTCATTTCCAACTTCATTTCTTTGATCCATTGTATACTTACTAATAGACTTTCCATATGCTTTGGGTATAGCTTTTCACTTTGCTGACTGATTACTTACATGATATCTACAGTATATAAACTCCTGTAAAAATCCATACCTCCTTAGTTTGAATATCATCTTAGTTCCTGCTCATTCCTGTTTCTCTGGACTTGAGTCTGATCTCTTGTCCACCTCCAAGTCTTGGATTTATTCCTTAAGACTATATATCCAGTTCTACCTTAGGGTAGTCTATCTCTGTTCCATTTCTACTCTGGACTTGTCCGAAGTAGCCTTACTCTATTTACTCTTAGCCTTCCGGAGTTCTGCCGAACTCCCCCTGTGTCTGACCTCTGGACTTACCTGGACTTCCATTGGACTCCCCTTCTGACCCTTGAAAATTAAGGGCATGTACTCAGGTAAGGGGTGCAGTGCACAAGCTGAAGCCAAGCCCTTTGAGTTACTCTTCCCTTGAGCATGACCTTAACATATATAAACATACAGTGGCTCAAAAAACTGTCCGCATGTTTTCACATTTTTCACTATCTATGATATTGTGTGAGAATATACAAACACATCAAGGACATGCTGGTACCATATTGTAGTACTACTTCAGGGCTTCCAATTGAGCCCTATGGCGTGGGAATCGGTCGAGATATGGTGGAGATATAAGGCTTACAAAATGATGACTCATGTGGACAGTTTTTTGACTCAAGTATTTTACAGTGATAATCAGGTATTCCAGTACATTGTGTAACCTCCCTTGGCTTTAATTACTGCCTCTATCCTTCTAGGCATACTCTTAAAACTATATCTAACTATATAAACCAGAATGTGTCATGTGTCATGGTCATAATCACCATGAAAGCCATCTCCTCTGCTCAAAGGGATAATATCTGCTCTTTGTCCTGTGCTGGCCTCTCTGCTCATTAAATTTCCTCTAGAACTGAAGTATGCAAGTCTACTGTGGCCATGTGTATCAAAGAAAGCCACCTGGCCAAGGAAAAATCTTGTGGAGGACATCCACCTCTGCTAATAAGAGGGCTATCATTCAACATATCACTACAGGAAAGGCTAATAATGCTGTCCAAGCCACCCATTATATCAATTCCACCATCACCACCACTGTCTTTTCACAAACTGTGAGGAGTGTTCTCAAGGCAGCTCATCTCAAGGCAGTAACAAAGAAGAAATGCCTCGTCTCTCTATCAAACATAGGCAGAGAAGACTACCTTTGGCTTGGCCCATCAAAACTGGACTGTAGAGGATTGGAAGCATGTTATATGGTCAGATGAGACCAAAATCAATAGGATTGGGTCAGATGGGAAGGTATATGTATGGAAAAAGAAGAGGGATTTTCTAACAGACAGAGAGGTTAGTGAGACTGTCAAATTTGGAGGAGGTTCTCTAATGGTATGGGGCTGTATGGGATGGAATGGTGTGGGTATTCTTGCTGAAGTTGAGGGGAGGATGGATGCTGAGCAGTATGTGGACATTCTAAACAACCACTTGCTGCCTAGCATAGCTGAATCAGGGATTGATGAAAAAGACATTATTTCCCAACAGGATAATACTCCCAAGCACACATCTAGGAGAGCCAGACAATGGTTTAAAGAACATATTATCAATGTTCTTGACTGGCCAGCACAGTCCCCTGATGTCAATGTCATTGAACATCTCTGGGGAACACTCAAGAAGAAGCTTCAAGCCTATGAAACCCCCTCTGAAGGAGTATAGGAGCTATGGGAGAGTGTAGCAGTGGAATGGGCAAGGATTACAGCAGAATATTGCCAGAAATTGATTGAGAGTATGCCTAGAAGGATAGAGGTAGTAATTAAAGCCAAGGGAGGTCACACAATGTACTGGAATACCTGATTATCACTGTAAAATACTTGAGTCAAAAAACTGTCCACATGAGTCATCATTTTGTAAGCCTTATATCTCCACCATATCTCGACCGATTCCCACGCCATAGGGCTCAATTGGAAGCCCTGAAGTAGTACTACAATATGGTACCAGCATGTCCTTGATGTGTTTGTATATTCTCACACAATATCATAGATAGTGAAAAATGTGAAAACATGTGGACAGTTTTTTGAGCCACTGTATCATGTACTTAGCTGGTAGTCTCAGTCTTAATATTACTTGTCTTCCCTCAGTTTCTATTGGTGGGAATTCCCCATAGGACTTTGCTCACTCTGGACACAAGTCTCACCTTGTTGTCACCTCCACTCCTCCACTCCAACTTAGAGCTGTGCTCTAAGTTATTACCCTTACATCCCTCTGTCCAATATATCCTTACTTCTTTCCCTTTGATCCTTTCTGCTCTGACTTACTTCCCCTGCCTCATCCACCCCGCTTCAAGTTGGCCTGCCACTATTAGCCTTTCCTTGATATCAATATCCGCTCCGCCCGATTCTGCATCACCCCCACTTTCCGACCACCTCCGCTCCATCCATTCTCCGCTCTGTCCAATCACCATCCACATCTGCTCCTACGCTTCCGCTCGACCACCTGACTGGTCACCTTCTAGAACGTCTCCATTCAACTGGAACCTCTTTCCCCTTTTAGACATATACTTTCCCCTTCGGTACATAGACCCTTACTTCCGGATCACCAGTAACTCCTCTTACCGCTTGATCACTGATCCGACATGTACATATTGATATCCACTCCGACTTATGTCTTCGCCTGTGTAAGTACTTACAAACTATATCCTTGGTACATAGCTTTACAACATAAGTCTCCTAATCACTGCCTCACACTTAGAAGTATATAAACATATCCTGTACTTAGATATTTTCCTCAGTCTTAATATTACTTGTCTTCTTGCAGTTTCTACTTGTGAGAATTCTCAGTAGGACCTTGCCTCCTCTGGACACAAGTTTCATCTTGTTGTCACCTCCAACTTTCCACTCCAACTTAGAGCTGTGCTCTAAGTCTTCCCCCTTACTTCTCCACCTCTAACAATAATCCCCCTTTGCTCCTATCCACCTTCTGCACTATCCTCTGCCTTCTCCGCTCTGCTCCTAGTCAGCCCGCCGCTGGTAGCATTTACTTCCTGACCCTCAAAGCAGACCAAAGCGGTCCACTCGTCCTACCGTCAGACAATGTCGGACCCGCTCCAAATTTGGGGCATGTACTTGGCTAAGGGCGCAGCGCAGAAGCTGAAGCCAAGCCCCAACCCCTCCACTTCTTGAGCCCGGTGTGGGTGAGGAATATAGACCCTGTGTGATTCAGAAGTCTAACAAGGGTGCAAGACTTAAACTCATCCTGAGGGGATTGCTACTGGGTAGCAGGTCCTCAAATAAGTGCAAGGAAAGCAAAGACTAGACTCTGTCTAGCGACCTGAAGGGTTCTGGTCCTTACTAGGACTGGGAACACAAAGATGCAGAGGGTTCCCGACGAGCGGAACTCAGCGCGCGATGAGCGGAACTAATGCGTGATGAGCAGAACTAACAGAACTAATGCGGACCAAACAGAACAAATGGGGAACAAACAGAACAAACGGGGAACAAACGGAGGGAAAAGAAACTACGAGCCTGCAGGAGGATGATTGGGCAAAGTCGAACCAGGCTTGTGTCTGGTACTTGCTCCAAGTCGTCAGATCCAATGTCGGGCATTTTGAGCGGAACTCACGGGGGCGGGAACGTTGCAATGAGATCAGGAATAGATTCGGGAAGATATTTTAGACAGTGAGTGGAGTACTGGGAAGTACTCTGTAAGTGGAAGTGGAGTCAAGTCTATCCGAAGGTAAAAAAACTAAGATCCCATCTATTGCTACCTATATAGGAAGGGGTTCCGAAATGCGCTATGCTACAACTGGGTGAGGCTGTGAGATAAGGAACTGGTCCCAAGTAGCAGAAGGATCTGTATAAGTACCATAACACATATGAAATCAGATAGGAACATGTTAGTAACACAGGGAATGTAGCTAGTACTCACCAGCGAGGATGGAAGGACAAGGACAGGACAGAGGAGGACATTCCGAAGGCTAAAAGGATATGATGCATGTGGTACGCGATTGTTCCACTGGGTTCCGCTTGGTTCTGTGTAGCGGACGGCTCGGGGAAGATGCGGATGGGTAGCGGGATGGTAATGGAATGCACAGGAAGATGGTAGTAAGGCATGGGAATTATATGGGATATGGGCCTACAGTGGGGACATTCCCCACACCAGCACGGTACCTAACAGATCCCCCTTGACTGTTTATTCTGGCATTGCACATACTTTACTTCCTCATGGACACCAGCATCACCCATTCTCTCCCCAGCATAATTTATGTCATGCACATAGCAATACACACTATCATACCATTCCCTATCATTCTTTTCACAATTATCATATGCCTGCACAAGCTCAACCAAGTCCACCTTATTATTCACATTAGTCTCTAACTTGAGAGTCAAGATATAATACTACATATCTTACAGTCACATAATCAGTTCAATAGCATCAATTGCACACTTCTGCCACTTCATACAGATTGTTTCATGTGCCATTGCCTCTCAGTAAGTACACAGTGCATGACTTCGCAACACACTCACTGGGGAAACAAGAAAATAACTCATCAAAGTACACAAAGCATGAAATTGCATACCCAAACCAGAGTATGGATTTGAACATAGTACAGACTCTTCTTAGGCTATGGAGGTCTTATTCCCCAGTTGGGTTTGTGTATGATTAGTGATTGTACCACATCTGGTTAGAATGTCTAAAATAGTGAAATCCCCTCTATTTAGAGTATGATTACATGCTTCTATGGATCTGCCATACATTCCAGAAAAATGGGATCCTCCTTCCCACTCTTCTAACCATTCCCCTCCCCTCCTACAGCGATGTATGGCTTGCCCCAGAGTGCACAATGATGCCCCAGTGAGGCTGGGTCACCTGATCCTAATAACCAGTTAGCTCAAGAAAGTCAAAGGCAATAGCACCAGCGAAATGAACCATATGCAACACTGCAACCACCTCTCCAGCTCCAGCTGTCCCCCCTCAAAAATCACAGTGGCAGACTGCCACAGATGGATCCATTCTTTAGCACGGGACAACAGAGCATAAATTGTTCTGTGTCATCATCTGGTCAAGGGACACCATACCAAGGCACGTCAGTTCAAGGGACACCATACAACCACAGGACTCACATGTTTTCATATGGCAAATCACCCTCGCTCACACACCATCCTAATTCAAGAGGTCTAACAGCTCCTTGGAATAACATTAATATCGCTGGAAATTTGTATGGAATGAACCAAGGCTCACCACATGAACAATCCACACTGCCTACTCCCCTCCCCTCCCATAGCAATGTACAGTGTGCCCCAGAACATGTAGAGAAGGCACAGCAATCCTGGCAGCCAGTTAGGTCAAGAAACTCAAGGCAGCAGCAGTGACACAAACCATTTGCAGTGCCACTTGTACCAACCCCCTCCTTGCACAGGAAAATGATGGGTTGTTGTGGATGCAGTCAAGGGCAGCAGAGTACACATAAAGAGCTTGGAGTGATTATAAGACCTATTAGATATTTTCAAAAACATCAAATGTTTGACTCACCAAGTTATAGAGCAGCTTCTGTGGTGTCAAGAGCGATTTAATGTCATCATCATGCCAGCGTTAAACCAAGTGTGCCAAGATACACACTTAGATCACACCAGCAAACAGGCATAGGGTAGGTATATATATATATGTAAAGTGAGGATGATGGAAGAGGTAAGCTATGCAGGCAAAAGAAGGGAGGAAGGGGAGGGCTTGGGATGAAGTTGAGTTTGCATCTGACTGACTTAGAAAAAAAATGTGCAGGGCATACTTTTTGAGTCTAGGGTCAGGAAATAACACACTGGTAAAAATGGATGCGGTTTTGAGTGAGGAAAGAGGCTGTCTTGCAAAGTCAAAGGTGGTCTGGTTAGTTGTGATGACAGTCCTCTGAATAGGGTCTGTTTAGGGCTGCTGCTACAAATCCATACCTCTGTTTTGGACACAAAATATCCTGAAAATTCTGCAAGTCATGTTTGTGTCCACTTAGCAACAGGGTATGTTTTACATCAGGATCTCCAAGCAATCCCACTCAGGTTAGTGTCCAACTAAAAGTCATTTCCACAGTGACTGTATGAATAGTTGTGGACACTGCAGAGTGTGCAAAGGCATTGTGGCAGATGTGTGACATGGTGTGACAATCACTGCATTGAGCCATAGGTTAGTCAGAAGTTGAATAGGCAGTGGTAGACTCTGTAACTACAACTACAATGACATAGTGGGTGACTTCCCATAAGGTTTTACAGACAAATTTCTGTTAATCCTCATGCCTTAGCCAAATAGCCATGCTGGATTTAGAAGGTAGCTGTCAACACCTGTCAAACAGTTGCTCTCACACTCGTCTGTAAATCTGCCAATCTACAGAGGGGTAGCTACCCCTCTGTAGATTTCTGTAAATTGTCAGAGCACACTAAATGTCTGATTTAGGCAAATTTCTTACTCTGTTTAGATGGCTCGCTCGGAGTCACTCCCGGAAATCTCATCTGGATCAACTCTTGTTTTTCTGTTATTGTGGACTGCTCCTCACGTTCGACCTTATCTATCATCTTCCATCTGCTCAAAATGAACCCTTCCGACACTCTCAGGACTGATTCTAACATTTCTCACACAAATACTCCTGCAAAATTTGCCCCTGCAGCTAGTGATCACCCTATAATGCCTAGCCAGGTGGAATATGTAAGTACCATGATATTTAAATTGGTGTCTTGTGCTAACTATCTATAGTTTGATCCTTTCTGCCCAGCACAAGCTTACAGTGTGCGTGAAAATTCCCACTTCCTCAAGGGTCCAGGCCATCCACGGATGCATCCTCCCCACACCATGTATCGTGATTTGGAGTATCCATCTCCCTGCATGTACAGCCCGTCCCTTTATCCTGCTGGACCATTACCTCCTAGTCCTGATACCTCTGGACTGGTGCCTCCCACTGTTGCAAACATCCAACCTCCATCTATCCTTCCAATTGCTTTTGCAGAGGCTGTGTCTGACAAAGAGCTCAAACAACCAATACTCACACCTGCTAAGGGTCAGAAATGCTCGTCAGCACTAACTGTGCAGCCTTCAAGAGCCCCTCTGAAGAAATGAACAAAAGTGGGTGGTAAGGGAAAAGGCCCCACAAAGCCACAGGCTGATCCTGACAGCAAGCCGGTAGTTGCCAAGTGAGGCCCCAAAAAAAGGTCGGAAAGCTGGGGCAACTGGCAACTCTGCTGACAAAGTCAACCATATACTTAAGGAGATTGGTCGATGTCTCCCTCTTGGTGGAAAAGCTTGGGATGCTGTTACAGTCACTTATAATCAGTGGGCTCGGCAGAATCATATGATGGAGCGCTCATCCAAGGCCATTTGAGTGAAGTATGATATGGTTTGTTCTTTATTGTAATATATCTACTAGCTGTTGATGTTCGCTTAACAGACTTGTCGTATGGAGAAACCCACAGGAGATGGCGAGCTGCCTGAATATGTGGAACTTGCTTGTCAGATTGAGGATTCCATGATGAGGAAGTCAGGGATGATTGCACTTGATGACTCTGAGTGGGATGAAGGTGATATCAGGAGTGAGATTGAAGGGAAAGATGTTCTAGAAGTGTCAAGTGAGTCTGATGAGGGAGTGAGAGGTGCAAATGCAAAGCACACAGGCCTGAAGAAGACAGTTGTCAAGGCATTTCGTGCAAATCCTCTCCTTGAACCCAGTGCTTGCCGACCTCATACTACTGCTGCTTCTGATGCATTGTTGTCACTGACATCTGTCTTTAATCCTGCTGCTATCAAGGATCGTGACGAGACTTGGCTCTCATCACTTGTCCAATTCAATCAGATCAACACTCTGCAAGCTGAACTTCATGAAGCAAGGCAATGCATTGAATCACTCAATGACCGCCTCACGCAAGAGTGTCGTCACGCAGATTGTGCAGAGAGCCAAGTCAAAATGCTCAAGTACATGTTATCATCTCAGAATGAGGCTCATACCCCTGCTCATCCTCCTGCTCATCCCCGTCAAGCTTTACAATACCATTTCACCTCTCCCTTATGAAGCTGTCAACGCCCTTGCTACTCTCCATCACACTACTCTCCATCACACTACTCACCTCGTTGATCACCATCACTCGAGTACTCCTCTATGCCTGGGCCCTCACATGTCAATGACAAAACTGTTTTTGACACTCCCTGTCGCAGAAATGGACTCAAATCACTTGCACTAGCAGTTGACATTGCTGCTGAGGATAAGGATCGCCATGATCATGGTCCTGTAGAGCAGTTTTAAAATGTTGTTTGTACTATGTGAATAGTAGCAAAATAAAAAGACCTATGGAGTCTGCACTACAAGATGATAATGAGCAACACAATCACAATGACAGATGTCACCAAATATAACATTACCTATATCAAGCCACAGTTGCTCATCCTCCGATGCCTTCCAGATTGGCATGTACACAGCATGAATCTGATTAATACCCACACAAATTGCTCTGACATTGCTCAATCTCATGCACACCTCCAGAAGCCTCTGATGTTGTACCCAATCATTGATGTCCAGTGGGACACAAAGTCGGCCAAACGAGCCCTGCATCATTTGCATACCCCATTCTGCTGTTTGGCAGTAGGATAGTAGCTGCCGGTTGAATGTTAGGAGCTCTGCCTGCTCATGTGCATCACCTGGAAGTACAGCACCACTTTTTAATGGTGCTTGTATCTTGCCTGAGATGGCTGCCGTCCCATGTGGAAATGCAGAATCAGCAATGAAATAATAGCCATCAGGAGTCTTCCATTGAAGTTTATTGTAGATGGGGCAACTCGGATGTGTGCAAGTCATGCCAACTTCCAGGAGCATTAAGTACTGCAGATATGATGATGCCTAAAAATGTGGTAGTACAAGGAAACAACACTAAGATCATATTTGAATTCACCTCATGGAGAAAAGACCAGTACATTAGAGATAAAATGTGAACTCTTCCAACCATTATATGTAGCATTCTTGACTTCAGGATCATCAGCTTCTTGGCATGGCAGACTAAGTCCATCAATGCTGCCAAAGCCTCCCATGAGTTTGGAATGACAAGCGCAAATCAACAAATTGTCCTTGATGATTTCATTATGGTCAGGAAAGTGAATTGCACCTTTGGGTATGTCATGAAGAGTTTGAAGGAGGATATCAAGTGTGAAATTGAGGTAGCGGTTGACCATGGTGGGTATAAGTGCAAAAATCTGTTGCAGTAATACTTCCTGCATAGCTGCATTGAGGAAGTGCAGTGTAAGCCCCAGTGCACCTGCAGCATCAAGGGAATGAGCTCCAATACAAGGCTCACCCCAGCTGGACACATCAGCACGAGGGATTGGGGTGAAGTTCCACTTGTCTGCAAATCCACTGTCGAGGAGTTGATGGAACATGGTGACATTGAATCCCATTGTAGTGATGTAAGCACGATCATTGTAGCTTTCATAAAGATGTGTCCATGGTGTTATGAAGCGAGGGCTTGGGAGGAGCTGAGGATGGCACAAATACAAGTGTGATGGATTGCAAACATGTATTTTCATCAGATGTGCCTCTTCTGCACCGAGAATGAGAACACCAACAAGTGCAGCTTGCAGCTGCAGCATCTCATCATCATCAGCAAATGCATACTGCATTAAAGTTTCAATGTCCATGGCAGGGCTCAAATTATAGGGAAAATAGCTGTATCTATGTCTTACAGTTTATGGATTCTGTCTGTAAATTAGCTGATGTCAACTTGTCAAAAATTTACAGACAAGCTTGTTTTTGTAAATTCTTATAGGAAGTCACCCAGTCATAGACACCAATTAGGACAGCTGCCTTCAACCTCTACTATGCACCATCAGATCCTCAAACTGTATATACTTGATGCCATCAACTACAGTGTCTCATTCAGATTGTTTGTAAATACTGATAGCTTTGAATAGACAGCCTCATTCACTTTCCCATTGGTGCAATACTCATAAGTTAAAATAAGTCTCATTTAGCTCAGGTATGTATCTAGCATCTAGATGGTGCATACACATTGCAACATTTTTTCATCTAAGTCCCTATCTTATCGGATCCTCATCTTATCTTCCTACCACCATCATGAACAACAATCAGGTGAGGCTGCTTGTTTCTCATTCTCATCTGCTTTACTAAATGATTATCTTGCTCACAGCAAACTGTTGGCCACACAACGAGGTCAAATTGGTGTCTTGTATGGTGCAACTGCAATGTTTGCAAATGTGCAGCTCCCACCAAAGGCGGCCAGAACATCCCCACATATCAATGTGAAAACCATTGTCACAATGAAAACCTCAGCTTATCTGCAATAGCACAACAAGGACAAGGAGCTTCAAGTTCTTTTCAGCATGGCTGTGGAGTCCTCCAAGTCCCCTCTGTGCAGCCATGAGTAGCACTGATTGTCTGATGGTGAGAATGACTGCCCTCAAGGTGCCCAAGTCGGTTGTCCATCTGCTTGTAGTGTTCATGCTGATCTTCATGCATGTTATATAGGATGGCAGTGAGCTCTTCAACATTTGCTGGAGTTGAATTTCTTGTGGTAGGCGATGATGCATGACTGGAATAGCAACCATTTCAAGACAATGAATGGCTGGTAGATAGAGAAGATGAATTCCTATGGTAGCTGCACACTGGACTCCTCAACCTGCATCTTCTGTCACATCCACAATTGTTGCAAGGAGAGGACAAGCACTGCTGCCTTCTCTGTTGTTGTCAAGAGCTGGATGCAAGTGCCCTGCTGTCTTGATGATGCTGAGATGGGTGTATACTACTGATTTGGAGGGGGGAAGGTAAGTTTTTCCACATATATGCAGCATACACCCACTCACCTGATATTATGCCCTCATGTGTTGTTATTTGCAACAGATGGGTTCCCAAACGGCATTGACTCATGTGGACCATCTCTACTCGCATCATGAGGGGTGCATCTTTGAGCCAATGGACCATTGGAACGACCGAAAAGCACTGGATCAATATTCAAGTTGCTAGCTGGGGCCATATACACTTCCAGTGTTTCTGCAATCGTTCTCTTCAAGCTGTCTGGCCAGCTATCCCACACTTTGGGTGCTATCGCAGGGGGGCATCTTAGCATATTTCCATGCTGATAATAGGATGGCAGGGGCAGAAGGGGATACAAGTGCACAGGGGGACAAATATTGAAGCTAGATGTGAAGCAGGCACAATATATCAAGCACATGGTGTATTCATAAATATCAATATATTCATTATTTCAACCTTACATTGGGTGATCTACTCGAAGTATAATAAGAAGATATTCAGATGTAGCTGAGACCCTCTAGCTGTATCTCGAATAGACAATCTGGTGTGTGCTAATCGTTATTAACATAGGTCGTCGAGAAGGCCCTCAAGTATGTCATGTCCTTACATGCGTGAGGCTACTTCAACACTGACTAACAAATCTATTTTCATGTCTAGCTACCTGAGCTTATCTTGCATAAACACACCTACTTCAAGCACCACTAGCCTGGGTCTTCACGCAGTGAATGTGCGCGAACTCTATGGAAAATACACTTTTATGTGCGGTAACTCTCCGCCGGACTCAACACATCGGGTTTCGAAAAAAAAAAAACTAGCAGATGTTGGACTTTCGATGTCAGGCTACCGAACTGTCAAAGAATTAATTTTTTATGTTTGTGCATTGTGGAGTAATAGACGTTACCCCCAAAATGCATGAACTCTAGTGGACATATAGTAACGTTCATGTTCAGCTTCTTCATCCGAGGTCGGAGAGGTGACATCTTCGAAAATTGTTATCTGAATAGTGCCTTGAGATTCCGTTATGGTCTGCCTAGGGAGACTATGAGATTGTGGAAGTAGAAATGTGAGTCGACATGATATCAGAACGAGGTGCTATACCTTGCATAATCGGCAACATGGTATGGGTTTGGGCCGTACGGCACAGTGAGAGTCGTCAAAAGCACGGGTACCGTGGTGGGGAAGGGTAAGGGTACACCTCAGGTACGGCCACCCGTACGTGTACGGGTCCAGAGTTGAGGCACTCGAACCCCTACCTGGACCTGAGCCCAGGGTACGCCAAGAGACATGCTACTTATAGCTCCGATGAACAAGCTGACACGATGCGATTCAGTTATGCACGTCGCGTCGCGTCAACGCACTGTGCAAATACAAATATTACTTGATCCCACTGAGTTGTCTGGGGACATCACGACTTAAATAAGCAGAAAGCTGGTCAGTCCTTGTTGCAGTAGTTCCCGACAGCAGATTCGAGCTGGCATTGACCTTGGTCCGCAAGGTGGTAGCCTGGTCCACGCCAAATTGCCAATAGACCTTGTGTCACAAGGTAGTGGTGGCAATCTGCTGGCATTGCAGATATCATCTGTTCGAAAGGGGGGTAGAATCTTCCTACATCGCCATAAAGAACATACTCAGCACATAAAAGCAAGCTGTCTTCCTACTGTCCTCTTCAGATTTTTTTGATCCTTCACAAACAATGCGTTTCCCCTTTGTCCTCGCCGTTCTTGCTGTTTTGACGACATCGATATCTGCAGCATCAATACCTGTCAGTGAGTCTAACAGTGAAGCATGCCCTCCATATTGCCTCTTTAACGAATGCTGCCCTGGGCAGAAATGCGAATTTATTGTGAGTACGAGTAATTTACGTCCTGGATTTAACCACATGACTCACCGGCGTGGTAGGGCGTCTGGGTGTGTTATACATGAGCGAGTGGCATGTTGCGACAGTGAACTATAGTGAGTCGTGTTTCTGCTTTCGCATTGGTGCAGTATGGCTGATGGCACGACCCGTGAGTTACTATAGTTTGTTGCTGAGTTGATCAACGTGCTTGCTTCTGAACAAATTTTGCTGCCGCTCGAGCAATGGAGATATTGGAGAGCAAATCTTAAATATTTGAATCATAGGATATGACTGAAGTACTTACAACGCAGTTTTGTCGTCTCGTTGTAAGCTTGAACATAGAAGCCCTCGATGACAGTGACACCACGACCCCTCCTGTCATAGGCACTCTTCAGTGTTTACTGGGCGTCATGGATGCATTTTTGGCCTGCACTGAGTCGATGGGATTTATCATGACCCCATTAGATGGTGGTATATTTGGAACATCGTTGTTGTCGAATTGCGCCTCAAGCTCAATGGCACTTGTGGAAGTAGAAGGTCATGAGTTATGGGGGAGGACCACATTCATTATGTAAGGTGGAAGGGCAAAACGTGATACTAAATATTGACAACCGAATAGACGCGAATCTACACAATACCGCTCATCCTCTCAACAAGGGAGGCAAGTACTTCCAATCGTCCCACCCACATATCGCTCCGATGATAATGTAGAAACGTTGCGAATCGGAGAGCGTCTGGAAACTTTCCACAAGCAGACTGGTCCCGTTGCAGAATACTATAACGCCATGGGCCTCTAGCATGGTATTGATGCCACTCAAAGTCCAAGCATCGTTTGCGACAACATACGGTCGTAATATGTGCATCTCATGCATGCATACACACATGCATCCCTCTTTCAAATTGTCGTTTAGGTCGCGCAACCAGATCTTTTGCGAGATATAAAGGCGAATTAAATATGAACAGTTGGTTCGGTATACTTAACTGACTGCGTGACCGGGCGCTGCTAAGCATTTACTCTGCTTTGGATCCCTTCTTCCGCTCGCCTTTGACGTCTCCTGCAAGCCACAAAGCTGCAAAAAGGAAAAATCCGACACTCGTACTGATGGCTCCTGTGTAATACGGCCACGCAGCGCTCAAGAAGCGAGGGTATTCGTCATGTCTCGGCGGAACGACAGGGACGGTTGTGCTCGATGAGAGGTATGAGTGGCTGATTAGGAGGCGATTAGTCTGAGACGTCGAGACGAAATAAACAAGTCGTTGTTGACTTACCCCTTCCTCTTCCAGTTCAAGACGAACTTAAAAACACCGTGTCTGTCAGGAGCGCGGAACTGGACCTGGTATGTACCAGGGGATCCAGGGACAGGCGGCAGAGAGGTGCGAATGTGAGGGTCGAGCATCGTAAACTCCAACTGCAAGTCGTCGATACCGCTGTAAGGCTTCCACGTCGAGGTCTTGCTATCGTAAGAAGAGATGTGCGCTGTGTATACCTGATACAATACGTCATATTACGATCCACTTGAAACCTGCAGGCAACTCACAATCTCGTCGTTGATAGTATACATCTCGGGCGCCTCAGTTTCGTTAACACGATGATGCTCAATGCTATCAATACGCAGCGCAAGCTTTTCCTGGAAAACCCATGCAGCAACTTCCTTCGCAAACTGCGAGTTCCCAGACGGTGTCCCAGAAGGAAGCTCCTTCCTCGCATATTCATCGCTGAACAACTGAACGCCACCTGCAAAAACGACGCGGGAGTTTACGTTCGTCTGGAATCCGGTGACCAGGCCCATTTGGCTGCCCGCCCATAATCCTTCGCCGCCTTTTTCGGTAGCGTCGACGATGGCGTCTGCGCCCGAGTCGTCACTGGAGTCTGCTGCGAAGCTCTCTGCGGGTGCGCGGAGGATGGGGACCAGCATTGGGGTGCTACCGAGCGCATGTGGGGCGCCGGAGAACCATACTGGGGGGATACCTGGGGTGAGGATTGGAGATGAGCTTAGGACGGGGACAGGGATTGTGGTTGGGGGTTCAGAGCGAGCGGGGTGGAATGAGATGAGTGGAGTCTCGGGAGGTGGTGGAATGAGTGAGAACTCGGTTGCGAGAGATGTAAGTGGTGTTTGTTTGGGAGAGAGCGCGATGAGAAGGTTGGTTTTTTCTGAGAGCAGCCCTACGAGCGACTGCGGGGTGATGTCTTGTGCGAATGCTGTAAAAGGATTAGTCGATTGATATCCATGAGTGAATCTGTACTTACATTTTGATTCTGGTGCGAAAAGAATGACGTGGTCAAAGTTCGGCACGCCGTAGTCGGTGATTGCGGGACTGGTGTGTTTGGGAGCACGGAACGTGAGGTTGTAGCCTCTTTCTACCAAGGGCGGTGAAGTCAGCAAACGCCATATAACCTTCAATATTCAGCAACTTACTTTCAAGTCCACCAAAGAAAACCGAATAGTTTTCCCTGTCTAATGACGGGTTGAGCAACACGAGAACCGAGTCCCCAGAACTCGACATTGCAAAGCTCAGTTTTGCAAATGCAAGGAGAGTCACGAGCGCAGAGCTGAGAAGCCTCATATCTACAAAAAAAACCGATACTTATACCGTTGATGGTTTGTGTCTGCGGACGACGAGTTTCTGAGACCAGCGTTAATGCCAGAAGCTGTTGTGTACAGCCTCCACGTCAATAACTTTCACGTTCTATTTTTGGTCCTGTTCGAAAGCTTGTCACCCTGTGGCTGTGTGGCTTAATTTGCAACTCTGAAGTGTCCAACTCAGAATCGAAATATCTCTGCAAGAATGGCTAAAGCAATCAACCTAATTCTTTCTGAGCGAGCATTGGAATAATAATGCGGAGTGCACCATGCAAAAATAATTCATTTTTACCGTTGCGTTCTTGTTCTGTGTCATCAGCCCCCTCCTAGTCTCCCCCATCAGTAAACCAGTGAGACTCAGATATTAGTAGATATTGTAGTATTTTGCAAGCCCAATGCTTCTTTCCTGTACATTGTGATACGAAGTAACATATAGCATTCTAAAGCAATGTAATCACGCTAATTCACGCTCGGTTCAGACTTATATATCAGAAGGTTCTTCACTCAAAAGTTGACCTTCGAGCTCATAGATACACCAGCCATGGCGGCCATTGCCGCCGCCATTCGTCTCATGCGACTTGCTGCGTCAACGTGATCACGGTGCTTCATATTCCAAACCACATACAACCCTACATCAGCACGTACCGGAGCCAAATACCTTCGCACACGACTTCGCCTATCGACAAAGCGCGAATGATTGAGACGGTAATGAATACTACTTCCATTACACATGATCCCATTGATGTCCTTATTGCAATCAGTGGATTCGAGCCGGCACTTTCGCAAGGTAATGTTTTATTCCACACCAAATCGCCAATAGACCTTTTCACAAGGTAGATCTTAGTTGGCAATCTGCTGGCATTGCGGATATCATCTGTTCGAGAGGTAGAATAAGTTCTTCATGTAAAAACAAGCCATCTTCTTACTGTCCCCTTCAGAATTATTTCATCCCATATCACATTTTCATAAACAATGTGTTTCTCCTGTGTCCTCACCGTTGTTGCTGCTTTAACAGCATCAATCACACCTGACAAAGAAAATGTCCTAGATTTTGCTTTACAAATGACTGCTGCCCTAGGCATCAATGCTTCTTTTTTTTGAGTATGAAATAGTTTGAGTCCTGGATTTAACCACATGACTCACCGGCGTGGCAGTTCACCTTTTACTGTGGATGAGTGAGTGGCATGTCGCGACAGTGAACTATAGTGTGTGGTGTTTCTGCTTTCGCATCGGTGCAGTATGGTTGATGATACAACACGTGAGTTACTAATAGTTTGCTGCTGAGTTGATCAATGTGTTTGCTTCTGAACAAATTTCATTACCGCTCGAGCAATGGAGATCTTGGAATAGAGGAAAAATCAAACACTTGAACACATATAATATGACTACTCACGACGCAGTTTTGTAGTCTCGTTTTAAGCTTGAACATGAAAGCCCTCGATGACACCACGACCGTCGACTACCCCCTTATTGCCTCATCCGGCGCTCCGATGACAATGTAGAAACGTTGCGAAAGCGCTGTATATACCTGATACAAGACGTCATACTACGATCCGCTTGACAGCTGGAGGCAACTCACATCTCCGGAGCCTCAGTTTCGTTAACACAGTGATTCTCAACGCTATCAATACGTAGTGTACATTTTTCCTGGAAAACCTACGCCGCAACATCCCTAAACTGTGAGTTTCCAGACAGCGCCCCAGAAGAAAGTTCCTTCTTCGCTTATTATGATTCATCACGGAACAGCTGAACGCCACCCCACCTGCGAAACGACGCGGGAGTTCCCGTTCGTTTGAATCCGGTGACGGGACCCATTTGCCTGCCCACCCATAATCCTTAAGTTCGCCGCGTTTTCGGCAGTGTCGACAACTGCGTCTGCGCCAGAGTTGTCAGTGGAATCGGCTGTGAGGCTCTCTGCGGGTGTGCGGAGGATGGGGACAAGCACTGGGGTGCTACTGAGCGCGTGTGGGGTGCCGGAGAACTACGCCGAAGAGATGTCTGGGGTGAAGATGGGATATGAGCTTAGGACAGGGACAGGGATTTTGGTTGGGGGTTCAGAGCGAGCGGGGTGGAATGAGATGAGTGGAGTCGTATGTAACGTGATCACCCTTGTATGCTATTCCTGGGGATGTATCAATCTAAGCCACAGGCGCGAAGACGTGAAAGTCAACTTAAGGCAATGAAATGAATGGTACAACTTCGTGAATGAGCCAGCGAACCAGCGTTCGCTTTTGGGGCACTCGGACCCTTACTTGTACCCGAGTGCAGGGTTGATACATGAAGGGACATGTTGCTATAGCTCCAAGGAACAAGCTGACACGACGCCGCTCGAGCCTCGCAGAGTCGCAATAAGCAGCTGAAGGAACGAGCTGATCAGTGGTAGTTCCCGACGGCGGATTCGAGGTAGCATTGACTTTGCTTCGCAAGGTGATATATTGTGACGCGCCAAATTGCCAATAGACCTTTCTTCACAAGGTAGGTGGCAATCTGCTGGCATTACAGATATAATCTGTTCGAACGGGGATCCCAGGTCGATAGGTTCTTCACATAAAAGCAAGCCATCTTCTTTCTGCCGTGTCCCCTTCAGATTTTTCCCCATATCATATCCTCACAAACCATGCGTTTCTCCCTTGTCCTCGCCATGGTTGCTGCTTTGACAGCATCAATATCTGCAGCATCGATACCTGCCAGTAACCCTGACAGTGAAAAATGTCCTACACTTTGCACTGACCACCCCTGCTGCCCTGGGCATTCATGCGCATATTTTGTGAGTATGAATAGTTTGCGTCCTGGATTTAACTACACGACTCACCGGCGTGGTAGGTGATCCTCATGGCATGTTTATGAGTGAGTGGCATGTCGCGACAGTGAACTACAGTGAGTCGCGTTTCTGCTTTTGCTTGATGGTACGGCACGTGACTAGAAGTTACTAGCTGAATTGATCAAGCCACTCAAGCGATGGAGATATAGAGGAAATCTCGAAACACTTGAATATATAGAATACTGTATGCATTCGACCTTAGGTTCGTCACAGCGTCACTGACACCTCGAACCGAACCTATTCCATGTGACAGTCACGGGCATCTGGCGAGGACGAACCTAAAATTGTGACAACTGGTTCTCTCGTATTTTTCTGCAAGATAAAACAAATTCTAACTAGTGTGCATTATATTCTCCATATTGCGTGTTTGCAATGTGCCGTCGCTTTCCTCTGCCGGCCTCCTCAATACCCTCACTAGGCAAAATCACCTCACAATGCTTGTCAGCAGCACCGTCCACTATCAGAGACCCATCCGAGTCCATAATATATCCTTCTGGCACATAGGTCTTGCCAGACATGATATGTTCGGGCACCACCTCCAATGGGGCCTCGTCATCGACTCCATCACTCTCGACCATATGGTCTTCTGGTAAGGATACTTCAGTATCCACTGGGTCATCGTTGCTGCTGGTTGTAGCAGTGGTACTGCGGAGCTGGATACGCTGCCACATGTCAGGATCCGTGTGCGGAAGATCTCGAAGATCTCGAAGAGTTTCGATACTGGTAAGACTTTCGAAAGAGAGATTGGATTTGTCATCTTCACCTGCTTTGCACAGTGCAAAGGCCTGTTTGGTGTTACTGGGTGAATAATGTTGACACTAGTTTAAAATGAAACTTACCTTTTTGATCAAATCTCTCTTGTTCACAGCCTTGTAAGCCTCGACGAACCATCATACAGAGCGGTCCCGCAAGGTTCCCTTGGTGACATCCAGGCAAATCTCGGATGCAGCCATGCCAGAGGAAAGCTGTGTCAGTGTCTCATTTACAATGTCTGCATGCTGAAACTCTTTGATTGTGAGCTTGATAGGGCGCTGCAGACCAACATCGCAGGGTTGAGTTACCCCAGTCGTACCAGCTGGGACATAACAATATTGAATCCAGTCATATGTTGTGTCGAGCCATGTGTGGAATGCAACAGAGCGGTGTACAGTCCAGCAGTCGAGCTGGAGAATGCAGGGTTGATTAGGTGGTACACCCAGCTCCTCTTTTTTCTCCATCCAAAATGGGACTAAAATATCTGTCACATACATGCGCATCGTTTCGAAGGTAGACCAGTATGTGTTGGTCTTCGAGAAGGCAAACTGGAACTTCAAGTTCATTGCTTCGTCATAAGAACGAGCACGTATGGAAGGAAGGGATCGCTTCGACTTCCCAACCACGATGATTTGCCATGGCAACAAGTCGCCAGCAGCTGAGATACCAGCCAAGAGCGTACACGCTCGTTTCTCCTCCTGGCCAATCATATCAACCTGCTTTGAACCAATGACTTCGTAGGTATAACCACTGGCGGGCTGGTAGACGATGTTGGTTTGGTCGATATTGACTAAGAACTGGGGGAAGGTGATCACGTCGTCGCGGATTGTGAGTGCAAGCCGAAGGAACTGCTCGCGACAGACCTCGTTTAAATTGGTAGGAAGTTTCTGAGCTGCACGGGTTTCTTTGCGCATGGTGTAGCGCAAGTTTTCATACAAGAATGTCTGCACCCAAGAGTTGGAACACTTGAATGTTGACCCATCATAAGCCTTTGTTATGAAGATTTGAGGGATTGTGTGATGCAGCAACCTGACAATGAGACCACGACAGCGTGATGTGTTTAGAGTGATGCCGACTTGGCGAAGAGTTGAAAGCTGATCGACAATGGCTTTCACTACATCGGGGTAAGGGGAAAGTATGTTGGTTCGTGTGACAGTGCTTGATGCAAGATGTCCTTGCTCTGCACGTGCAATGACAGAGTCTTTCCATCGTGGGCGAGTCCCGGTTCGATCAATCCAACGCCCGATGACTTGTGGAGTGAGGGTCTCGCACCGTGGATCCAATTTCTGGGCATGATAACAGATGGCATGTAAAGTTGCCGTGGTGTGGTTCAGGACCGGTTCGAGATACGACTGCCCGAACTCGCACCCAAACCTGTTCATGATATCTTAAGACTGTTGAACCTGAACATTAGCCAACGGTTCGGTCAAGAACCAGTTATATATGGTGCTGTTCAGGTGCGAACCGGTTCGAACTTTTTTTACTACCAAAAAATGAAAAAAAAATAGGAATTATAGCTATTTTGCACCCAACTGCACTTCATCTACAGCGTCGTCGAGCCAACATTGTCTCCGTGCAGCTTCTTTGGCTCCCATTTCAGCTTCACGGTGTCTCCTCTCCTTCTTGTACTTATTCTTTACAATTTGAATATCACCGAAGTTTTCTGGAAGTAAACATGCATGACGTTTACTATCTGTCAGCCCAGCATCCGAAAATGCACGCTCGCAAGGCACAGAAGAGCCTTGGATAGGAAGGTAGTCGAGGGCCATATGGCTGAGGATCGGGTATCGCATAGCATTGGCCTTCCACCACTCGAAGATATGCTCTGCCTGGCGCTCTGGAGATGCCCGTTCGTCGTTGATGATGAGTGGCTCCTTGATGTACAGTTTGAGCTCTGCACAGAAATCCTTAGTGACGAGCTTTTCACAGGCACGCCAACCTTCAGTAACCCTACTCATCAAACTGCTGAAACTGTTGCTCGAGCTACTGAGCTCTGGTGTTGGTATAGGATCCTTGCAAGTAGCAATTTCCGTGGCGTGTTTTCGGCAGTACTTATCAAACTAAAAGTATGATGAGATACTGAGTCGAGTGCAAATTTTTCACAGAAGCTGACATACCACAATAAATTAAATAATGAACAACAACCCTCGATAGTTGCCTTGAAGGTACCTTTGCAATAAATCCTCGAACCTTCAGTAGAAGCCCCGAAACTACTTTTACCTGTTCCGAACCAACAGGCAGGTTTGCACATGCAGTCTCAGCATCTTGGATAAGAGCCTCAATTCCTTCTTCCGTGTCTTCATCATCAGCACTGGCATCAATCTCGCCCAAGGTGTCTGAAGGAGGTGGAATCACAGAGGCATCTTCGACTGTTCCCACAGAATTCTTTTTCTTGATGCTGGGAGATAGCTTCGTCAAAAATGCCCCTTCGGCAAGGGCCACTGCATGCGAGAAGCAGCTAATGCAACTCAGTAAAACAACAATCATGAGATTTTGACAGTACCAACTGCGAGCGCTGCGCTGTTGCATTAAAGTCATGTGACTTCGCCCTCAATTTCTTGCCCAGGACATGCAAACTTTTATCGTTCACAGAGACATTGTCAGCCGTGATGTTCTGTACCTAATATGCACCATGAGCAACACACAACATAGCAAAACTCGAATCAACCTTATCGGAGATGCCAAACTTATCCAAAATATCATATAATTCCTCACCAAGGTTCTCGCCAGTATGACTACCCAGAACCTCTGAAAAAGATAACAATTTGGAATGCAGCTGCCATTCTCTTGTCATCCAATGCCCCGTTACAGCAAGATATGATGTCATTATCTTTGATGTCCACCCATCAAAAGTCAGGGAAACACAACCAGGAGATTCCTGTTTATTATATATAAATTATGGCCCTTGAAAAAACACGTCTCGTACCTGTAATTCCTCGGCAAGATCCCTTCGAATTTCATCTGCACGTTCGAGAACACAGGTGGTAATTTTCGTCCGATGCAGGATATCAGCATCTTTGGTTTTGTTCCGGCTGTTGTAAGTGAGAAGGTCATGAAACGACTTATGGTCGACAAGTGATAGTGCCTGTGCAGATATTGTCAATGCTGACAGGCGAATTATGTGGTCATTCACACACCTGATCAGTCTCCAAAACGAAGCGAATGATATGTTCTTGCAGACCATCTTTCGTATATTGAGGCTCTGTTGTAGGTTTCACGGTCTCCGCAAAGTCAATAATGCTTTGTTGCCTATCAAAAAACAAGTCAGCATCAGGTAAAGGTATACTCGACAATTCAAAATGAATTGTGTGTAATTTACGTATTGGTTGCCTTGCCTTCCAAACGGTCCAATTCTTCCTGCGGAACACATCGTTCGTCCATGTCAATGTCTTGCTGCACGCACTTCTCACAGTATCGACGGTAGTGAGACATGCCCATACGTTGGATGTGAGTGCGCATAGCAGTGTTGTTGCCTTTGAAGATAGTTTGCAGTTTGCCATGCTTTTTCAGATTGGCTTCACGAAGCTTGCTAGTACAAGCCAAGTGAGTCTCCAACAAACATGAAACATAAGTTTGGTACTCACACACAAGGCTCGCAGACATAACCTTGTGAAGGATCCTCGTCGTCAACCAGCTTGAAGATTGTCAGAATGTCCATGGCACCATCACCTCTTTTGCGTTTTTTCTTGACCAGCTCGGATGCTGTATCATCAGCAGTCTCATCTTCGACTGACATAGATGACCCTGTATGATGAAGCCCATTTTGCTTTACATGTGCGATCGCTGGTGTTACAGTCTTCTTCGACTTTGCGTTGGTACCAGCCTGCCCTTTTGGGCGAGTTAATGCCATTAGCGTTGGATCGGAAGTTGCTGCAGGTGTGGAATTGTCAGCCGTTTTTTGTTTGTGAGGATTCGTGAAGTCAGCGGGGGTTGAAGATATAATTTTTAATGGGGTTGGTGAAGACGGCCTATTCCTTGCAGGTATTTTGAGGGTCAAAGGTGTGTGTTGATTAGTAGGAGATTGAACCCATTCCATCTCTTCAGCGTTTTTTAGGGAGCCATCGGGATTGAGTGCTGGAGCATCGAATTGCGGAGGCATTTTGACGTACTTGCTGCTCGCAGTTGAATAGGTAGATCAGTGTTTTTAGAATTTCTGCTGGCTGCATGACCAAAACAAAATTGAGCTTCCTCTTTCTCAAAATGATTATTCAACATTTGTAGTACATATGGTGCAGGTTACAGTTCGAACATGTTCGCTACGGTTCACACAAAAAGCCCAGCGCCCGAACCACAAACCTCTCCCAGTGTGTATCAGTCGAACCCAACCGTAACCGCACCGCACTGTCAGTGCAGTTCGCGGTGCAGAACCGGTTCGGGCAGTTCAGAACCGCACCACGGCAACTTTAATGGCATGCGGAGACATGGCTGGTCCGCCACTGAGCTTTGCAGCTTGCAGGATCGTTGGCCACAGAATTGGACTCTGCCAATTCACTCGTTGTGCATCAGTTGGCCCGTGAGTGCATTTACGACCACCATGAGCAGCTGGTTTTTTCTGGCAAATGTCCTCCTTAATGACACGGTGTGGGCGGGATAACTCTGCGAGCGAGTGAGAAGGCTGTGAGCCAAGGCTTTGCAATGGTGCTGGTGGCTGCAGTACATCATTGACTGATCGTAGTTTGTTCTTAAATTAAATGAGATTAAGTCCGAGTCTGATGAATTGTTTAAAATAAGACTTACATTCTTCACTCATGCACGATGGGCACGCTGGCGATCTCGGTCATGAGTGCGCTTCAGGAGTTTCTGTTCTGCTGCTTTCAGTGTTGCACTGAATTCCTCTTCCTCCCGTTCATCACCGCGCACAAGGTCCTCCTGATGGACAGCATCAAGATATTCTTGCTGTGAGATGATGCTAAAGTGCCTCAGCAACCCAGTCCTGGGCTGAGATGGCGAGACCCATAGATCTAGGGAGACATGCAACTCGGATGGTGGTATATTGGTGGACATGGGGGAGGCAGAAGATTCGCAAGAGAAAGAAGACTCTGAGAAGGATGTTGGTTGGAACGGAGAATCAGATGGATGGTGGCAGTAGTTGTCGGAAGCAGAAAAATGACCCCGAAGAAGATAGATGAGCTCATTGATGCACAAGAAATATTTCGTTTTATCCGTAAATAATGGGACGTCGAAGAGAAAATGACGAATCATGTTGATCATTGCAACTGTGCATGAGTATGAGTCGACCTGCCTGCCGTGGAGTAATACGGTGCCTTTGGACAATGGTTGGAAGCCATGCTCCCTCAACCATCGTTGGATGAGATCAATGTCTTCCTTCGGCCATGGCCAATCCAATAAATCACCGTAATGGACCTCTCGTTTCTTCCCATCAATCAGCAAAACAGTCCAATGCATGCCACTGACATTCAGAGGGAATAGGACATGTGTGAGCTCTTCATTCACCAAGGAATCACCAAGCGATGGAGCCTTGTAAAACACTTGTCAACTAAGTAACGACCCCATCGCTCATGACTGCAACGTAATGTTTTGATGAATGTCAGATCTTCGACAATTGTTGTCTGGCAAAGTTGTGGATTGAGATGGATGCGGAGGGATATCTCATTCACCATTGCATCAACAAAGCAGCCCTTCATTGGTGTGGATGATAGGAACTCTGCAAGATCGAGCACCTGGAGTGATGTAGCTGGGCCGCGGAGAGTAGTACCCCACCCAAGTACCTGAAGGCTACTAAAAACCTCGTCAACGGCAGCTGCAAGATCAGTGTCTGCATTTTCTCGCTGGCCTGCTAGCCAATCACGAGCCAGACTCCAGCACTCCTTCGCTGCAATAGCGCACCCTAAATCATGCCAGTACTGAACTACCCAACATGGAAGATTACCTGGAAACCATGGATCCTTGACAGATTTCATGCCATCATGATAGGCCTGACCGAAGATATCTAGGAGCTGAGTAGACAAACTAAGCGGCGGAAGGGAGCGATCCAGGAAGTCAGTGGGCACATCATTTGTAACACACTGCTCAGAAATGAAAAAATGATGTAAGTCGGCCACCGTGAGCGAGTGATCAAACAGTGGTAGATTGGTGAAGTCAAGAAGAGCCGAGATGGGGAGGTGCGGAGCCGGAATAAATGAATCATAGCATGGAGGGAATACAAGCAGATGTGCATAATGCTGTTGCGATTCAAGAGAAAGATCAATAGCACTATCCTGGATGAAAGAATTCATGGGTGACTGAGATGGGGACGTTCAGAACAGACAGATAAAACTTACTAGATTATATCAATGTACCCTGGTGATCAATATCCCGCCGAGACACTACAGAAAGCTAGAAGGAAGTCAGATATGTAGTGATCTCCGTCGTCGACTGAGGATCAGTTGAAGAAGCATATGGTCAATCCGACTCGGAGTCTCCGAGCCCCAGCGTAGTCTGACCACCTCGGCGAACTTATCTTAAGTTTGTCACAGGTCACAGCACTGAACAAACATGTGAACTTACCATTATGTCATGTCACACGACAACCCCCACGAACCTAAGGTCGAATGCATACAGTATGACTGAAGCACCTACAACACAGTTTTGTAGTCTCCAACATTGTAAATTTGCTGTCCCTGGAGGGCCGAGCATCAGCAAATCATGGGGTTCTGTAAGCCTAGGCTTACTATGTGCATTACACATCACATCTATTCTGATTGGACACCACAATATATTTGTCTCTGCTTGGTTGTTGATGCTGATCCCCCATATATACCTAATTGCTCACCAAGTTGTATCTTATCTCTTACTGTACTGCTCAGTGGCTCAATCCCATACACTCATCCATGTTAACTGCTGTCTGATTCTCCATTAGTGTTGCTGTCTACTGTGATGGCCTTCCACTTTTTTTAATGTTCAACTGAGTGTTACCATTGCTGCTACATCTTCTTTCACTGTTACTATCTCTTACCATCTGTCATCATAGCCATTGGGGTTTGACTTTGGCCAGATAACCCCCTCCAAACAACAAACTGCCTCCTCACAGCACTTGTGTTATTGTACCCATGTCAATTATGACACACAGTTGTACTAAGGCATTGGCATCACTCTCAGGCACTGCACCAGTACCAGTGAACACATCACTGGATTGTGTGTTTACACCACCTAATCCCCCTTCTCAGCCTTCAACTTTATCCTCCTTGAAGTCTACAGACTACAGAACTACACTCACCATCTCACATGTACACATGCACTTCTTCCAACTCCTATTCTGACTCACCTGGCATGTCCATGACATTGAAACAGGCATGTGTTGACCAGTTATCTGTGAGTAAGCCACCCTTCCTGACTACAGGTAAGTTTACCCCAGAGGTACTACACTTGTGGAAAATGGGGTGCAAACAGTTCTTCTTGCACAAGGAAGTCAAGGATACTGAAATGGTGATGAAGGTTGTGTGGGGTATGCAGGATCCTTGTATCCAAGATTGGTACATCAACAATTAAGACTGGATAGATGCAATGGCCTTCAAAGACTATATGGAGGAATTGCATGCATATTGACTGGCATTGGACTGGACAGATTTAGTGCACTACAAGATGCTGGCCTCCACACAAGGACAATGTACATTTAGCAAGTGGGCTATTGATGTTCAAAGCCAGAACACATTGCTTTATGGAACCACTTCTCACCTTTCTGATGTTAATATCTATGCCACCTTGAATCTCACATGAACACTGACCTCACCACTGACTACCACACTGAGAAAATATCTGAAAAGGATCTGTGAAAGTGGATTGAAAAGGTGCACATCCTTGATTATGAACACTTATGCTACTTCATCTGACAGAAGGAGACTGCAGATGCAGCAATACATGCAGAGAGTGGTTGTTCAAATGTTGATAAGAAACTAACCTTGTCATCAATGTTCAATGCCAAGGCTGGTCCAAGATCTGCAGGGACCTCCAACTCAATGAGCAAGACCTTTGTCTGTCTCCCACCCCTTACTGAGAAAAAAATGTCAGCTCCATTAGGACAATGATGGATGTTTCAAGTGTCATGAAGCATTTGTGGGACATACATTGAACAATTGTCAGAAGGGCTTCCCTGAGGGCACCATATACAAGACTATCACTGCCGCCATCATTGCTGCAAAGAAACCCAAGAGAAGTGGAGCGGTAGTAGCATCTGTGGAAGTAGAGAATACTGTTACTGTTGTAATGCCATCTGCAGTATTGGGTGATGGTACTGACTCAGATGAAGAGTGCATGGCTCTGCTACAGACCCCTCATCTTCGCTGGAGCCATCTTATTGACAGACCTGCTGTTTCTTCTTCTGTTACTTTTTCTACTCTGATTGACCATGGTTCTTCTCTAGTTCTGATTGATGAATCACTCACAAGCACACTTGGACTCTGTCAATGTGCACTACAAAGACCAATACCAGTGTCCATCATACTTTCTCAAGATACAAAGCAATCCTTTCTTTTATTGCATTATGTCAAATTGTCCTGTTCCTCTCTTGATAATGTATACATGTCTTGAACTATATGCACAATTGTCACACTGAATCTTTGTACCCTGCTTCTACTTGGAGGACCTTTCCTTGAGCATAATTGCATCATGCCCTCTCAGATGATTTCTCTGACCAAACACCCTGTGTGCAAAGGGCAAACCTTACAAGATATTATACTCACTCATCATTGTCCAGGTATACTCACAAGTCACACATGACATGAAACTCATGCTCACCTATTATTGTCTAGGTCTGATTGACAATCTCAAGGTGTTTCTCAAAAAATGCCAATCCCAAAGAGCTGGCACCTGTTATGACTATGATAGTTCTTCCTTAGCAATCCAATAAAGGATAAGGCATATCGCGAGTTTCAGCTAGTCAGATGTCAAGGTCCGCTAGATCAAGGATTCAGACTAGTCAAGTGTCAAAGGCTCGCTAGATCAGATATCAAGGCTAGTCTGCTGAGAGGCAGCTAGATCGGTGAACTCGAGTTATCAGGAAGAACCTAGTAGATTCAAGTTAAGGAATACAAGTACAGGAGGTATGGTATATATAGGTAACAAGAAGGTGGTTTAGGGCCAGTCTGCAGGTAGATGACCCTATTATGAAAGGTAAGCAAGAATGGAAAGATAGTGTTGACCAATCAGAAAAGGAGTCAAGAAGTGGTACAATGTTGGATCGTCCAATCAGAGACTAGTATGAGTAATCATCTGCGTAAGCATAATGAGTAAGCATATGAGTAAGTGTTCACGTGTTGGACATGTTGATAAGCAGTCATGAGACCCGATGAGTAAGTAAGAAAAGAAAGAGAAAAGAAAATATAGTGCCATTGTAACAGCACCACTCTCTCGAGTAGAAGGACAGTTGAGTTGAGTAATCTACCCTTCAACAAGTTGGATGTGTTTTACGGCTTCAAGTTTGTGTGTGAAGAGTTGGGAGATGATGCAATAGATGTGAAGCAGAAAAGGGATTGGGTATGAGCTTGTCCATCTTCTGCAAGGCTGGAGGAGCATTTTGATACAGTGGTTATCATGAGGTCTGACCAGTGTGAGTCTACAGGAGTTGAAGGTGAGTTTTAATGCATTCATGATTTAGCTTTATATCTTATGCTTCTGCAGGAACTTGTATCGGTTGCCTCTATCTAATATTCAAACTACCCAACACAGTGTATGGAGCTATAGACACTCCTACATATTGGCCCAAAGAACCACTAGCTTATGTTGAGTGGTATGCTCCTCTTGCTAGTACAGCTGATGAAGATCACAAGGTGTATCAAGTGAAAAAGGTGCCTCTCGGGAGAGGAGGGTCTCCTCCTGGTGAAATTGTGTCTGTCATATTCATGAATTATACAAGTCTCTTCTGCCCTCAGTTATTGTCATTCACCCTCACTTATAGTCCTCCGCCCTCATCCATGTTCCTCTGCCTCTAAATATGTATCTCCAATGTCAGGAACATTCCTCTGCCCATGACTCGATCAAGGTACAAGGCACATGTCAGTCCATTATGAGTCCCCTTTGTATATCCTGCTTTCTGTCTAGTTCTGGTACCTTGTATGATCCAACTCTTCATTCCAATCTAGCCTATTGTACACTATGGTTTGTTGTACCTTTTACTATTACTTTGTACTCTGCTATGCTGTGCCGCATAGCCCAGGATTCCTACAGTATAGAAACCCTATGTATTCTGGTATTGTTTCTGCAATACGAATATAGACTCAAATCTATCCTAACCACCTCCAACTTGACTTGAGTCTTACTCATTGTCTACTCCAACCTTGAGACTAGTCTCACCAATCTCTGCCTGTCTTTCAATAGTCCTTATATCACTTTCTATGTTGGACTTAGTCCCTCATGACTGTACCCCTGTCAGAGCACGTCAGAGTTGACCTTCAGCAAGCCCCTATCCATTCTTTGAAGTTAAGGGCACTGTACTTGCATAAGGAGTGCAGCACACAAGCTGAAGCTAAGCCCCTCTATACCCTCCTGCCTACCTGCTAGACATGGTTCTGACAGTATCCCTCAGTTCCATGCATCAGAGTTGTCAGCTGATTCCTTGCTTTGGATCTGCAGAAGTTCCTATAGCATGAACTTCAGGGATGGTATTAGATCACTGTATTAAATTTTGGTTGAATAATTGGTCTAGTAAATACTCATATCAATCCTTATGGTAGTTTTCAATACTATGTCTTTGAAATTCATGCTATATTGAAAGTACTTGTTTGATCAATTACTATAATCAACTATAGTCGACTATAGTTGAGTGAATCATATATAGCTGACTATAATAGCTATAATAGAACATGTTGACAAAATGTCAAACAATATATATCTGTAATTACTTGTTAAGTTACATAAAGTTAGGGTTCTCCCACATATCTCTACATAGCCAAAGGGTTTTTCCTGATGATCATCATTGATCATGAGCTGCATACTTGTATTGTGAAAGATCTTAACTATGACCTGCTCTACCCTCCAACAGCTAAACATCCTTCTCCTCGATGTGTCACACCAACTCTGCATGTGGTGCACTGGATGAAAAACTGTGTTCTTCACAAACTCAAGTAATACTCCCTGAATTGAGGAAAATTGTCAATCATGAATGCAAATCAGTCAAGAGCACTGACATGGCAGCTGCAGTGCAAACACATATTGATAATCTTGTTTTTCAAGAACAGCTCACAACAAGAGACACTGTGATTAAAACAGAACTCAAAGATTGTTTTCCTGTGAATATACTTCACAATGATACCTTTCCATGTGATGTACTCTTTTGTGTTTGCCTCAAAGATGCTAATAAGGTTATCCAGAAACAAGGTTACAACTGTCCCTGTTAAGGTCATGCTCAAGGGGAGGAGAACTCAAAGGGCTTGGCTTCAGCTCGTGTGCTGTGCCCCTTACCCGAGTATGTGCCCTTAATTTCTGAGAGGTAGGAGAGAAGTCCAATGAAATCTAGGGAAGTCCAGAAGTCAGATGCAGGGGGAGTTTGGCAGAAACTCTGGAGAGTCAGGGGTAACTAGAGTAAGGCTACTACAGACAAGTCCAGAGTAGAAACAGAATGGAAGTAGACTACCCTAAGGTAGAGCCAGAGATATAGTCTAAGGAGTGAATCCAAAGACTCAGAGATGGCCAGGAGGTAAACTCAAGTCCAGAGAAACAGGAATGAGCAGGAACTAAGATGATATTTGAACTGAGGAGGTATGGAGTGTTACAGGAGTTTATATACTGTAGGTATCATTAGGAGGATCAGTAAGCAAAGTCCAAGGCTATGTATGGAGCATGAGGAAAATTAGGGGCTATGTGCGGAGCACATGGAAAGCTGATTAACATAAAAGATGGATCATATAAATGAAGTCGGAAATGAACTAGGAGAATGGAACAATAAGAAGGTATTCCGACCCCCTTGACCAACTCTATTCCCACCCCTAAGTGCTTCACTCTTCTTCCCTGTCGGTCCTCCTAACCCTACTTCTGTTCCCCCCGCCATTTCCACTCTTCTGACCCCCTCTATTCCTTTAGTTCCCCTCATGTTGGCCCACCCAACTGTCAGTCCACCTGACCACCTCACTGGTCCACTTCTAGACAAGGAACCACTCAACTGGTCCTATCTCCCTTTGGTATTATAGTTCCTCCTTTCAGATCTCCAGTATTTTCTATACCTGAATGATTATTGATTTATCACATACATATTGTTCTCCAAGCCTCCAACTTGTATGACTCAGTCATCCTTCTTGTAATACTGTACACTCAGCACATAGCCTCCTGCTATGCTATGCTACTTACCTGGAGTATATCAACATGTGTACATTGTCTGTAGTTACTCAGTCTGAATATCACCTTTTCTAAGCCCTGCTCTTCTGTTCCTGGACTTGGGCTTGCCCTTGTCAACTCCTGTTTGTCGACCTGGGGATTGACCCCCTAGGTCAGCTGCCTTATCCACCTGTCAGACTTCCCACATGTTGGCCGACTTTCCCACCCTTCAGACTTGAGCCTAGAGCTCTAGTTGTTCTGTCCCTCTTGTTTCCTTTCTGCTTTGGTCTTTGTCCAAGCAGCCTTGTCCACTCTGCTTCTACTGTTGGTTCCGACTGAAAAAGAGGACAGATACTGCACAAGAACTGCAGCACTTCTTGATGCTGAATGTACAGCTGATCATTTGTTTGCTTTTGGACAAGTCTCTCACAAGTATGTGTGCTGTTCAGTTGTTTTTTTATCTGTTTTTTTTTTTTTGAATCAATGGCATATTGGTATACAAAAAGAGCACATTCCCACTGCTTTTTGTGTTGCAATGGATGTCTTTCCTGCACAAGCTTCATCTGTCCATTTGAAACATGTCTTACAAGTTCTCTTCCAGCAAAGAGATGTGCACACTTTGGCATGCCAATCTATCATCATCAGTGTTTGAGGCACTACAAATCCTCAAGTTCTCTTCCAAGCAAGACAAGCTGAATTTCACATTGAACTTTATTGCTGAAGAAGTGGATAATATTTTGGGACCTGTGACTAGGAATTCCATAAACAAGCCTGTGGCAGCAAGCAAGCTCAATACACTCAGCAATTTGTGAATAAGAATGAGGATTAGTACTGGTGTTGCCACGATCAAGGATAGAGATCAAGGTAGTGTCATATACCTGATCTGACCGCTCCGATATTGATATCCGCTCTGCTTTCCAACCCCCCCTGCTCCATCCATCCTCCACTCTGTCCGCATCCCGCCCCTACGCTTCCCCTCAACTGCTCAACCGGTCCCCTTCCATAACATCTCCATTCAACTGGACCTCTTTCCCCTTTTAGATATATACTTTCCCCTTTGGTATATGGACCCTTACTTCTGGATCACCAGCAATTCCTATTACCGCTCGATCACTGATCCGACACGTACATATTGATATCCACTCCGACTTGTGTCTTCACCTGTGTAAGTACTTACAAATTATATCCTTGGTACATAGCTTCACAACATAGTTATCCTGGTCACTGCCTCATACATAGAAGTATATAACATATCATGTACTTAGATATTTTCCTCAGTCTTAATATTACTTGTCTTCTCACAGTTACCTCTTGTGAGAATTCTCAGTAGGACCTTGCCTCCTCTGGACACAAGTCTTAACTTGTTGTCACCTCCGACCCTCTGACCCTCTGCTCCGACTTAGAGCCGTGCTCTAAGTGCTCCCCTTAATTCTCCACCCCTACCAATATTCCCCTTATCCCTTTCCCCATCCTCCACATTATCCTCCACCTTCCCTGCTCCTACCAAACCTTTCCCCTACTCCTATCCACCCTCCGCATCACTCCCCACCTTCTCCGCTCCACTCCTATTCGGCTCACCGCTAGTAGCTCTTCCTTCCCGACCCTCAAAGCAGACCTAAGCAGTTCACTCGTCCTATCATCGGACAACGTCGGACCCGCTCCAAATTTGGGGCACGTACTCGGCTAAGGGCGTAGTGCAAGAGCTGAAGCCAAGCCCCGACCCCTCTGCCTCTTGAGCCAGCATGGTACCTAACAGGTAGAAAGAATAGACGAAGCCAAGAACTAGGTGCCTTAGCCAATGTTCATGGTTCTGACTTAGAGTGACTCGAGTGTCTTAGAAGTATTTAATTTCTCTTTATCACAGGCTTCTCACATGCTACTAGTATTTAAACTCTACTCGTACTGTAAGAATCCCTTAGTTCTTTTCCAATCGAATCAGACTGGTATCTGGTGACTTTGCGATAAGGATTCTTTTCTATTCTATTCCATTCCTTGTGCCGACACATCAAGTCTTATCAAATTTTGACTGCCGTCACAAGTACTGAGTCTCTTGGATTATATCACAAGGCTATAGCTACATTTAGTCAATCTATTATTTCTGCCAACTGTCCTGCCCATCATCAGTAAACCACAATGGTCTGTACAGAGCTGTACAGTTCACCAGAGCCACAGCTTGGTCCCACTGTCACAGACAGGCCCATCTCTGTACAGCTCTGTACAGAGCTTCCCAGAGCTCCACAGTAGCCCTCTAGTTACACAGAACCTTTCCAAACATATTAGAAATCGCTTTTTTCATTTTTATATTAACTCAAGTCAAACATGTAAAATTAAATTTAAACAAATGGATTGCAAAAGAAGCAACTACTCTACTGGACTCATCAATACAAACAGTGAGTAAGGATGTGAGATAATCAAAGTGCAAGAGTGCAAGAGAACAGGTTGTCATCATAGTTGTAGTCATTCATCATTGTCATGTTGTTGTCGTGTCGTGTCGTTGGGTCGCTGCCGTTGTCGTGATAGCACTGTCATAAAGACAAGTTGTTAGTAATGTATATATAAATGAAAATGAAAACATGCACCTATTGCGCGTGCCACGAATGAACAAGTGCAAACACAAAACAAGCATGAAAATACTAGTAAGTAATGTACATACATACATACATAAAAAAACACACCTTCGAGTGGTGAGAAAGATGGGCAAGAGACAGGGCATGACGGGGCACGAGAGATGGGCAAGAGAGACGGGTGAGAGATGGGGCAAGAAGACAGGTGAGAGATGGGGCATGAGAGACGGGCGAGACAGGGCATGAGAGACAGGCAAGAGACAGGGCGAGGGATCACACAGGGTGAGAGAGACGGCATGTCGCACGGGGCGAGAGAGACGGGGTGAGAGATGGGGCACGAGAGACAGGCGAGAAACAGGGCACAGGAACACGAGAGACGGGGCAAGAGACGGGGCATACGAGCACGAGAGACAGCACGAGAGGAGAGGGCGCGAGGCCCATCAGTGCTGGGGAACAGATCAACTAAGGTCAAAGTAGTTAGTGCCGAGTCTGCTGACTGTGCCGAGAGAGTGGGAGAGGGTGGTTAAGGTAAATATAAGCAAGCAGTAATAAGAAAATAAAGAAAATAAAAGACTTACTTGAAGGATAGCAGTGGTGCAGGTAGAAGTTAAGAGTCGAAGTGTAGAACAAAGACTTCTGAAATTTTCGACAAGTTGAACAATGACTTACATCAGCATTGCCGAGTTCTGTGAGGTTCTGTGGTGCTGTGAGAGCTGTGAAAATTAGCAAACACTGTGCAAGGTTTAGTAGTTCACTGATGATTGCCAACTTCGTGAAGTGGAATGAAGTGCACTTCGGCTTACTTCGTCCACATCGAAGTGTACTGAAGTGTATCTAATTTCCACTTTGATTCGCTTCAGTTCACTTCGCGGCAACACTAAACAGACTTTGCAAGACCTTAGCAAAAGTTCACGTGGTCTTTGATATCCCCGAAAAGGCTTACCCATCACGTTATCCTGCGAATGCGTTCGACCTCCAAATTCGAAGCCAGTTTTACCAGTCCGTCTATCGACGGCTTGCCTCATAGGTTTAACAGGACTGGTCACGAGTCTAAGTTCTACCACCAATGCAATCATTTTCGGGCAGTAATGCATTAAAATGATAATATGGGCTGAGTGTGCATGATCCTTTACATAAGACGAGACGCCTTCACAACGTTGAGCATCCTACCTAGAGCAATTAAACCAAAGCTTTGAGCCCCAAACATGCTTGGATCTTCCTCAAGGGTATCTTCCGCTACACGCCACGCCGCCCAAGAGCGCTTGAACGTTTCCGCCATCCTTCGCTGTCCTGCATCATCTAACTCTTCGCGGAAGGCCCAATCCTCGTAATCCTCTTCCACATACGCTTCCGTCTCTGATAACCCCAGGCCCTTCGCCTGGAACTCTGCCTTGACCGCACGGACAAGCTCGTGCGTCTGGGACTATCGTTAAGGAAGTCGTGGCGCAGATTTAACGCCATGCTTACCTGCAAGTTCATCGCAGAGACTGCATCCCGCCGACGTTGATGGTCTGACCAATCCGCCATGATGGTCCCGCTTACTAGTTCTGCTTCAGAGACGTGGATATTCTTGTTTTTTGAAATTGTGTGCGCTTGCCCGATGACCAGAAGCTGTTCACAATATGCCTTAAGTAGATATGTCATCTCCTCGATCAACTCTTCACTGGGATCGGTCAATCCTGAAAGGCCGATATGACGGAGGTCCACACGAGAAAGTGCGGTCTTCACGGTGTCTCCGTCGGATGGAGAGTAGTTCCCGTTCCATGGTGGAGGTATCCCATTCTTCAGTGGTACCCGACGGAAGAGTTGACCGAGCAGTTTCGTGCTTCTGTAGTACTGCCCGCTGGTGAGATCAGCAGCCTCTTTCGCAAGAAAATCAGGTCTAAGTTGAGTCCTCGGAAGCCACGGTATGGATTTGGAGTTGACAGGAGTGCCGCTCTTCGGAAAATCGAGCGCGTGTGAGGCAAAATTCGCGAGCTGAATGCATTGTATGCAATCTGGATCATTCAGGTCAGAAAACCTGAGATGACTTATGGCGATTGGACCAATGAGGTCCGCCTGAATCTACATTCCACAATTCATCTTCCAGCCATTGGAAGTTTGGATGCGACTCACATAGTCAATTACGAAATCCGCGATATCAGAGATGTCACACGGCTTCGGTGTCGTCTTGATGGGCGCTGCTGTATATTCTCCTGGTTCGTGGAGTTTCCGATTTGTTGGTATCAGTCTCGGCTGCGGAATGCTCAGGCGTGAATGAACGCATCAAACTTTTGAGCTTACATCAAGTATTAGGTTGAATATATCGCCATCAAGATCGCCCCCACTCAGACACGATGCAAGTGCTCGTTGACCGCTGTCGACGATGTAGCTCAGCGTGCCTTCGTTTCGAACCCTTATATAAAACTTACTCGCAAGAAAATACGATGACGTTCTTCAGGTGCTTCAACTCTGGCCGTTGTACGGCGCTCACAACCTGCAGGTCGCCCGGGTGAATCTGTGGGCTGCGAGTGATGGCGATCCTGCCCGTGACATGCAGAACAAATCCCGTTCTTTCATCGAACACCGTTGCGTATATTTCTCCCTCCCTCAGACAGCCCCATTCATCGGAAACGCCAAGTAGGGTATACGAACCTGGCACTGCTATATGGGCACGGTACTTCAAGTCCCGCAGGATGTGCGTCTCGACGCAGTAGAGGGAGCTTTCTATGAGCTTGCTGGTCCATCGAGATGGATCATCCGCCGTGTCTCCGATTTTCAGCTGCAAAATGGATGACAGATTTGAGAAGAGAGACGGTAGGCGGAAAGATGCCCCCAGTCCGTGCTGCTGGATAACTTTTGAGGCATCGGTAGACGAAGATCGGACGGATTGGGCTCTGCGGATGCCATCATCCTGCAATTCAATGATTCTATCGGTGTCCACACCCAAGAACTCCAGAAGGACGACGAGCGGACGATTGAGGAACATCGCTATTGGTCCCGCTGACGTCGATTGGACATCAAAAGTGAGATTCTCCAATGCATCGAACTTGATCTGCGACGGACGAAGGCGAACGAGCTTGCCTCCAATGGTGGGATCTTGCACGACCATGCCTTTGGCACCACCAAGTCGAAATTGGAAGGCTGATGGGACATTTCGCAGGTTCGCGGGCCGCTTCTTGCCCCTCTGCATAGAGACCCATATGTCCTTGGCAAGCTCGACCGATATGGAACTGCACCCGTCTGTCATAAGCTCACCAGAAGGTGAGTATCTGTCAGGGCAACGAAAATCTACTTCTTCGGGAAGAAGTGTGATTGACGGATGCGTGCCAGAAAAGGCTTGAGACCACCTCGCAGCCAAACGAGCTGGTTGGTGGTAAAGTTTGGAGAAATCGCCCTAATGGTTGCATTCGGTTGACAAGATCGACCAAGGCCAATGCCGACTCACCAGGTTGTCCCGGATTGACTTCGCATCCAGCAGCTTCCCATTCTCATCCTGGAACGGTGTCACAAACCACACCGAATGTTCTTTCAGACCGCTCATCGAATATCCCAAGAACTGGAATTGGCGTCCCGCGATGCGATAGCCATCGAGCAGAATAGAATGATATCGATTCCGCAAAAGGCCTGTAATGGAACAATTGACCTCCCGTTTCAGTCTTGAGCGATTCTCGTCCTGGAAACTGACACGAAGGAAGCACTCTGGATGTCCATAGCGGCGCAAAACACTATTGGACTGGTCTGGGATAGGTCCCTCCAAGATGTACCGTGTCGGTGTGAGAATGAGATGGTAGGATAGGTATATCCCACTTCCTGGCGGCGGGGCTAGAAAAGGACGGGGCTTCTGGTGCTCTCTGATAAATTCCTGCGTAACTTGGCCAAGAAGAGACGTTAAATTGCCTTGGCTGGATTGCTGCTGCCTATGGTTGTGACGTGTTGTGCGACTTGCACTGCGTCCTTCGACCTCCGAGGCAAAGGATCGAAAAATTTCTGGCGCATCGTTACCATGCCCAGCTTGCAACGAGAGGATGGCCTCCTTCAGCGACCCTATTTCTCCCAGACTAAAAATAGAATTGGCAAGGGTCTTTTCCACCTCGAACCCAAGCTTGTATGGGATCTGAGAGAGGAACCTGTGAAACTTCTCAACAGATTTACTATTCGAGCCTACGCGATCACGGATGAGAATATGATGTTGTGTGGAGTACCGCAGATGAAGACGATTTTGACACGCGTAAACGAACACATCCGCGTCTGACTGACTCCCGAAGGCCAGCATCAGACTATGGCAGCCAGGAGGTATGACTTCATTAGAACCCAAGCCCACCAGACGGTCAGAGCTGGTGTTCCCATTTCCATTGGAGTCACGTTCCAAGGAGTACACAGGGGGCGCGTCGGCACGAATGAACACGATAGTGGTATCTTCATCCCGGTTACCCACTAGTGCAATATTCAGAGCCGCATAAGATGCAGTAACGATTGTGTCCCCCATGACCTCCGCCCAATCGACATAATCATCCAGGTGCTCATATGTGTTCAGCTGGGGCTTGAACGTGAAGCATACCTGCCGACGCTCCAAGTCACAAAACACATAAGCTAGACCAGCAGGGGAGACCTGCGAAGAAAAAGATCCGTCCCGGAGGAAGCGGCCGAATGAGTAGTGAGGAAGGTGAAGAGACTTATTTCTATAGAGAAGCCGTTCAAGCTTCTCTCGCAACTGTATTGGGTTGCACCATGGAACATCATTCAATCTCTTGATTCGGACCTCGTGGATCGCCTGCGTGCTCCTGCTGAGGAGGATTGGTCGGCCTTTGACGACAATCCCTGCGCCACCATGAACACGCAAGAGAGCGACACCGGCATCCTCCATTGGCAGAGTGAGGGTGCCTTGCTGTCCGTTCGGGTGTGACCCGTCTGATATATAGATTTCAAAGTTGAGAAGAGGATTGGTTGGGAAAGGGGGATTGTGAATGATCTTGGCGAACTCGATTGTCAAGTCATCTGTGGTAACTGCCAGAGGGATGTTGCGCATAGAAATCTCCATCTATCCAGTTCAATGTCAAGTGTACGTTTGGATCGTGAAAGTGTTACTCACCTTGTGTGAGTTCGATTGGTATCAGCGGGGAACACGATCGCATCAGCACTTGAATATGTAGTGGGTTTTTGATCATGGATAAGCGCGCTACAGAAGCCAGATCAGAACATCACCATCATTGCGGGTAGAATACTAGGGCATGAGGTCGGCACGAGGTTCCTTGGTTTTTGTCACTATCATCTACCCTGAATCACGCGCGTGAGGCGAACCGTATCATTGCGGAGAAGACCATACCAAAGATAGAACTGATCATTGCCGCTCAAAGGAAGATTACGCCGGTAGAGCGCGGGAGAAACTCATAATTACTCCTGGATCTGGGGCTAGACGACTGCGATACCAGGGGGAGAGCACCGCCGGAAGGAAACCGGCATCTCATCTGACTTTCATTTCTACCTGATATCTTGGCACGGCGCCTGATACTGAGCAATTGTTAAGAAAGGGTGCGCAGTAGCAAGATTTTGGATACAACCGAGTTTGTGAGGGCAGTCTGCCAAATAAGATTAGAATCTGATAAGAACGCCTCGACATCAGTCCTTACCCTTCCTGAGACGCGGACCGCTGCACACGTGGGCCTCAACCCTTAAGCTGTATCCTGATCCAGAAGATGGATGACTGGGATATCAAAGTTCTTGACTAGCATGACTTCGGGCAACGTACAAATATATCACCTATTCCTTGATTGCTCTATTATTTGGTGGTTGATCTTTTCGTGGGCGCACCTTTGAGGGCGGGCTCATGCTTGGTTGCCAAAATGTCTAAAACTTCCAAAAATCCTGATGCTCCGTTACATTTTTCGACATGATGATCCCGGTTCTGCTTCTTCCGGGACCGTGCATTGAACTGTGAGACAACACTTGCCTGCACTTTTGCTGTCTCAGCAGCTTCCCACCTGTGGATCGACGACGGACTTGGATAACAGAAACTTGTCTTTCAAAAGCTCGTGGCTTCAGTAAGTATCACAATAGCGGTACAAAGTACAGATGCTCTGAGATTATAAACGGCTTCGAGGCTGTACCGTTGTTCTGCTGAAGCGCCAGAACGAGTTCTATCTCCCCGGGATATCTTTGAATAGGTTAATAAAAAGTTGGCGAGGGCAAACAAAGCGGTCACCTAAATACTCGTAACCCTGTGTTGGTCTACGATTGGTTATATCAGATAGCTGTATTCTTCTTTTGCAAGCAGACCACTTGCCAGCAGAGTGCATGATCTTCTGCTGCAGAAGCAGAAGTCGAAGCTTCGTGGCATTCGCAGTTGTTTAGTTGTTGGATGCGCAAGTAGACGTCATACGTTGCCTATGCAGGATCATTTCCATAATCAAGTTCAAGACTCGAACTTTGGACATGTTGGAATTTACGCACACATGGCAAACTGATACCAAGTTCCGCACTTCAGAAAGACCATAAGTACCGTCAACATGTAGTCCTGGAGGGGTGCGTAGATCGTATCTTCTGGGACAACATCCAAGGTACTCCGGCGGAACTCGTCGAGCGACATCCTAGCATAGTTATCAACTCTGCCACGACCTTTCTGGCGTACATGGGTCCTCTCTCGGGGTTGGGATAGGTGATTTGAGACTATGACTATGCTAGACGTGGAACGTACGTGGTGGTCAGGCAAAAGAAATTGCAACAACTGTGACTATCCTTGCGTGTGAATTTCCATGTCACGTTGACAAAGTTATATTTCGTGCAAAGTCGTTACACACTGTTGAAGCGTCTCTCTTGTGGTCTGCGCATCACTATTTCGCAGGACTACACGACTCTGCTGGCACTATATGGTTGACTCCGCCAGCGGTTCTCCGGGCCCCGTTTCTTCTCCTACCGTCTCCTCAGTCCTCGGTATAAAGGGGTCCCTTCGTTTTCGCCGTCATGGTGCAAGTCAGAAGGCGCACGTTGTCCTACGACGCGTAGAACTTGCTGAAGAGTCCGGAAATGATACTGGTAAAAGCTCCACTATATACTTTAGCCTTTTCGCGCAGAAGAGAATCGAGGTCAAACCTGGCAAGGAGATTTTACTGGCTGTGGCATCCGAGGACGGATCCTTCACAGACCAAGCAGTCATTTTCGAAGGAGATCTTCTTGGTGCAGATACGCGAACTGAACCCGAACAAGAAACCACAAATAATGTCGAACATGTCGTTGAGGTTCCGTTCGTCCCTCCAAAAATGAGGAGAACCTGGACCAAGGCATATGAACAGGTGAGCGTAGTTCCAGGTGAGTGATACGCGCTTGACAACGGGGGGTCCTTTTCAATGTGCTATTTACCGTGTAGATAGCGCCAACCGCCCGCCACCTCCACCTGAGCGTGTATCAGTGGGTATCCAGGTTCAGCCATCATGGGCAGTGAGTTCGGTCCAGGCAGTTCCAATGACGTCTCCTGTTCAAATTGGACAACACCCGTCACTTTCTGAGGACTTGAGCCTCGATACAAGCCCGCCGGAGGTAGCTGGAAAATCTTCAGCTCCTCAAAAATTATCTTTATCTCCGCCTCTTAATGTTCTTGTGAGTGCACTTTCACTTACTCACAAGCGTGATCCTGAGTCACAGTAGATAATGGACGAAGATCGTGAACGTAGCTTGTCACCAATGAGTTTAGGCTCTCCTTGTAGCACTCCTCCTCAATCCCCCATTGTCGAGCGCATACCGAATGTTTTCAGAGTTCAAAGCCCTGTTACAGAGCCTCCAAGAAGTTCTCAAGACAGCGGTATGGACCTCTCAAGTGACGCACAGGAAGAGGAGCAAATTGAAGAGGATCTTCGCCATCCAGGAGACACTAGCAGTTTACCCGCAGAACCTAACACTCCTACTTCTGAGACTGCCGACATGGATCTCCAGTCTTCTCCTAGCTCTGCATCTTCCTCGTCGTCTGATATACCTGGTCTTGTAACTGGTTCATCATGGCGTGCACCTCCACCGAAGACTGCGCCACCTCAACGAACGACGGATCCTGTACTGACACAAGAAGCAAGTTCACCCCAAAAAACTGTTTTTCCCTCTGTACAACCTCCTGTTTCCGAGCGACAATCTGCTTCTCCAAAAATATCTCCACCTTCTGCGGTGCCTCCTACTGTCAATCAACCCGTAATTCTACCTCCAAAACTGACAATAAACGTTCCAAAGAAACCGGCAATCGTCAATCCATTCGTTTCTGGTGGATTTATGACAGAGTTTGTTGGTTCGCCCGCCTCGCTCACTGCCCACAAATCACTACCACCGAAGTCTCGCACAGGTTCACCGAACATGTCGGACGCACAGGTAAGTATGACAGTTTTGATAATGGACCAATTGGACTCACATATGTCAATCCTCAGTCAACTCCTACGCCTATTTCAACACCTACTCCACTACGTCCCAATCCTCCACTTCAAGCACCTACTTTCATTCCCGCTTCTTGCACTGTACCCGCTTCCCTGTCCCCTCCCGCACCTTCACCTAAGTCTGCAACCAAGCCTTCCTTCCCACCTTTAGCAGTACCCGTAAGACCATCTACTCAAGATCAACGCCCCGCCGCCCTCCCCTTACCTCCAACACTTCCATCCGTCCCTCAACCGCCACGAACGCAAGCATACCCCAGTTCTCTCCCCCCTCGCCCCTCAGAAACTGTAATTGCTTACTCAAATAAGGCGCCCTACAAGGCGGGTTATTCGCCTTTGACGTCAGCCAGCGATGCGAGACTATCTTATAATGCTACTGGACCAATATCTAATCCTTTGAACATTCGCCCTTCACGGTTTGCCCCGCTCAAAGCCACTCCAATCCAGTCCCAGCAAGCACCGAAGAAACCGCTGACAATTGGCAATGGCTGGCCATATACACGACAGTCTAACGGACATGGCTCTACATCTACCTCACCTGCGCCATCCAAGCCTCCACCCCCACCTGCAGGTACTCATCGACCCCTCACACCCGAAAGTACTCGTTCGTCGACGACACCCCCAGGTCTAACGAATTTTGTTGCATATACCTCTCCATCTCCTCCCGGTTTCTTGCATAGGTCGTTAAGAGATAAGCCACCCACGGAGTCTCCATGCAGTTCTGGCGGGCCCAAAATAAAAAACGGCAAGAACGCATCTCTGCTAGAATCTTCGCTCTTACCTGATATTTTTTTAGAACATACTGATATCCCATTGCCACCAACGCCCACGACGACCGTGAAGCGGACCATTATAATCCAGTCGCCAAGACCTGTGTTGCCCGCTCCAGCCACGTCTCCCAATCTTTTCAGGTTTTCCAGTCAGTCAAATAGTCCGCCGTCCGATGGCAAAGGCAAGAAACGGGCGATGTCCATAGCCGAGTCTGACACCGACAGCTCGCGCCCACGGAAGCGCGCACATCCCTGGCCCACACAAGAGAGCATGTATTCCACGCGGATCAAGAGTGATGGCGATGCTGGCGTCAGAGAGATCGTTTTCAGCTCAGATGGTGAACGAATGGCTGTCGTATGTTCGTTTCTACCTTTTCTTTTCCTTCTCCTACTTGGTGCCAATCTGTTGAATGTAGGTCATGACCGAACGATCCGAATATGGAGTGTATCGAATCGAATTGAAACTGCTCGCCTTGCGCAAAACTCGCCGATATCGTCTGTTGCTTGGATGATAGATGATAATGGCGTTATCACGCTGGGACAGGATGGCATTATCAGCAAGTGGACGCGAAACGCAAGTGTCGATCTTTTTGGACATGAGGTTGATGTTAGCTGACTGTTCTAACCAGAACCAGAACCATTGGCAGTGGGCGAAGCTCCTTGATGCAGGGAAGGAGGAAGCCATCTGCTTCACCTACAATAGGGATCGCCTTGCCGTTGCATTTCCTCGTTTTGGCGTGAAGGTGTGGTTATGGATTAAAGGTTTGTGCTTCTCTCAGGTTTCAGAAAGCATTGTCAGATCTGTCGCAGGGACATGGCAACCACAGCGGTCCATTCTTCGACAGAATGTGACGTGCATCAAGTTCGTCGAGGATGGGGAGGCCTTGCTCGGAGGCACTAGTGACGGCGTATTGTAAGGGCATCAGAAAGTGTTGCTCTGGTAACCTCTGATGACAGATGTGACGACAGATGGTATTGTCAAGTACCCAATGGGACGCTTCGAGCCTACGCGTTTCTCAAAGCTAAAATGCATGCGTCCTATTTCTGATTGCCTCACCTCACGACTGACATGATCTATGCGACAGACGACACCTGGACGTCAGTCCGAACGGAGATCAGGCTCTTGTATCTCAAGTAGGCGCTCGTGCTCACCTTGTAGGCATTCAAGGGATGGATCGCAAAGGCAAAATCGAGCAAGTATATGCAATCAACGGAGACTCGACAAGTGATACGAAACAAGCTCCCCCTGCGGTGTTTGTCAACGGTGGTCGTTCTGTGGTATTTCACAACAGAGATTCTTCTTGTTTGGTCTGGAACAAAGGGAAAGGCGAGGTTTTGAGTGGTCTGGATCATGGAGATAGTACGTCGATTGTGAATTTTGCTCGACCTTCTCGTTGACCTGATGGCTTCTGATGTAGATGAGCAAGCCCAGGCCGTTGCAGTCAGTATAACGGGAATCGTTTTGGTATTTGCGTTACTGAATTGCGATGCAGGGCTTTGACCGCGCATCCCATTCCTACATTGTTACGGGAACTACACAAGGCCTTTTGTCGTGGTGGAACTCTCCTCCCGATCAGTGATTCTAGGTAAGAACTTACAGTACCACTTTCGGCGCAGTTGCTCATCAGGAACATTGTCTCCGCGTCAAGCAACCTTCTTGATTAAATGGGTGAAACATGCTAATCAGTCCTTTATCCCTTCTGGAAGGATACAGTGTACCAGTATTTTGCATGTGTCGCCCTGACTAAGTTATGATACGAGCATTCTATAATTTGTGTATGGACAATAACTATTCGTTCAATGTTCATGGAGATTTTAGGGTAGTTTCTGAACATGTTTTATTGTCGACGACGAAGACGGGGGAAATTTCCGAAGGTTCAATAAATGCCTTGGAGACTCGTAGGAGTGTTTGTTGTTGTTTGGCTGATTAGGGCCGGTTCGTCGGGTCAAGTGCACTGCATGATCAGAAGTCGTAGTTGAACTCGTCCGTTGCTCGTCGTCGTCGCCAACATCGACACCGTACTTTCTCATTTCTTCTACCGACGTGCGTCCAACTTCCTCTTTCTCTTTTGCCATCAACTTTTCTGTGCTTAACCGATCCAACTGACCTAGGTTCTGTTCGTAAATTAGAGTCCAACCTTCTCTGTCGTGATTGGGTTACTTAATAGCATTTCCCTGCCTCAACTCTCCTCCTTGAATTTTCCGGAACAATTGGTGAGCCTCCTATTCATTTGTCTAATTACCCGGCAGTCGAGGTTTTCACCCTGCCTGGTCGCGCGGTTGTCATGCTACTCCTTGCATACCGCAGGCGTTCTAAAAGCGGTCATAGAATGCGTGGTTGACGCGTGTGCTAACTTTTCGCCTTAATAGCCAACTTTGTCACGTAGAACTATCTCAACGACATGCAGACAATCAAGGTTGTAGTGGTGGGAGACGGTGCTGTAGGCAAGGTGCGTGACGTGTTATGATGACGTGCCCTGGACTTGAACGTGTGTACTCAACATCGCCAGACTTGTTTGTTGATCTCATACACCACGAACAAATTTCCAAGCGACTATGTCCCGACTGTAAGTTCATTCCGAAAGATAGTCGAACAGTATGCTAAATAAGCGCAGGTCTTCGATAACTACGCGGTCACCGTAATGATTGGTGAAGACCCTTACACGCTAGGGCTTTTCGATACCGCTGGTTCGTGTCTCTTTGTAGTCTCCATGGTAGCTACGCTTCATGCAATCGCTCACACATCACTTCCATATAAAAGGGCAAGAGGATTACGATCGTCTCCGGCCACTGTCATACCCGCAAACCGACGTCTTCCTTGTTTGCTTTAGTGTAACGTCCCCTCCATCCTTCGAGAACGTGAGGGAGAAATGGATCCCAGAGGTGCACCATCACTGTCCAGGTGTCCCATGCCTCATCGTTGGGACGCAAATCGATTTGCGGGACGACGCTCAGGTTATCGAGAAGCTCTCCAGGCAGAAGCAACGACCGGTCCCAACCGAGCACGGCGAGAGGCTTTCAAGGGAGCTCGGGGCTGTCAAGTATGTCGAATGCTCAGCCCTGACGCAGAAGGGGTTGAAGAATGTCTTCGACGAGGTCCGTAGGATTTCCGGCATGTTCCGTCCGAATGATTTCACTGATATTCCACCAGGCTATTGTCGCTGCGCTGGAGCCACCTGTGGTTAAGAAGACACATAAATGCGTCGTCGTTTAATGAATGATCCATCACGACGGTACAGATTGTTTTATCTTCTTATGACTTCTTTACGCCTTGTTCTGCCTCATATATCCTTCTCATCTTTTTTATGTCGTTTCTCTCGTTGCGTCAAGACATCATGATTTCCCCCAGTTCAGTAGCATCTGTTCTCTTCCGCACGAGCTGAGTAGACCTTGAGGCTATGCTCGTGCTCTTAGAGAAGCCGATATCGCCAATCTTTCTCACACCTGTGTTGTTCATATTGTTGGGAACCGTGGTGTGATAGGAATTTAATACCCATGACTGGGACATCTCTTGTCTATTCATTACAGATTAGAGATAGTTTCAATGTAGGACAGGATTGTGTCGGCGAGCCTCTGCGAAACACAGATCTGACCTGGGCTACTGTCATATAGGAAAACTCGATCATAGTAGCGACAGTTCAGGTGCCTTGCAAGTATATGAGAGACGTCCAGAGGCACTGTGTGATTACTCACCATCCCTCGAGTCTCGAATGCAAGCCAATCTCCTGTTCCAGTTGGTAGAAGACCCATAGAACGACACTTCCAGAGGCCGACTGCGAGTGTCAAAAGGTTGCACGCGATGTATGCTATCTTCTGGAGAGGAAGGACCTTGAGTGACTTGGCACTAGCAGGTGTAGGCGCAAATGGTGCGAATGCTGTCTCGACAAATAAGACATTTGACACGTAAAACATTGGACAGACATACCTGCGTTCATGCCAGCAATACTTTTGAACGGCGTGAGGAGAAGCATGAACACGATACCCATGCTGAAGATCTGCACTCCTCCCCCGGACATGTACAACATGAATGCTTGCATGGGGAGAGACTTGGCTGGGGCGATGGCGAAATCCCAAGCGCGCTTGTCTTTCAGTGATGCATATGACGAGGTTGCTACCGCCGAAGCCTTGGCTGGTGTTCTAGACTGTTGGAGGCATTAGTTTTCGTTTGCATGGTTGGGTTTGCGCAGGACTGACGCTGGGTGTAAAGTTGGAAAATCCTGGAGGAGGAGGAAGGTTCCGCCATTTGCTATGATCTAGGGATGCATACTCGAGGTTGAAGCAGTTTGCCATGTGTTCGAAAGTGGGTGTTAGAGAGTACGTTTCATCAACGTCCAATCAGGCAAGCGAGGAAATTCGCATCAGATTCCCCGCAGTAAATACAGGAAAAGAAAGTTAAAACGGACTGTCTTCCTTCTATTCTATAGGGAGACTACGAAGTACCATGATTTAAATGAAGGACCTTATTTTCCTTATTCCTGATGCTGGAGCAAGGCTAGAAATCCAAAAATGAGAGTACCGTTACTAAATCATGTATAGCATGCATTCAAGGTGCCGAAAGTTGACGTCGCAGGCGGCTCTATTACAACGACTGCCCAATACCAAAAAACGATCTGAAGAAGGCAAAGTTTCTCCATCACTAGTCTCTCCTAGTCAGTCCATTAGACGGGAACCTTCTATCAATTAAAGTGACGAGCGATACCCTGGTAGACGACCTGCAGGTCCACTAATAGACACTCAACTCACAGTAGCTAAACTGATAGCAAGTGTTGCTCGAGAACCTCACGTGCAAAGGAAGACAATCTGATACATTAGATAGACTAAGTTACAACTGAAATAAACGACACACATTCACCAAGTTTTTCCCATTTAATACGGCACAGGAGGAGGCGGAACCATCGCTCCGGGCACATTTTGCACAGCGAAACCAGGTGGTGGCGGTGGCGGGAATGCCCCAGGATTGAACATGGGCATGTTGGGTGGTGGAGGCGGCATTCCCATTCCAGGTGGCATCCCTCCCATCCCTGGCATTCCCTGTGGCACGACCGCCTGCGGCGGGTTGAAACCGGGGGGAGGTGGCGGCTGAGCAAGCACACCCGCAAACTGCCCTTGATAAGGACCCTGGAACCCTGGCATGGGAGGACGAGCACCAAAAGCCATCTGCGCAGGAGGTGGGCGAGAAGAGACGGGAAGCGCGTTGTTCTTCCGTGCCTGTGCTGCGAGTAGACGTTCTGCTGAGGTCCCGTGACGCTCGCCTTTGCCGTCTTTTTTGAAAGCATACTGCACAGTAATGGCTTTGTTCATGAGGAACTGGCCGTTCATGGATTCTGTTGCGGCGTCGGAAGATTCGAAGTCGGTGTATGAGACGAAGCCGTAACCCTTCGAAAGCCCCGTGCCAGGATCCCGTGCAATCTATCAAATGAAATCCCTTAGTGAAGGCATCTAGTTGTTCACATACGTGATACGTACCTTTGCAGTCGTGGCCATCATACCAAACGCACTGAAAGTGTCGTATAGTAGTCGCTCATCCACGTTCTCGTCGAGATTGCCAATGAAGAGGTTTGCTCCCACGTCCAGTTGCTTTTTGTCTGATGAAGCCTGCGTACAATATGGAATGAGGATAGACCTCCAGAAGAACAATCACAACAACTCGCCTTGTTCACCCTGATGGGCTTTCCCCATAGTTTTATCTGGTTCATGATTTTGCATGCATACTCGGCATCCTCCTCTGTCAAGAACTCACAGAAACCGTACCCCTGATGGGCCATTGAAATACGGTCCTTTGGAAGATGCACATTCACTATAGACTCATCAATTTCCGAATAGCTGGTAAATTGTACGACTTTGCTCACCGACTGGTCCTGCTTGCAGCATCAACTCCCAAATCAGTGCATCAGTGCACCGTTCATCGAGATTACCCTGTCATTGATGAATGAGTATGGAGTTGCGTGTCATCTGAATGGAGCGCATACCAAGTATACAGTAGCCTCCTGATTTCTATCGTCTTGAGGTCTTCCAGACATTGTCACTCTGAAGGTATAGCTTGGCCTGCCAGCCAAATGTATGGGCTTAGTAAGCTTTCCACTTTAAGGTTTATGGTTGGCGAGGCCTGTAGCATCTTTTCATCTTTTCCGACAGTATATAGCCCACCTTATGAAAACGAACCAACGATTCAAATGGAACGATATACGCGGTGCTAAAGCTTTCCGGAATTCAAAAAATTTCTTTCAGATGCCTCGTCCAGTGACTTTGACGGACGCCGATGATATTCCTCATTAGGCAACATCGCAAGGATCACTGCAGTCAGTGGAGTCCACAGTGATGATCTGGGCAAACAACTTTATCCTTCGCATCTTCCATGTTATCTGAAGCGTTCGTTCTTCTCAACATTCCCGACGTCACACTGACGACTTCGGGAAATCCGCAGTCTGGAGTGCTTGCATTGGAATGCGTTACCGCACAGGCGGGCGATGTGCACCACGCCGAAGTCTACCTTGTGATTCGACTCGGCTCATTTGAATGTCCCATCGATCCAACACGGCCTATATACTTCTCATTTGATGCCCAGCTGGGACATAGGTCATACACACTTTCTAGTCCTGATGGGAGCACGTTGAGACTTGACCTACCCCTTTCTAATGTACCTCACCTATTGGAGGATCAAGACACGCTTCATGGGATATTAGCACAATACGCGGAAATGCGCGAATTTACTACTGGCAACAAGGACTCCAAAGCCGCTGCCGCTGCTCAAGCTCCAGTTGTTTCACCTCAGGGGTTGTCCGGTGATCACGAAGCTATGCGGGGCCGCCTTGTCCTGATCGATGAGGATAACGGAGAGATTGTTGGAGAGCTTGACAACGAAGTGAAGATTGATGAAGATCCTTCTCTCTGCGTTCAGGGTAGAGAAAATGACCCAGTTATGATAGAACTTCCAGAGGATGATACCCACGTAGCTCTCGTTCGTGCAATGCCTCCAGAAGATCAAGACTGGATAATCAAGTCAGCTTCATTGGCCAGGTATTTTCTTCCGTTCTTGAGTGAGAAAATCCAATTGATTCCTCTTTGCAGCAACGTTATCACCGGTACCACCAAGTTATTACTCACTACGATGACACACGCATCATCATACTACATCAATCACTCAACACCTCACGCGTCAGTAGGGCCATCATCCTCGGGCTCTGCAGCTAACCCGTTGCCACCACCTCCTCGTGCTCTCGTCTTCCTGACATCCGACAATGCCCGTAAGGGTTTATCCGCTGTCCATACAATGAGCGCACAGGCTGCGACTGTGAGCACGAAGACCGTATCCCTTGTAGATAGTATGATCAAACGTGCGATCGGCACAAAGAAGGCCCAGCAGCCTCAGGCCCCGCACGATGGAAGTCCTTCCCGTTCTCCTAGGTCCCACTCTCCACAACCTCCTCCGTATTCAAGAGGAGCTTTCCAGGCTTCTCATCAATCTTCGAGCACATATTTAGCACCAGAACCATCTAAATTTACACCACCCCGATCACCTTCGCCCTCTGTTTTCCCATCGCCATATCCCTCCGACAAGAAGCCGCCTTTACCACCGCGACAGTCAGGCAGATCTCCATCTCCGCGACCGGGTAGTGCTCCTCCCTCTTCTCCGCGGCCCCCTTTGAAGCTGCACCATCGTCTTCTTCTCTCTGCGGACCTGATACTATCTAGCCTGGATTCTTCGATGAAGCAGTTTGTTGACGTGGGAGGTCAAAACTTTGGTCGAGCCGTCGAGCACAAGTAAGTAAACACTCAATCAACTACGCAATTCGCAATTGAATTTGTTTTATGATTGCGATAGGTACGGTGCAGAAGCTGCACGCAGCGCTGGTTTGATCACAGGCGTGACGAAGAATATTGTTGCAGTTTACATAGATATGAGAGGTATCGGGAGACGAGCGATCGTCAAACGTGCTGGCAAGGAGTTTGTGAGGGCAAGGATGGGTCACCGGACTCAGTTGGGTCCCTGAGCAATGTTCTCCGTCGCACTTTCTGATTGTATTCCTTTGGGGTCCAAGCTTAAGACCTGCCAGTCAAACAAGAGTGATTACTCGTTATTGTCAGAGAAATATATATGCACCTGGAGCATATTCGAATGATGATAGCATCTCACTGTTCATGCAAGCTGATAGCTTATTCTACGGTAACCAATTACCTTACAACATGCAAGGGTGACGATGGATACAGTATGTAACGCCTTCTTTACAACATTGAGGCCGAGGCGTGATTATTTAGGAAATGATTTAACCCCTCAGGCTTCGTTAACGTTCGCCACTCATAGTCCTACTTCGATATCAATCCGCGTGGCTCATCTGAGGCTCCGACTAGATATGAGTCTCATACGACTCTCTCAACGTCTCCCCGAATTTCTTGTGAGTGCCGCTGATAAGCTCATCTAGAGTAACGCTATCATATACCACCACGAAGTGGGGGTTCTTGAAAACCCAGAAGGCAAAAGAACGCATCACACAGGCTGTAGATTCGGAACCCGCTGGGCAACTACACAAGAAACCCGAAGACAAGGGTAAAAAAGGAGAGCGGTATGTCGCTATAATTAACGCCTATCCATCGATACGGGCGATTCCAATCACAAGACTCCATGGCTTTCCAAAGTTGCGAAGACTCGGAGACGAGCCACCATCCGAACCTATCACCTCTCTCTCCAACCGGAAGGCAAGGAGGCTGCATTGAAGGCGCAGAAACTGGCCGAGACAGCCGAAGACAAAGCAGCCCAGGAAAATAGCGTGTCAACGACTCTGTGTGTTTTCGTCTGTGTCTTTGTACGATATTGTGTAGAATACTTGGACGAATCCAGCGCCGTAAGTATTCCATACCATGGGAATCGTATTTGAAACGTGTAGCTCACAAATTTTCCTTGTATGTTTCTGTTACTGAGACCTTCATGCGAGATGAGTAGCTCAAGTCCATTCACGTGTTTCCAAGGCGTATTAAGCGCAGGCTCCTTGCAGGTTCTCGCAAGAGCAGCAAGTGTATCACTTAGTGTGTCTTCATAGATAATTGCGAATATGTTGGTTTCTGTGGGTAAGAGACAGATGTGCATGACAAATATCTCAAACACGTTCGCTGCTTTCTTTCAATTGAAGAAAGACCAGTTGCCTTACATAAGAAAGATATCACTTGTGCGCTGGCCGTCGGGAGCAGACGGTCAATAAGACACGTCGAAACCTTCAGGTAACAGGCGCTACTTAAGCTGAGGGCTCCTCAGATTTTACGACCATTCCCGCCGTCATGTCTCTCGATCTCCAGCCATTCATATCCTTGTATCGATATGCTCTTCAACCAATAGCACCATTCACCTGGTTTGGAACTAACGTCTGCTCCCTCGACCTGGTAGCCGCCTTCCGGCTTTGCATCGCCTTGAGACAGATCAGGGAAAGCTTGCATGCCACCGCTGGAGACAGTAGGCTTGTGCGTGCAGAGGAGAGGTCCTTTGTAAGAGACGCATGTGCCACGCTGACGATTGTATTTGGAGGAGAGGCTATCATAGGTATTACTTACTCTCGAACCTTTTATGTAGGGGACTGCCAGGGCTGCGCGTACTGACCGCTCCCCATGTTCAGGCTCTCTACTTGGTGTTCCGCCATCTTTCATGCTCTCAAGTATTTCCCCCGGTATCTACATCGCCACACAGGCAATTGTAGAGTATATCCCTGTCCTGCCGTCAATGTCACTCAACACCGAGTTCCCTTTATCCTTTGTCGACGGATTTACGCGCGCAATGCTCCTCTGCAGTCTCGTACCACCATCCGTCATCACCCACACGTCCCCCGCTATCGCATCCTCCCCATGGACTCTCCTGCTCTCTTCTCTCGTATGTCATCCCACGCAATTTCTCCGGTACTTGTGTCTATTTCTATTTACCTATCTAACACCCTTCCCTACCACAGGTGATCGCCAATGGCGGCTTTTTCATAACAAACATGTTCTCCTTCATTGAGCCTACCCCGCTTACGCTAACGACCCCCGCCGAACTTAAGCCCTATGGCTGGACGGCTACTGACCTCTGGTGTGCCCCGCTCATCACAGGGCTCTATGCCCTCTTCACACACGCCCAGCCATTCTGGGCGGAGCTCCATGGCGTGATTTCGACCGTCCTCGGGAGCGCGGGCGATAAAGTCGAGCCGATGGACCCTGAGTCCGCTCGCGCGTTATGTGCGCTCATTCTCGCAGGGATGTTCTCCATTCGAACTGCGAAGAACTTTGGGCTTATCTGGAAGAGGAGTAAGTTCTATCTGTTGTTTTTATGTTGAAGCGGTACTGATGGTTTTTTGTGTAGGTGTAGTAGAGAAGATTAAGACACAGTGAATACCCACCATGATATATTGGTTTTATACCAGAAGCTATAAATATACACAATATAGACCGAGAGTGGTTTAGCAATGGTTACAGCAACGACACATAACTGCAACTCTAGATCTACCCGGTGTCTACTATTATGTGTCACCTGTCGTAATTGCGAGGTAACCGCAACAGAAAGAAGGGTGATGAAACCCGAGATGACATTCGAAGAAACCGGAGCCGAAGTCTCGATAAACCAAAAACTATGTTCGGCTGCCAAAACTCAATCGGTGGGTGATTCAGTCACCGACTTGTGGAAGACTACCTGTGAGGGCCTTTGCCTCCTCAGTGGGAACTTCCCTAAGATGATTCAAGTTGGTTTTATTTCCAACAGGCATGATAACAATGTCCAAGGCTGCGTGATCCCGGAGTTCCTTCATCCACTGCATCACATTGACGTACGTTGCATATTTGGCAATGTCGTACACCAAGAATGCACCGACAGCACCACGGTAGTACCTGCGCTTAAATAATGCACGACGATTGCGGAGGGCGACTGCGTAGCAGCGTACGCCGCGGTGGTGATAAAAATTCAAGACAATCAAAGGCAAATACCTGTGGTTTTGCTCCATTAACATCGAATGGACAACGTAAAGACTTATCGATATCGCTAGTCCGGAAGATCCAGGAGGAGGTTTGATCGAATTCGTGCAGTTGTGACATCCGGCAATGAAGTACTAATCAAGTTGAGACTGCGACAAAGTAAGTAGACCAAGTTGAAACCGCAAACCGGCGCCGCGTTGATGAATGACAAACTTCTCGGAACCAAGGAAATCCATTTACAACAGTATCTCTTACTACAAGTATTATGTTTTGTCCGGTGCCATCATGCACAGCTATATTCCTAGCCTGTTAGTTAACTGAGGACGATATTCTGAAACACCCAGTGCTCTCCAGTAAAGAAACTATAAGCCTCATCTAGGTCTTTTATTCCGATCGGTCTGAATGATTTGTCCCGTCATTATTAAAGACCGATTTAGAAGGTCCGAGACAAAGACTGTCCCATGCGGAGTCGACACGATTCAAGAGAGCAATGTACGGATTGTGCTTGTTCTCAGTCGTCTACGATCGCATTTTCTCCTACAGGTTGGCAGCTAAAGCTAATTCACAAGGAGACATACATTTGGCAGTCCGAGAATCCCAAAAACTACGAAAGGGCTTCTTTGGTAGGTTTTCCACCCCGGAGCTGAGAGAAATCCAAAAGGTCGAAGTGTTCCGAGTCTTGCGAGGAATATTGGCGCGGACTGATGTTCAGAGCCCTCTGATTGAACTACTCGTTATCATAAGGTCATATCGATGGCTACTCCTTAGATTTACAGCAGTCATAACAGTATGCGAGATGGTCTGGAGTGGGTTTCCACCCTATCGGGCAGTCATACACACTACCCCAGCATTTCCCTTGGCAGACTGTTCCACCTGCTTCATCGGTATTACTAGGAGCTGCCTTCACCCCAGCGGCAGCGGCAAGGATAACGAGGTAGGTGAACTGAATCTTCATGGTATCTAGTACTTATATGCGTTAGTGATGACTGACAGTACTAGGACACTAGCCACCCGTTAAAATTTTGATTGTGGGGTGTACGCGAAGGTGTTATGGCACGTCCAGGAAGTGCTAAATGTGAAATGAATACAATCTCCAAGTTGCCCAAGTCTTTAAGTCTCATGATTGCTCACTTTAAACGAGGGGATTGTCTCTTAAGAATTTTGGGACTTGACCATCTTCAATTTATATGCACCTGAGGATCGGACACCCAAATGAATCAGGGCTACCAGGAGGTGAGAGCGGTGTTTGGGATCTAATATTAGGACTTAATTATTATGAATATCTGCGGTAGTGTTGTGGGCAGAACTGACGAGTTCTGCCAGCCAGTTTGGCAGAACTCCAGGCAGCAAGCCCGTAACCTAGTTTCCAGTAGCTGACCTGTAATAGTAACACACACGTATGACAGTCGAGTTATCAGGGTTGGGCCGGCAGAACTAGTCTCCCCTAGCCAGACCCCGTAGAACGGGCAGAACTGACCTCAATAGTTCTGCCCCACTGACTGGCGGCTGCAATATGTGGCCGAGCTATGTCCCGCCACGTCAGCGTTATTAACTCCCAAAGCTTCGTGCCCGGCGCTCGCCGCTGTGCGCGACAGCGAGCTCAAGTATGAGGAAGGAACGTGGCTGCAGTCACGTGGTCATACCCTCCTCGAAGGAAGATAGTCGAAATGCATAATGCCTGGTGCACAGGCGTTAACACGAGATGGTCGACCAGAAATCAAAAGTCACAAGTTGTATTGCGGTAGTCAATTAGTTGCAAATTTGAGTCTAGGACGTCTGTGACGCTGTGGAAATGAGAAATTGATTGGAACATGATCCGAGGGAGACGGCTCAAAACCAAGCTTACTCGGTGGGTGTGTAGTCCGAGTTAGTCTTCCCTAGTACTTGGGCACCTCAGACGAATGAAAAATGGTCATTCCTCTGCACAGTGTAATACCAGAGACATTGACAGATCCACAACGGCTACGGAGGGCGATTGTATACGCAGAGGTGATGGCACGGTGACAATCTTGACCTGCAGTATCTCATATCTGTTCCTTTACCGTGTTCGCATCAACATCGATCAATCAGGATTCGAACTCAACACCAATAGTAGTTTTACACTCCAGGTTGAACTCGTCACGAGTGAATCGCGAAATAACTGGGAAATTTTTGTGAGCATATGCGCTTCCCTTGGTAAGTACGCAATTCCTTACGATTTCTGTAGGCTACTGTGAACTAGAAAGATGAAACATGCTTACGATTTGCCAGCCTCAGATCCACCGACTAGAACCATCTATGATGGGGAACTTGCAAGCGCCGAAGAAACCATCGAATGAGTTGGAAAACGGACCTTGAAGAGATTGTCGTATTGGATCGTGTCGAGTTGTTGTGATTAGTGAGGGGTCCTTTTGATGGATAGAACGAAAAAAACCCGTAAGGATGGTATGGAAAGCTGACTCGACATTCGAGGTGTCCAGCGCCGAAGTCTCGATAAACGAAAGTTCGTTTTCCGCTGCCAAAAATCAGTCAGTGACTAATTCAGTAACAGTCGGTCCATGTAGGACATACCCGCGAAGGACTTTGCCTCCTCAGTGGGAACTGCCCTCAAGTATTTCAAGTCACTCTTATTTCCAACAAGCATAATGAAAATGTTCGAGTCTGCGTGATCCTGGAGCTCTTTCAACCACCGCGTCACGCTGACGTATGTCGTATGTTTGGCGATGTCGTACACCAACAGAGCACCAACAGCGCCACGGTAGTACCTGCGAAATTTTCAGCTTATAAAAATGCACATTACACGACTGCGGAGGGCGACTGTGCACGCAGAAGTGATGGCACGGTAACGTCCTTGACCTGCAGTATCCCATATCTGTGCCCTCACGGTCTTGGCATCGACATCAATCGAGCGGCTCTCGAACTCGACACCAATAGTAGGTTCGGACGTCAGGTTGAACTCATTACGAGTGAATCGCGAGAGAACTGGGTGATTGAGCGTCTGCGCATGCCAAGTACACCACTCCTTACGGTTTCTGTAAGTTGCTGTGAGCTAGAGAGCGACAGACGGAGCACGAAACACGCTTACGATTTGCCAACCACAGTGTCCCCAATTAGAACAACCTATGATGGGGAACTGGTAAGCACTATGGAAACCATCGAATGACTCGGGCTACGGACCTTGAAGAGATAATCATATTCGACCGCCATTTCGAGTTGTTGGGAGCGTTAAATGGACAAAGAGCTATATGTATCCACCGACGTGACCAGACTATATGGTGAGCAAGTGCAGGATGCCAGTGAGGTTCCTATCGTCTGTCGCCCTTCACCCGGCATAAACGGATCACGGACATCTTCATTGATATCATGGGCGGCTGCTACTTCGGTAGCTTCGTCATCTAGATCATCAAAACGTGCATCAACGGCGATGTCGAGATGATCCAGATCGTCTTTGAGGCACTGACAGCGATTTCTTGCACACCAGGAACAGGGATGGTGGTCATGGTCCCAATCATGCTCAGGTTGAGCGCCTCCGTGATGGCTTCATCCGCAGACATGCGCGCTTTGACAATTGTGTCTAGTGCAACCTTGTACACCATGACTTTAGATGAACCAGGCGGCACTGATCGTACCAACCTGGCAATGTCCTCAGGAGAATTATACGGGTATGCCATTACAGCTATTTCCATATCGATAGGCCAAATTCCATTTTACACGACTCACCGACTTTGTTTAGTTTTGGAGCGAAACAAACAACCGCCTCCCCGCCTTCCCTGACTGCCTACACTCGCAGATGCGGCACGCGGGAAACACCAAAAGTGCCGCCATTCTGCCAAGACCCAATATTAATTGGTCCATCTTCCAAAGCTCCATTCCAAATAGACGGATGTCGGTGTACTATGAAGGGTCCTCGAGTTGTCAGATCTTGATAGGACATGTCCCACGGACCACGGTCCGTTCAAATACTATAAATGGTAATAACAACTACTGTAAATGGTCATTACAGCGACCTCTGATTCGCCAACTACTTAATGGGATGGAGAATGTGACCTTCGGCGACCTCTGATTCGCCAACTACTTAATGGGATGGAGAATATGACCTTCAGTCAAACAGCATCTAAGTTGTTGGTCAGTGGGGTTCCAAGTTCTCTTCTAACTCCCGTCGGATTGCTCCTATTTCATCCACCGTACTCGTCCATACATCCCTGCATACATCTGTATCGCTTCTGTGCACTGTTCAAAGACGAACCAAGGCTACCATGGGAAACTGGCTGTCAAATGGGCCATCACGTTCCAGTGAGGGCCAATTTGGTGACTTTGCTGATGATCGTGCAAAGGAGAACAGATTATCTCTTGTTGGGCACACCAGCAATTATATATCAGCGCTGTCATCATATTCCACTTCTGCCACATTATCAACGCCCTGGCCCTCTCACAATGACGCCAAAGGTATTTATTCCCCTCCGAAGTCTCACTCAACATTTATGATTCCACGACCAGCTGTTTCTTCTCCATTTCCGACGCGAGCAGAGTATCTCCGCCAGCCTCTGCGTGCAGAATCGTTGCAAGATGCGCTTCAGACGCTTCTCAATTACTTCCATACCGCGGGTTAGCACGGGTAAAACCGTACCCGTACCCGTACGGGTACGGTGTTGATCTTCCGACCCGCGGGTATACCCGTGCTATACCCTATCCTTCATCCAATACCCAACTACATACACCCTCGACATTTCCCTCAACCGTCGACAATCCCTCGCCTAGGTCAGCTACTAGTCCTACCCGCTTCTGAGGCATCTGACTCACCCAAGCCCACCACAAAACCCATGTCCAGACCTCCAGACCTTCACTCTCAGTGACGCTCACCCAACCATGCAACAGACCCCAACCTAAATCCAACCTCCACCAATCTGACGTCGCTTCTCCAACCATAGACGGCAGTTCCGAATCCGAGAAGGAGAAGGAGAAAGGGACGAGGGAGAAGGATGTGGATGAGAGGGGGCGAGGAAGGGCGAAGAAGGCGAAAAAGAGTCGTGTGGGTTGAGTCTACCTTGTTTGAATCACATATAGTATTATTCTGGTGTGTGTCACTCCCAATAACCCTCTTTGGACATGCGATCCTTTCTGGCCCTCTTTCCTCACAACTCCATTGCATGTGCTGCCACGCCTCCTTAACCTCCCTCCGATGATAACAGCACCCTTGTTGATCTTACGGTTCATGAGACGCTGTTAGACTGCTGCATGGGAAGCATCGAGGAGAAAGCATATATAGCTCCTCCTACCAGTGGTGAGCGTCTGCCTCGTTCTCTAGATTTCGAACCTAATTCCAAGTACAGACAGATATCAACCTCACACACTTCTGTGCAGCTTCGACTATCGACGATGACAAGCTCGTCGCATATTAATAAAGTGGCGTATTCACCGCGGGCGCTGGCGAGTTGGTCTGGAGCGTCGTGTGGTAGACATACAGTGCAGCAGTTCAACTCGTCAGTGTCAGAAAGACAGGCGTGCACGACCGCTCGGATAGGTATGACCATAGCTTTTTGAATATGGCAAATCGAGGCGATTCAACTTCGATAGTGGTGGCATACAGGGAATAACACGACAAGCAACTCAAACAAAGGCAAATACATGTGGTTTTGCTCTATCAACGTCAAATGGAAAACGTAAAGGCTTATCGATATCGCTGGTCCGGAAGACGCATCTGCGGTAAGAAAACTAATGTGGAGGACGGACTCAGAGAGGTGGTTTGAAAGATTGTAGGAATAAAGCCGCCGCAGGCTTCGCTGTCGATGCAGTTGGAAACGGGGGTTCTGGTTAAGGTCAGGACTCGAACTCGTGCAGCTGTGAGCCTGTGACATCTGGCAATGAAGTTCTACTTATCAAATTGAAGGCACAAGCCACGTTGATGAATATTGAATGACGAACTCGGAACCACGAAAATCAGCTTGCATCCTCTGTGGCTTATAACTTGGTTGGGTCAGTGTTACCACAAGCATTGCGTTTCATCCGGTGCCTATGATAATGTGCAGTTATGTTCCTAGCCTGTCAGGCAACTGAGGATGATATTCTGAAATACCCAGCGCTCTCCAATAAAGAAATCACAAACCTCGTGGCTATTTCTAACTTATCTCGAAGGCGTGTTCAGTCGTAGGTATTTTGGTTTCTTTCAATTTAGAGGGGACGGCGAAAGCAATGCCGTTGTTTCCCATCCAATGCTAGAAGTGAAGGATCTGCTGGAACTAGATACAAATATATTACACAAGGCACAGCTCGGCCCTTCTCATCATCAGCATATTTTCTAATAATTTTCATTGGAACCGCTAAGCCCTCTTCAGAACCTATGATATTAAGTAACTAGATGGAATACATCACCTGTACAAACCCGATGGCTACTCTTCAGAACATGCAGCAGTCCCAGCAGCCTGTAGTAGGGTTCGGGACGGGTGTCCACCCTTTCACGCATCCACGGTTAGTATGGAAGCATGCATTTAAGCAGAATATTCCGTCTCCTTCATCGGTATCACTAAGAGCCTTCGCCCCAGCGGCAGCGGCAAGGATGGCGAGGTAGGTGAACTGAATATTCATGGTATCTAGTATATGCGTTAGTGATGACTGTCGGTGTCAAGAAACCACTCACCGTCGAAATTTTGATTGTGTAGTGTGCGCGAAGGCGCTATGCACGTCCAGGAAGAACTAAATGTGGAATAGATGAAATGTTCAAGTTGCTCAAGAAAGGAAGGATTACTCACTGTAAACGAGACGATTGTCTTTGAAGATTTTGGAACTTGACCACGTTCAATTTATATATGCACCTGAGGTTCGGACACTCAAATAAATGGATATTGGATACTGAGTACTGTAGGACCTAATTATGAATACCGGCGGTAGTATTGTGGGCAGAACTGCCGAGTTCTGCCAGCCGGTTTGGCAGAACTTTGGCGCGTCAACAGGGTGGTAGAACTCCAGGCAGCAAGCCCAGAACCTAGTTTCCAGTAGCTGGCCTATAATAATGATACACACATATGAAAATCCAGTGGTTGGTGCCAGCCGGCAGAACTAGCTCTTCGTGGACGTGCCATAGCACCTTCGCATACACCACACAATCAAAATTTTGACGGTGGTTAGTTTTCTGGCACTGACGGTCATCATTAACGCATATACTAGATACTCTGAAGATTCAGTTCACCTACATCGCCATCCTTGCCGCTGCCACTGGGGTCAAGGCAGCTCTTAGTAATACCGATGAAGGAGGCGGAATAGTCTGCTTAGAGGCACCCCTCCAAAACCTTAACACAGGCTGCTGGGACTGCTGCCGTTTCTGAGGAGTAGCCATGCGATTTGTACAGATGATGTATTTCATTTAGTTACCTAGTATAATTATACACTAGCCTGTGTGGATGCTAGTGACTGGAGAAGCGAACGAGGAGTTTGCCACGCTCTCAGGCTTGGCGCGGAGTTCTATGTCAGAAATTTACGAAAGTGGTTGCAATGACGTGATGTTGACACGCTGTTTGCATGCCATTGAAATCAATTGAAATGCCTCCTGAAATGATAAGGTAATTTGATGGCTGAGTTTCAATATATTGCAATGTTGGAGTCAGTTGAAACGAGAGAGTCGGAGGAGAACAGACCGGAGAGATGAAAGTGAAACCATACGAGCGCAACGTCCAGGTATGACGAGGCGATGTGTTGACGTCAGCCGAGGCTCGTCAATATTGAGATGTCTATTCCTACGTTACACTAATTTACTTATCTATGCTAACCGTACTATAAAGAACAAGTCGCATTGACCAAACATCTCAGATCTTTCCTAGAGTCTGAGATGTATGTTTTTATTCATTTCTACACTAACCTATAGAGCTAACATACCATTAGATATATTTGTCTTTCCAGGTACTATACTCGTACAGAGATCTTTCCTAGAGTCTGAGATATATATTTGTCTTTCCAGCTCCCTCTTCGTCACAGCTGCTCGTATAATCTCTTCATGCAAGTCCTTTGTAACGCACTTGGGCATATAGATCATCACTAGTTTTCAGTGCCTGCAGTACACTCTTCGTGTTCTAGTGCATTCCTTGCTCCATTTCCCCACCTCAACTCTGTTTGTATACAGCTTACAATACTGTCAACTACATGGGTCCAGAGCGCTCAAAGCATTGTAACTTATGCGACCAGGATATCAAGCCACGAGGGTGGACCACCCACTGAAAAGCTTGCGAGATGAAGGCAGCCAAAAGACAATGGGATCAGGTGGTTGTAGATGCGATTTGCAAGGAGAAAGGTGCGTCCGTTATATCTTTGTCTTGATGTATTGTTGAAGCTGATGTTTAATTGTATCAAAATACAGTGTCAGATTCATCATTGAGACTCGACAAACCTCAATCAGCCATTCGTATCCCTGTACCAGGTATGTAGTAGTATATTGTTTTTGTTATGCTATCTATGGTGCTCACAAACTCACAGTTGAAATGCAAAATCATGCAGAATTCTTCAATGTGGACTTCGGTCATGATGATCCAGTGATTGGTCCAGGTGAGTTGACACATAATTGTTTTCGTTGATCTCACTAACACTTAGACTGTGTACCCTATTCAATACAGGCCCTTCTGCACTTAATGAACCGGAAGTCGTGGCTGCGGTCCCCACCTTCAATCAAGATGACATCAAAATTGAGTACCATCTGAGTAGTGGCATCAAGGCCAAGGTATATGGATTTGATAGCTTTGAGCGTTGTGCTGCAGAATTCCTGGTCCCCCCACCTGACGGTGAACCTTGGCGTCCATTCAAATCTTGGCTCAAATTTGAGATTGCCGAGATCATGCTCAAGGTCGGGTTTAACAACCAACAATCCGATTGGTTTATCAAGCTATGTCACTGCTGTGCTTTGGGCAAGGAGAAATTCACATTCAAAAACCACAAGGATATCCACAACATGTGGGAGTGTCATGAATGTTACCAACTGCATCTAAATTTCGATTATCAAACCCTAAGTCACCTTATCCGATAAGATTAGATTAGATAAGATCCCTGATAAGATAAGATGGATAACCGATTAACAATCACTATCTTTATATCACATCTATACTACATCAACATCATCCATCTATATCTGTAACCCTAGACATCTGAAGTCATCACATCCTTAGAAGTCCTACGATTAGGCAACGGGTTACATCATAAGCATCTACATGCCTCTATGATCGAACCATAACCGAGAGTCCTTTACGAGCCATCTCTCGAAGAGTCATCATCCCTTCACATCGCAGACCTTCACTTCCCACACATGACATGTTAAGAGTTACCTCTGTCATTCATCGAACCTCTTACATTGGAACCTGTTGCACAGTCACAGCTAAACCCTGAACCCCTATCACAGAAGCGCTACTCATAAAGAAGCATGCTCATTACCGAAGACCCTGGAGAAACCCTAGATACGATTGTACCTGATACATCTCCAGATTCCATCTCTTATCGAGATCCTTAATCACCGCTCGAGACTTCTTGTCACAGAACTCTCTCACACCCTTCTTAATATCCGCTTACCCTGAATAGAAGCAGTACCCTGAGAACCCTGCTTAATTCCCGATACCCCTATGGACCCTTTTCCCTTTCTTGTAGTTGATTGGTTGATAAGACACCCTATACCCTAGGTGCAATGTTCTGACCGTATATAGATATATCACAACCTTTCATACTCAGATATCTCCGCCCCAATAGTAGTATATAGTTTAGGTCGTAGTCAGTAGTACTCCTTAGACTTAACCTCTTCATTCTTACGTCATCGTAGACCTAGACGTTCCCTCTCAATACTATCCCTGTTTTACCCTCTCTCAGACGAGTCCTGTGGTGTGGTCCGATCTCCAGACACCTACTAGTTAGGTTAAGGGACGTTGGTCATAACAGGGAGGCAGCCTCGCACTGCATTACAAAGGTGATATATCCTATTTCTATTTTGAACAAGTCTGACATAGTATGAAGTATAGTTTATGAAAGAAGTGATCTCGATCCCGTTCGCTGGAGATGAGGAACTACGGGAATATGACATACATTACTGAGACCTTTGGGAGTTGGCTGCCGACATGCTTCGCAATCCCCACCTCTTTCCATACTTCATATTTGATGCACAGCACCTCTCAAAGTTTGATGGTAACACATTTGTTTCTTTTGTTGATGAGCCTTTCACTGTGTGAGATATTTGGGATGTACAAGTATGTGGTGATACTTTGTAGTTTCTCATTGTGTCCTTATTTCATTGTATTACTTTGTAGTTGCAACTCCCACCAGGTGCTTGCCTACTGGCATATATACTGTACGCGGATAAGACAAAACTCTCCTCCTTCGGTACCACAAAAGGTTATCCAGTTTAGCAAACCTACCGACTGCAATTCGAAACAGGCGAGGTGCAGGTGGTGGGTATGTGGTGGGATGGCTGCCGATTGTGCGATTTCCTTTAGTGACTTGCTGTTAGTGCTGCTGATGCAGTTTAAATAGGTTAAGGACAAAAAATTACACTCTGGAAAGCCCAGCTGGGTAGACTTCAAAAATACTGTCTGGCACAAGTCATTTGCCAGGATTATCTCTTCCTTAGCCTCAAAATCGCAAACGGGGCAGTGGTTCAAATGTCTAGACGGTGTCCAGCGCTGGTTCTTTCTCTGTATCCTCATTCTATCAGCTGATTTCGAAGAACAGTGAGTATTTATTTGGTTGTTACGGTTGTGGTCTGAATTGTTTTTTTCTGATTGCTTAATGGTATCATTACAAGATCTGTCATGTCGCTTACTCAAGGAATCATGAGTCTTTGGCCATGCCCTGTTTGTCTAGTTCCTCGAGATGACCTGTGGGATACTTCAAAATCATATTGTTGGTGAATATTGAAAGAGTCGCAAGCAGTTATAAATGCTGCGCATGCGAAAGAAACCTTTGAAGAAAGAGAGGAACTCCTGAAAGAACAAGCGCTTTGTTTAATTGATGTGAGCAAATATTTCTGCATGTCAATATCAAAGATTGATTGTCTTATTAGAACACATTTTGGGCAGTAGCATTCACCTGCATGCATTGAGCATTGTCACATGAGCATTGTCACTTCAATCATGGTGGACTCTGGTCACACCATCTCTGGGTTGAACTGCAGAAATTCATTGTAACTCTTGGAAGGGGAAAAGTATCGCAAGTTGACAATTGGTTTGTTCTTTTCAAGTTGTCCCTTATCTGATGCTCGATATTAATATGTATTAGATTCGAAAATTTTCCACGCTGGTGAAATCTCAAGCACCCAAACCAGGTTATTGGTGTTACATTTACAGACAGCTCCGTCCATGAGGATATTTCTAAGGTTCGTAAACTCATGCGGTCGCCCTGGCTACTAACTTTTTCTCTTTCACCTGATAATTTACACCACTGTTAAGACCGTGCTCAGGGGTAAAGCGGAGTCTGAGGGGCTTGGCTTCAGCTCGTACGCTGCGCCCCTTACCCAAGTACGTGCCCCTAATTTCGGAATGTAGTCTGACATGAGTTCTATGAGTTCTGACAGGACGTCGGAATGGGGGTCCTCTGAAGGAGGACCAACGGACTACTAGGTGAGTGTGGGAAAGTCGGGTGGGGGTTGTTCTGCCCAACAGGAGGGAGGCGGGGAACTACTGCAGTTGGAACCAACAGTAGAAGCGGAGCAGAAGGGACTGCTTGGACAAAGTCCTCGCAGAGCGGAATGGAGGGGATGGATGCAAGAGTGTGGGATTTTAGTTCCGACGCACGGGAAGTCAGACGAGCGGAGGAACGGGGGAATGGGGGAATGGGGGAATGGAGGAACGGGGGAGCAGAGGATTGGAGGATAGGGTGGAGGATCAGAGGATTGGAGGGTGGCTGACCTAGGGAGTCAATCCCCTAGGCCGGCTAACAGGAGTTGACTAGGATCAGGCCCAAGTCAAAGAATAGAAGAGCAGGGCTTGGAAAAGGTAATATTCAGACTGAGTATCTACAGACAAATGTACATATGTTTATATACTCTAAGTGATGAGCATAGAATAGCAGAAGGCTATGTGCTGAGTGTACAGGAATACAGTAGGATGACTGAGACATACGAGAATAAGGCTCAGGGAACAGTATGTACACGACGGATCAGAATCACTAGGGTATAGGGATTACTGGTGATCTGAAAAGTGGAACTATGATACTAAACGGGGATAGGACCAGTTGAGTGGTTCCTAGTCTAGGAGTGGACTGGTGAGGTGGTCAGATGGACTAATAGTTGGGTGAGACAAGACAAGCGGAACCGAGCGGGTTGGAAAAGCAGAGGGAGTAGGAGTAGGACTGGGCGGACCAACAGGGCAGAGGAGCAGAACCCCAGATAGGGTCGGATGGAAGGGGTATGGTGTTGGAGGACATAGGGGTAGTGTCAGAAGAGCGGAACGGGGTCGGGCGGAGGTAGCAGGGCTAATCCTGCTGAGATGCACTTCGTGCATTGTCGGAGAAGGAGGAATGGAGCGGATGGGGAAACAGGGGGTCGGACCAGCAGTAGGGAGGCTTATAGGTGGTGCTGAGGGTACTCAGATCCGGTATATGACAGCCACACATGATGTCTTGACCGAGAATGATTCTCCACTCAGTTATTTTCTCTTACGGTGTGTACATCTTTACCTCAAAATGGACATGTACGCTGCTCTGGAGGTTCACACAACCAATACAATTGAGGAGGGGAGACATACCGTCCAAGCGTTCACAGCACTCATGAAGGTATGTGCATTGTAGTTAGTTGATAACCCTACCTTGACACATCAGCAGCAATACATGACACAAACCGCTGATGACAACGTGAAGAATTGGAACTTTCTGAAACTGCACATGACGACACATATATTTGACGACATCAAGGCTAAAGGTGCCACATGCAACTACAACACCAAACCAAATGAGCAAATGCACGGGCCCTTGAAGGACTGGTACTTGAACTGGACAAACTTCAAAAATGTTGCAGAGCAGGTAAGCATCAATGGTATTCATGATTCCCTACTAATAATCCTGTGCTATATTATCTACATAATAATCAGATTCTTCACATTGACCACTGGTTACTTGTAGCTGATGACATTAATTGTTGTATTTCGGACTTTGATGAATATTCGCAGCGGAAATCAGACGGCATGGATGATGATTCGTTAGATGATGAAAACACCGACATTGGCGTGGATAGTACTTTAGATCCATCACAACATGTGAGAATGGGATCAAAACAAGCTGCGCAGACTTTCTGTTCCATCGAGAATGCACACAAGACCCATGTTGAATTCACCAACTTCTGCATCAAGCTGAATGCTTTCTTAAACATCTTTCTACCCACCTGCAACATTCCACTGCCGAATGGAAGAAGAATCCGCTTACAATCAGATGATACTGTATGTTTGTTCAATCCAGCCTTCTGTTACTATACTGATTTGAAACAGGTTACTGAGTATTGATTCTTACACGTCAACTATGAATCTGTCACGAATTCCTAACACGAACCATTTTTCATTTCTCAGTTTTCCTTCAGCTACTTCCAGTACCCGAACCGGTCATGTGACTCCTCACCCTGTCACACCTTCACCTCTTCACATCTCACCCGTGGTTTCTCCGATTGGCTCCCCTACTCCACGGGCTAGAACAATCTCGCTTCCCAAAGAAGAACCAGTCGGAACTTGGGTTTCTGTCTAGTTGCCGTCTTACTCATTCGCTTATATATCATGATGTCATACTTAGTCATCCGCAGTATCGTACGACTCTTTTCTCATTGGCTGATTTCTTTCAGACTCCTATTCAATGTTATGTATAAAAGTAGGTTAGTTAGCGTAAGTACTCCTTAGACTTAACCTCTTCGTTTCCTACGCTTGTAGTGACTTAGACATTCACGCTCAATACCATCTTGTTCGCTATCCTCTTTGACCGAGTCCTAGTGGTTGTGTGCTTGCCTTCATCATTATTGGTGAACATTGGTCATAACAGAATCCCTGGTAGACTGGAAACAGTATACCAACTATCTCCAGTGTAATCCTCAGTTCTTTAACACACCGCATTTTGACTGGGTCTTCATCTGGACACAGAACAGCGTCATCCTTGGACGTCTAGTCTTCCTTTTTCAATGTGCCATTGGGAATGACTTAATTCCCCTCGCTCTCATCCACCCCTTTGACGCTCCAACAGGGCCACGACTTCAACAGGATAAGCAGCTTAACCTTTTCAGAGTTTGTGCACAACCATGCACAAAGGCCGAGTTCTTCTTGGTACAATTGATCATTCGTGGGGCACTTCTAGTACAGGATTCAGGTGGCAACCCCCTTGATTACTTCATTGTCGACACCATCAACACAGACATGTTTCTTTGTGTAAGGGAGATGCATCAGCAGGCGGGTCATCCAGTGTGCATCTGACCAATTCTGCTTTCAGGTAAGTCTTTCGTCTCTTTGACCATCAAGGCAGCGCTCTACTAATACATTCCTCAGTATCATAAAACTCTGTTTCTATGTAGTAGTATACCATTGACATGTTGGTGTTACTTCCCTGCCCTCAGGAACTTATATCCGCAACATATTCATTTTCTTTACTAACAACAGTATACTACACCATCACCTGCAGGGACACGAACCTCTGCTGATTTGAGCGTTCGTTTGCAACATGTCACATCTTTGCTTCTACCACCCATCTCACCCACCTCTCAAGCGCTTCAACACCGACATTTGAAAACTAACCATGCATGCTTCTCACACCAGATCAAGGCACAAACATGGCAAAATTGACAACATCAAGGACAACAGACCGCCTCTGCATGTCTCACAGGCTGAAGACACCCAGTCTGAAGCCTACTCTCACTCTCGTCCGCATTCTCAACAAACAGACTGGTTCTGTGAATGTCTATGAAACATCATTTAGGCGATTCTCCCATCAGCTACCATCCATCATCCGCATCCAGCTGGGCTGCTGCGCCGCCCCTATGCCCTCCTAGCATTGTCGTCACCAAGAATGACACCATGCCATGTCCGATTCTTCCTGAAGAGCAGGTATGTCTGAATCGCTCTCATCACTCATCCACTCTGACTCCAGATTCAGACACTATGTCCAATTTTTCCCAAAGAGCAAGTATGTTGCTCTCATCTCTCATCCACCATATCTTCAAGTTTACCTGGAGACACCTGGACCATGTCCGATTCTTCCTGAAGAGCAAGTATGTCGCTCTCGTCACTCATCTACTGTATCTCTAACTCCAGATTCAGACACCATGTTCGATTTTTCCCGAAGAGCAAGTATGTCACTCTTTTCACTTGTCCACCATATCTTTACATCCAGACACCATGTCCAATTCTCCCCGAAGAGCAAGTATGTCGCTTGGCTATTGGTACCTCCATTCATACTCAATTTATGAATGCGCGTGTCTAGGAACGACAGGAACAAGTCTGGTAACTAATATCCTGCAGGATCTGTTGCTAATCAGTGGGCAATCCGGCAGTGTGCAACTTTTGTTTGCAGTTGCATGGGAAGTTCTTTCATTGTAACTCAATTTTTTCAACCACTTATCATTCGTACAGCTCGCAGCTTGTGCCCGCCCATTGCCATGTCTGAATCAGACCAAGAAATTTCATTCCGAACCATGAGTCACTCTATTAAACTCAACTTAAACTTGAATCTGATCATGCGCAGCAGCTACACATGTTCTATTACTCAAGTCTAAGCATCTTTTACGAGTTTCACACCAGATATTAATTCACATTGGTGCGCAATTGACTAATCTCTTGCACTGATGTGTAAAACTGCATGTAGCAATTTTACGTCTGACACTGCTAAGGTACTGGGCAGTGTAGGCACTTTATAATGTGTGGTACTAGGTGAGTAATTTTTGTTGTCTCCTGCCCTTTGAACAAAATCTGAACTGGTATCCCCAAAACAGCTTCGTCAAACTGTCATATCACATGTTTCACAGCCCAGTACAGCAGATTCTTCTGAATCTGATAGTGAATGGGATGGTCAGAACACTGCTGGTGCTGATCATATCTCTATCCCAGGTCCTGGTGCATCTAAAGGAGAACTCCTGGAGGTAAGATGTATGCGCAATTCTGAGCATTTCTTAACTCAAATTTTATCCGCTCAGACACTCAAAATGTTGCAAGTTCAAATGCAAAAGCTTCAAGAAGAGAATAGGACAATCAAAGAGGAAAACAAAACTCTGCACACAGAGAAACCCAAGCAAAAATGGTGCACAGATGCTCATGACGAGCTCATCTGGACTCGCCAACTCCATTTGACAGCATTGAACAATATGCGACTGCATCTACTCAAGAGTCAGCATTTCTGGACGAGCTCTATCGTCACTTCCCCGAGTTGTTACACAAAGTGATGGAAAGTTCATACTTTAGCAATCTTGTAAGTGAACTCTCATTCCTGGACTTCTGCACGACATAATATGATTATTGTAGGTGATGAAATCCATCCCAGATGCTCGTGCTAATGAGATCAAGAAACTTCGGGGTGTTGCTGGCGACATTTTTGACCTCCTTTCAAAATACTTCACCAACACTAGCTATGATAGAGCTAATGTCCCTGAGATCCAACAACTCCTTGGGGTCACGTCTTCGACAAACCTGGCGTACAAAACATTCCCTCCGGTGCTATTCCCAGAGTTGAAAGAGGACAGATCACTCAAGACTGTCTTCGGAAACTGGCAACTGTTGGCATGAGTAAGTCTAGTGGTGCTCTCTAATTTGGCTGTCTGTCTCACCAGGAACACCCTCAGATTCTGAAAGCTTCATTGCGTGGTATCACATTCCTCCATCAAGCTTCCAGTGGTGGTGGTGCACATACCAACTCCATGAAATGGAGCGTTCAGCAAGTCATGCCGGGTTCCATCGCTTGGGCTGCAGTTTTCATAAGCTAGCCATATCATCCAAGTTTTATTGGCAGTCATGCTCACGCACTACTGCAGGCAATATTCTTACTGTCTCCTGACACTGAATTTTCGAGCACGGGTGTTGGCAAGAGGTCAACAATTAGCTACAGTGAACCACTAGCCAATGAAACACCACCAGCCAATGATACACTTGCTCTCCACACTCTAAATTGCAACCTCCTGGTCACAAACTTGCTTCCATATTATTCAGTGACATTGATACTCTTATGTCTAGTGATTTTGAGTGGAATCCACTGCTTGTTATGTTTTTATTTTACATGTTTTATGTCATGAAACACATATTTTGGTTCATCCACATTTTAATAAGCATATCACAGTAAAAATTGGCTAGTTAAAATAAATCTAATGACACAGATATCAAGTAGAACATTTTTCCAATCCATTGAATATTTTTTCAACTCATCAAAGTGAGATTTGGATGTGCTGCAGACAAAACAAAATGTTCTGGTGATGATACATTAAGGCTACCAAGACATATTTGGTAACCCCAGGCTAGGGTTTCCTAATGTGTATCATTGGCCAGTTTTGGCCTCAAACAGACCCCATCACTGTTTGCAGCACTGAGCTCACAAGGCTGCATAATTTTTCTTGAAAATTATGTGGTGGACTGTTTATATGTACTGCTATGAGGGAAAAATAAAACTAAGAAAATATATTGAAGTGTTGTGCTGTGACAATCAAAATTTCGTGTAGTGTACCATTGGCCAGTGGATGACTGTACAAGGATTTATTTTTCACCTACAAGAAAGTTCTAGTGACCAAGTGGAAGACGAAGCGCATTGTACAGATTGTAACTAATATCAACCACTACATCTTCAAAGCTGCACGACCTTCGGCCTTGGATTCTGCCATACATGAAGATTTCACAGATGCGATTGATCACACACTCGCAGTGCTTGACATGAAAAGTTCAGATGATGGATCAGAAACTGCGGCAGACGTAACAGGAACTCCCACACCTGCTGCTGCCTTGGAGAGACATGTCAATGCTCTGGCGTCTGAATCAATCTCACAGCCTAGCCTCTCCACACAGTGGCGGCACACTACAGAAGCTCTGCCTGGCCCCATTGTCGACAATGTAGCCACCAACGACGGCAATACTGCAGATTTGGAGGATGCTGCAACACCTGATGTTGCCAGTGTGCGAGCAGCCATCAGTTCATCAGGCAAGGTACTCCAGGAGGTGGCGAATGATCCAAGCAGTACTAGAGGGAGGTCCAAGAAGTCAAAAAACAGAGGGAGGAAGGTGGCCATGCTGGCGATGGCTTCTGATCGTACTACTCGGCAGACTCACAAATAGTCTTATGAATGGATCCTGCACCTACTTGTTGTATTAGCCCATCAGTTTACTTTGCTGTGCTTACTTGGACTCTGAATCATACTGTAACATTAGATTATGCAACTCTGTGGAATTGACAGAGTTATTGGATTCAGATTACAGTGATATGCAGAATCATCAGCTGCGCTCAGCGATTCAGACGGGAGTGCAAAGTATTACTATTACATAATAACTTGATGTAAAGGAGACCATACAAGGTCAAATACATAGTAATATCATTTCAACATGTGGCTTAGTGTTTAAACATGCTTTAAATTTCTTACAACCTTCATACATCTCAGATTCTGAATCTGTCAATGTTACTTCACCATGTAATACTTCACATTTGGATCCTTTGGCAAGTATTCAATCATTACAATCTCCTGTACATATGAGACTGACACTGAGCCACAGAATGGATTCAGAAATTTTCACCAAGACACTGAATCACTCTTAAGGTCAGTTCAGATTCTTTACCCTGCAGTAAAACTTCACCCTGGACCAACCAGCAGGCAAGCAGCTTGAGGATGGCCTGAATCTGACATCACTCTCAGACTACAACATCCAGAAGGAGTCCACTACCTTCACCCGGTCCTGCATCTCCATGGAGGCATGCAGATTTTTGTCAAGACCCTCACACCATGTTAGAGGTGGAGTCTTCTCGAAGGCAAGTCTAAGATCCAGGATAAGGAGTGTATCCCTACTGACCAATGGCATCTCATCTTCACTGGCAAGCAATTCGAAGACAGCCGTACCTTTTCCAACAACAACATTCTCCTTCACTCGGTCTTGCGTCTCCATGGAGGCATGCAAATTTTTGTCAAGATCCTCATGTCACATTGGAGACAGAGTCTTCTCGAAGGCAAAGACCCAGGAAAAGGACGTATCCCCCCTGACCAACATCATCTCATCTTTGCCAGCAAGCATCTCAAATATGGCAGTACCCTTTCCAACTACAACATTCAGAAGGAGTCTACCCTCCACCTCATTCACCGACTACAACATCCAGAAGGAGTCTATCCTTCACTCGGTCTTGCATCTCCGTGGAGGCATGCAAATCTTTGTCAAGATGCTCACAGGCAGTCTCCTTTCACCATCAATTCATGATGGCATATCCCCCCTTGCCAACAGCGTCTCATCTTCACCAGCAAGCAGCTCAAATAATACGGCCATACCCTTTCCAACTACAACATTCAGACCGCCCTTCTAATAATGCAGCTGATGCTGTCCCCCATGACCTTCAAACCCCAATGCCGGATAACTGTTTCCTGGTCTCCCTGGTGGTAATATTATTATGTATTAAGTCAATTTTTTTGCTCCTCGATATCCTTCTGGTTCTGATTGTCGGTATAGCCAGGAACATATTGCCATCACCATTACCGCCCTAGCCGTATTTTACAAGAGACCTAATAATTATAGATAAAAATTTGTACCGTAGGCTTGCAATCCAATAGTAAAATTTCAATGCTCTGATCATGGTCGTTATGTGTCGCAATGCCTGACAATGAGCTTGACAATGATGCTTGCAATAGTCATTTAAATGGGACAAAATGGGAGGTTTGAATGATTAATTCCATTTAAATAAAAACTACAATTGCATTCCAATTCCATCACAATTCCGTTGCAATTTGGTTGCAATCACCCTGAAATCACGACTCTATCATAGCAACCTATTTAAAGACACTCGCTGCATTTGAAAGTTGAAATCGGTTGCAAACCGTTGAAATACAAATAAGGAAGTCCTGACATACCACGTTCTTGACGCCCCCAACACCTACAAGTCACAACATTACCGCCCATGTTCATAATGAAGTCCTACAGTGTACTCAATATCCGATAATTATTGATTTGGGTGTCCGAACCTCAGGCCCCAGATGAATATAAATTGAACGTCATCAAGTCCCAAAATCCTCAGAGACAATCGCCTCCTTTACAGTGAGTCATTCTCAGACTTAAAGACTTGAGCAGCTTGAACATTGTATCCATTTCACATTTAGCTCTTCCTGGACGTGCCATAGCACCTTCGCCTATACACCACACAATCAAAGTTTTGACAGGTGGGTAGTTTCCTGGCACTGACGGTCACCACTAATGCATACACTACCATGAGGGATTCAGTTCACCTACCTCGCTATCCTTGCCGTCTTGCACACCAGGAACAGGGATGGCGGTCATGGTCCCAATCATGCTCAAGTTGAGCGCCTCCGTGGTGGCTTCATCCGCAGACATGCGCGCTTTGACAATTGTGTCTAGTGCAACCTTGTACACCATGATTTTAGATGAATCAGGCGGCACTGATCGTACCAACCTGGCAATGTCCTCAGGAGAAAATCGAGGCGATTCAACTTCGATAGTGGTGGCATACAGGGAATAACACGACAAGCAACTCAAACAAAGGCAAATACATGTGGTTTTGCTCTATCAACGTCAAATGGAAAACGTAAAGGCTTATCGATATCGCTGGTCCGGAAGACGCATCTGCGGTAAGAAAACTGGTGTGGAGGACGGACTCAGAGAGGCGGTTTGAAAGATTGTGGGAATAAAGCCGCCGCAGGCTTCGCTGTCGATGCAGTTGGAAACGGGGGTTCTGTTTAAGGTCAGGACTCGAACTCGTGCAGCTGTGACATCTGGCAATGAAGTTCTACTTATCAAATTGAAGGCACAAGCCACGTTGATGAATATTGAATGACGAACTCGGAACCACGAAAATCCACTTGCATCCTCTGTGGCTTATAATTTGGTTGGGTCAGCGTTACCACAAGCATTGCGTTTCATCCGGTGCCATAATGTGCAGTTATGTTCCTAGCTTGTCAGGCAACTGAGGATGACATTCTGAAATACCCAGCGCTCTCCAATAAAGAAATCACAAGCCTCGTGGCTATTTCTAACTTATCTCGAAGGCGTGTTCAGTCGGAGGTATTTTGGTTTCTTTCAATTTAGAGGGGACGGCGAAAGCAATGCCGTTGTTTCCCATTCAATGCTGATCTGCTGGAACTAGATACAAATATGTTACGCAAGGCACAGCTCGGCCCTTCTCAGCATCAGCATATTTTCCAAGAATTTTCATTGGAACCGCTAAGTCCTCTTCAGAACCTATGATATTAAGTAACTAGATGGAATACATCATCTGTACAATCCCGATTGCTACTCCTGAGTTATACTGCAGCAGTTCCAGCAGCCTGTAGTAGGGTTCGGGACGGGTGTCCACCCTGTCTTGCATCCACGGTTAGTATGGTAGCATGCATTCAAGCAGAACATTCCGTCTCCTTCATCGGTATCACTAAGAGCCTTCACCCCAGCGGCAGCGGCAAGGATGGCGAGGTAGGTGAACTGAATCTTCATGGTATCTAGTATATGCGTTAGTGATGACTCATCTGTCGGTGCCAGGAAACCACTCACCGTCGAAATTTTGATTGTGTAGTGTGCGCGAAGGCGCTATGCACGTCCAGGAAGAACTAAATGTGGAATAGATGAAATGTTCAAGTTGCTCAAGAAAGGAAGGATTACTCACTGTAAACGAGACGATTGTCTTTGAAGATTTTGGAACTTGACCACGTTCAATTTATATATGCACCTGAGGTTCGGACACTCAAATAAATGGATATTGGATACTGAGTACTGTAGGACCTAATTATATGAATACCGGCGGTAGTATTGTGGGCAGAACTGCCGAGTTCTGCCAGCCGGTTTGGCAGAACTTTGGCGCGTCAACAGGGTGGCAGAACTCCAGGCAGCAAGCCCAGAACCTAGTTTCCAGTAGCTGGCCTATAATAATGATACACACATATGAAAATCCAGTGGTTGGTGCCAGCCGGCAGAACTAGCTCTTCGTGGACGTGCCATAGCACCTTCGCATACACCACACAATCAAAATTTTGACAGGTGGGTAGTTTCCTGGCACTGACGGTCACCACTAATGCATATACTACCATGAGGATTCAGTTCACCTACCTCGCTATCCTTGCCGCTGCCGCTGGGGTAAAGGCAGCTCCGAGTCTTAGTGATACCGATCATGTATTCAAGTGCTTAGGGCCATGCAGTAACACCTGTGTGAAAGGGTACGCAGTCATCTACGACTATGGAACAGGGTGCAATCACTGCTGCACGTGGTGAGGAGTAGCCATTGGGGTTGTAAAGATGATGTATTTCATCTAGTTAGTACCTAGCATCATAGGTTCTGAAGAGGACTATACATGTTGCAGTAAGAAACAACTTTGAGGGTCACTCTCAGTCATAAGACATAAAACAGGTTCGTGGCCACTATGAACGAAACGAAACTCTCACTGGCAAACTTTTAATCTCACTAGTACTCACTCAAACCACGCAGGAGGCGATGACTTTTACGAATGGTACGTTTCGCGCTCGACTGGCAAGCGCCCTTTCCCTCATGTATCACGGGTTCCTCAGGCTTGGCCCAGGCACGATCTATATGGACACTAATCCAGGAAGGGGGACCGATCACATTCTTGAAGACATCCTTCTGCACTGCAGGTCGCTGCAAACGCTTGGTGGGGATCTCTAAGTTAGATATCACTGAACCGTTCGTGATATGCTGCTTGCAGGCTTCGGAGTTGACAAGCAAGATGTGGCTCGGCTACATATAATTGCAGCCCCTGGTCAGTGGAGCAGAACTATTTAGTTCTGCCCGACTATCTTCCTTCAATTGGGTGTTAGAGGAGACTAGTTCTGCCGGCACAACCCTTGCAACTCGAATGTCATATGTGTGTATTATTGCTATCTGTCAGCTACTGGAAACTAGGTTCTGGACTTGCTGCCTGGAGTTCTGCCAAGTTCTGCCACCCTTTTGATGCGGAGTTCTGTTACCATTTTGACGCGTCAAAATTCTGCCAAACCGGCTGGCAGAACTCGGCAGTTCTCCTCACAACAGTACCGCCGATGTCCATAACCAAATCCTGATATGAGATCCCAAACACTGCCCTCTCACCTCCTGGCAGCCCCTGACCCCTCTGATTCATTTGGATGTCCGAACCTCAGGTGCATATAAATTGAATATGGTCGAGTCCCGAAATCCTCACAGACAATCCCTTCGTTTACAGTGAGTAATCCTGAGACTTAAAGACTTGTACAACTTGATCATTGTATCCATTTCACATTTAGCTCTTCCTGGACGTGCTGTAGCGGCTTAGCGCACACCACACAATCAAAGTTTTGACGGGTGGGTAGTTTCCTGGAACTGACGGTCATCACTAACGCATATATACTAGATACCATGAAGATTCAGTTCACCTACCTCACCATTCTTGTTGCTGCCGCTGGGGTGAAGGCAGCTCTTGGTGATACAGATGAAGCAGGAGGACTCCAGTGCTTAGGGGCATGCTACAGGACTCCGTATCAGTGCCACGGCGGGTGGAAACCCACCTGGAACGGTGTCAGAAAATGCTATGACTGCTGCATTATAACTCAGGAGTAGCCATCGGGTTTGTACGGATGTATTTCATCTAGAATCGTTGTACAATATGCTGATGCTAAGAAGGGCGGAGCTGTACGTTGTTCACTATATCAAGCAAATATCAAGTATTATATTAGATACGACGCCACCTTGAGTATAGTTGAAGGATAAACGGCTGTCGATATGTCACCCGGAAGAGCCTCCCTCGAAGCGGAAGACTTCCTCGACGTCCTATTCATCAAATTATTCAACCAAAAATCCCCCGTCTACAAAACATCCAGATTCGGGGGCCATTGGTTTGGGCGTCATTGGTAGTCATCGGTAAGAACTGCCTTTACCCCCAACGGCAGCGGCAAGAATGGTGAGGTAGGTGAACTAAACAAGCTTCATGGTATCTATTACGACTATGCTTCAGTGATCACCATGAATGTAAAGAAACTCCAGACCACATATTTGATTGTGAGGTGCGCAAAGGTGCCATAAAAATTTCAACAAGAGCTATATGTTGATTCAGCGAATGCATATAATGTTGTGCATGAGGACTCACTGAAAACGAGGCGATTGTCTCTGAGGAATTTGGAACTCGACCGGGTATGTCAGTGGGGCTCTCTGGTCTCATCAATCGAAGCCTTGAATACTAGGAACACAGGCAGCATTCAAGTACGACACACGGGTACTTGTCAGAGGAATCGACGCCTCATCGGTATGGACATCGAAAACCAATGAACGACTGTTAACATGCCATGCTCAAGAGCCTTCCTATAAGCGGAAGACTTCCCCGACGTCCTGTACAATAGACTATTCAAGCAAAAGATCTTCAGTACACAAATCAAACTTACCGTCCACCAAGGGATCTGCTTCCCACTCCCTGACACATCGTCATTAAAGCTCTCCTGCATGGTATCTGTGAACCTCCACCACCTCTGCGTCTCCTCGTCATCCCCAATAGCTTTCATGTCTTTCTCAAAATCACTGCCCATATACTTGAAGTTTGCGATGAGCAAATTCAACGGCGGGTAATGGTTGATCGAGTAGTCCACAATGTGTGTCGTCTAAGAGTGTCCAGAGCGCCAGGCCAGATGTTCCTGTGCACCTCTTTGTACTCGTCCACGCATTCTGGGTCAATAAATCTTAATCTGTGATTGTGATGTAAGGTCGTCCTCTTTACCTCTAGTCGTTTGATATTGTCGAATAAACCCATGCCACGCACAGATTCGACATCCTCCTTTAAATCGCCGTATCGACCCCCTTCGTAGACACAGCATCAACCTGCGCATGTCATCCACGTGCATTCTCCTAATCATCCGCCTCAGCATCCTGAAGCTCCTACGACTAGCAGCCTTAGGCGCTCTCGAGCCCATTCTTGTCAGGGACGTATTTGAGAGGGCCGGTGGACCGCCGGGGCCCAATGCCACTGGGGTATCATCCCGAGTAATCGAGTCATGTCTCGGAGAGTATTTGTATTGATATTGATCTCCGGATGGATCTCGAAAGTGGATACCTGGGGGAGCTGTCACCTATTGCCTCGCCACTATCATCTTCGTCTGTCGAACGCTCCGTCTCCGCAACTGTGACTCGCCTCCTCGATATTTCGGGATCTGAATACAGATTGATATCGTGGTTTCGCATCGGAACTCTTGTTCCAAATGAAGCAGATGTTCGATTTATGGACCGCAGCTCTAAATCTATCGTGTAATAGTATTTGTCACCTCTTTCACTTGCGAGTTAACGGCTACAGAGACGGTGTCGATATGTGCCATGATGTCAGCAGACTGTAGCAAATTTATGAGGTAAACCTCTGGAAACACATCTCAGTGGGAGGTCATTTTATACAGAGAAATAGTCAGTGCTATAGAGACAACTGTATGGGTGGATCCCTCACCTTGCATTCGTAGTCGTAATCCATGGCAACTTGGCAAGTCTTGCGGAAACTTGAAAGTGTGGCAAGTAAGTTCCATATTAGGGTTTGTGTCAAGCAACGGAGTTCGAAAACTTGGCCTGGAAGGGGAGCACGCACCAAGGGATCGTAAGTCCACCAGTGAATTCAGTGATTGTTGGTGTGGAGGATGTGGACAGCACTATCTCAACAATCTTCGCAATGGATATCTCATTCATAAATCTCATACAAATTGTACAGCTTCGGCGGTATAAAATCAATATCACTTCAGTATTCACTGGATCTTGACCTTCTCAGTAACACCTGCACATGAAAAACCATCAGTACCACTCCAGAATAAAAACAACTGTTAAAACTCACTTCTCTTCCAGACAAGCCCAAAGTTCTTCGCAGTACGGGTGGTAAACATCCCCGCAAGAATAAGCGCACACAGCGCACGGGCGGACTCTGGGTCCAAGGGCTCGACTTTGTCGCTGACGCCCCCGAGGACGGTCGAAACCACGCTATGGAGCTCGGCCCAGAACGGCTGGGCGTGCGTGAGGAGGGCATAGAGCCCCGTGATGAAAGGCGCACACCAGAGGTCGGTGGTCGTCCAACCGTAGGGCTTCATCGCAGCAGGGGTCGTCAGTGTGAGCGGAGTGGGCTCGAGGAAGGAGAACATGCTGGTTATGAAGAAACCACCGTTGGCGATGACCTATGGTGGGGAAGGGGGTTAGAGATGTGGAGATGGGAATGGGAATGGGAAGGACGACATACGAGAGAAGATAGCAGGAGAGTCCATGGGGAGGATGCGATGGCGGGGGACGTGTGGGTGATGATGGGTGTGGGTATGAGGCTGCAGAGGAGTAATGCACGAGTGAATCCGTCGACGACGGATAATGGGAGCTCGGTGAGGAGTGACATGGACGGCATGACAGGCATATACTCTACGATCGCCTGAGCGACGATGTACACAGCGGGGGAAACACCTGAGAGTACGAAAGATGGCGGAACACCGAGTAGAGGGCCTGGACATGAGATGATCAGTATGCGCAGCCCTAGCAACCCCAGATTTTGAGGATAAGTAATAAAGTACCTATGATGGCCTCTCCTCCAAACTTAATCGTGAGTGCGGTAGATGCATCTCTTAGGAAGGACCTCTCCTCCACAGAAGCAACGCCAGCGCGGCGCTGATGCTTGACATGCAAATCCTCTCTGATCTGTCTCAAGATGGTGCAAAGCCGGAACGCGGCTACCACTTCGATAGAACAGACCTTGATACCAAACCAGCTGAAAGGTGCTATTGGCTCGAGAGCATATCGATACAAAGATATGAATGGCTGGAGAGACATGACGGGGTCAAGGAATGGTTGAGTTCAAGGTTGTGGGAGAAGACCTGAGGCTTCTCCTTCGGCTCAGCGCCTGAGATTCGAGAGGCCTGAGCGCGTTCCGGCACCGGGCATGAGCTGGCGGTCGGATTTCGGAACAGTCACGAGTGCAACAAGCTTTAAGCCACGTCATCCTCCAGCACACCGAACTTTTCATCACAATTCATTCTTGATTCATTTACAACATAGTACAAAGCCCCGGTCAACAGGATTTAGAGCAGCAAATACATATGCGCAATAATGATAGTCCAACCATAACCATAAGCAACGCAGAGGCGAGATTCGTGAAGGCCGTGGGATGTCGTGGATAGGAAGTCCAGTGGCAGGAATCCATGCAAGAACAGTTCGCCGAAACATAGTAAACAACCCGTAGTTCGTCTAAGCTCCCAATCGGACCTTCCAAACGAAACGTTCCTAGTTCACATTCGACGCAACGGCAACACCAGTACTGTCGTCGACCGGCCCAAACTTGATATCATCCAAGACGCCAAGCATGTTCATATCCCAGTTCTGGAAGTATAGTTGGACAGCGGGAAAGTCTGGACACTTCAAGAAAGGAGGAAGACCGTGGAACATGTGAGGTACGAGGGCGTATATGTTCATTTGCTCTTCCTCGGAAAGCCCGTTCCAGGAACAGAGTACCTGTTCCGTATGCAAAGTCATAGCACGAAGTATAAACGCACCTTTATACGCTGCTACAGGTTCATTTGACATGGCCCCTGGCACCGTCGGAAGCTCCATGAAGACGTTGATGGCGAAGTTGAAGTAGTTGAGCTCTTCAGCTGAGTAAATCATGTTGCCGAATTGAACCGGAGACGTGGCGACCACATTCGGGTGACGTCTGTTGGAGGTGTATGGCCTCCATGAATCTGAAATGCCGCGCTTAAGAGCCATGGACCATAGAGTGTCTTCAGGATTGTCTGGATTCTCGTAGTCCAATGGACTTTCTACGATAGGGATAACATGCAAGATTGCGCCATGCATGTGCCAATTTTGTACCTCTACATTGATAGAAAAGACTTCGCTTTGACGAATTATGACCACAGGAAGTGGCTCAGGGAACGCGTCCTTGTATATCTCGAGATGTCTTGGAAGCTGTTTCAAGAGCTCGATGGGATAGATCCTCGGACATATCGCATCGTTCGGGAAACACGGGTTGCGAGGGACTTTCGAATAATATAGGTAGGTAAGAGCGTCCTTGTAGTCACAGAAGTTGCTCATGAAACGAGCGTATGATCGAGTATCCGGCATGACGAAAAAGGGCCTTAGTTGATCTATTTCCATGTCCTGGAGGTCACAGAGCCTTCGGTAGATCATTTGTGGAATGATATTTTCCCAAGCAAAAGTTGGCATCGATACGTAGGAGAGGAATGGAGCTGAGACATTGGCTCGCAGGGCTGGCTCGTTCGATCCAATCGAAGTTGGGGTATAATCGGATGTTGGACGAACTTGCGGGAGCCAATCGGCACCAAGGGCATTCTGGCGTGCAAGCAGGACATCGATGTTAGCGGGCACGGGCCATGGTGCATATGCAACTTCCAGGGAACGGCGAGTTCGAGACATGTCAGCAAAAGGCTGCATAGGATTGATGTCGTTGGCTTCCTGTTCCAGAAGTTGCGCCAAGCCAGTATCAGTGAGATGGAAGTCAGGGACCTGCGGCGTTGCATTCAGCTTGCATGTCAGGCGGAACGGATGCCGAGAATGATCATACCTGTGTGAGGAAATTAAACGCCTTGGGATCGCACACGAGAGACTTGGGGGTGTAAGATACATTGGCGAGTTGCCAGGAATCAGGGCGCGCATTCTCATCAGCACCTGAAGAGGCAAGTGGTTCGGGATACGCATCAGTGAAGCTCTGTGGAAGAGAAGACACGGTCGTCGACTGGGAGGCGATGGTCGTGGACTGAATGTCACGCAGGACATTGTATGACATCAGGGGGTCATACTTGGACCCAGGAAATACGGGTGGCACAGGATAAAACTGCACGAGCTCCGAGTCAGTCTGTGGCTCGTCAGCCATGCTAATCTCAATAGAGTTGGATAGCTGCATGATGTGATGAGTAGTGAAGGGATGAAAGATGATAATGATGCAGAGGAAATGCCTACCAATATTTATATGCCATGGCTTGTGTCTAGACTCCACAGTGGAACTGCTTAAGTTGTGGACGAGTCGTAACTACAGAGTGGCCACCGCTAAGATACCTGAAGACATTACCATGTCAATAGTGTAACAAAGCATGGTACAATGGCAAAGCGGCTGTGATGGCCCTAAACCGGGAATGCGAGATGGTTCTTTCCAGCGATCCAACCCATGAGTGCGCTGGTTCAAGACTGTCCCCTCCAGAAAACTTGGTGTCCACATGTCCCTTGCGCCGAAAGGTGTAATCGGACTTGGAATAATCGGTCCTTGATAGGCCAGGGAAGCAATTCCGCAACCTGCAGGATCTGCCGAGTTAGTCGTAGGAGATCAGGACATGTCATCAGACGCGCTGTGGGTCGCGCTGCTCGCAAACCTTTTTGCCTTCTTGTCTTCAAATCGCAAGGGAATAACAGCAAACTCTCTCGTCCATAAAATATTTCATCATGATAGTGTCCAGCCCACAAATCAGAATACTATTAAGATGGAAGAGAAAGGTAACTATACACTCTGGAACAACACACACCCACCCGATTGCTACAGCAAAGGCTACAGTGACAAAACGTAACAGCATCTCTATCCACGCATCTAACAGCATTTGCTACCTGTTGCAGGTGCGGAAGAGTCAATTGCTACAGGAATGGTGTCACTAGTCGGTGCCCTGATCGGGTCAGAAGACTGTTCAAGCGACTTGCTCGAGACGATCCGGTAGATATCTAGGAACCCATCTCAGTGAGGGGTTCGTTTGATGCATAGAGCGAAAATAACCTGTAAGAATGGTTTGAAAAGCTGACTCGACATTTGATGCGTCCAGCGCCGAAGTCTCAATAAACGAAAGTTCGTTTTCCGCTGCAAAAAAAAACAGTCAATGAGTGATTCGGTAACAGTCGGGCCAAGCAAGAAATACCTGCGAAGGACTTTGCCTCCTCAGTGGGAACTGCTCTCAAGTGCTTCAAGTCGCTCTTATTTCCAACAAGCATGATAACAATGTTCGAGTCTGCGTGATCCCGGAGTTCTTTCAACCACCGCGTCACGTTGACGTACGTTGCATGTTTGGCGATGTCATACACCAACAGAGCACCGACAGCACCGCGGTAGTACCTGGGGAAACGTCAGCCTAAGTAATGCACAACGACTGCGGAGGGCGGCTGCGTACGCAGAGGTAATAGCACGGTAACGCTCTTGGCCTGCAGTATCCCATATCTGTGCCTTCACCGTCTTGGCATCAACATTGATCGAGCGGGTCGCGAACTCGACACCGATAGTAGATTTAGACTCTAGGTTGAACTCATTACGAGTGAATCTCGAGAGAACTGTATTTATGAGCGTCCGCGCGTCCCTCGACAAGTACACCATTCCTTACGATTTCTGTAGGCTACTGTGAGCTAGAAAGCGATAAACGGAACATGAAACATGCTTACGATTTGCCAACACCAGAGTCACCAATTAGAACAACCTATGATGCGGGACTTGTGTAAGCGCTGTGGAAACCCTCGAATGGGTGGACTACGGACCTTGAAGAGATAATCATATTCGGCGGCTGCCATGTCGAGTTGTCGGGAGCGTTGGGTGGTCAAAGAGCTCTATGTACGAAGGAGGTCGTTGAAAAGCACAAGCAGTGGTCGGAGTTCGAAACGTGACAGCAAGACTTGGAACAGTACTGTTCCCGAACTTGAAGTTCCCGCCGTACGTTCGTAACACTTTGACATGATCACCTTGGTCTCTGTTGTGTCTGATTGGAGACTGATAAGTATTTATTTTAGGTTGTTCCAGTCTTATACTTGCATGAGGCTGCGCGGGGACTATCTCTGTCCACTAGCAGATGTCATTTACATGGCTGTATCGACGGAGATGCACTGCCAGCTACAGCCTATACTTAATCTCAATTGCAGGCGTCTGATGCGCTCCTCCCTTTCATACACAACCACAGGGGGCTAATGCGTGATGCTTCGACATGTTTCACCTATCGCCGGGTCGACCATGTGGTCACGATGTTTAGTCGGTCTTATAAAGCTGTTAATGCTTCATTGCATTTGACATGAGGTTTATAGGGCCCTCCATGTCTGCTCCACATACCAAGCGTATTTGCCAGATCATAAAGGTGCGTACACACTCACGTTCTGCAATGATGAGCCACCGCCCCTGACCGTTCGCGACAACTCACCAGATTGCGTAGACAGGTACAAAGAGGTCCACAGGGACGTCTGACCTGGCGTTATGGACACTCTTAGAACAATACTATGTCGTGAAATACTCGATTGACCATCACCCGCCGCTGAATTTGCTCATCGCAAACTTCCAGCACACCGTGACTTTGAGAAAGACATAAAAGCTATTGGGGACGATGAGGAGACGCAGAGGTGGTGGTGGCTCATAGATAGCATGCAGGAGAGCTTTAATGACGGTGCGTCAGGGAGTGGGAAGGAGCCCTTGGTGGACAGTGAGTTCGATTTGTAGACTGAGGATGTTTTGCTTGAATAATCTATTGCTCAGGACGTCGAGGAAGGTTAATATGTTGATAGCCGTTTATTAGTCTTTGACGTCCGTACCGATGAGGCGTCGATTCCTCTGACAAGTAGTACTTGAATTCTACCTGCATGTGTCTAGTTTCATCAATTCGAGGCTTCAATTGGCGAGACCAGAAAACCCCAATGCAAAAACGTATCGCGAAGACAACAAAGTTTACTAGTCGACTTAAGCATCATGCGACACTTGCGTTCCACCCCTGCTCATACTTACGTCGTTATCGAATTCTGCGCGTGGTCACCTGAATTAATTTGGTTGTTTCCAGTCTCGTCAATTGAAGCACGTTGTGCTTCTGGCATCAAGGCTGCGGACCCCCAACATGGTGAACTTTCATAATCAACCGATTTTCATCATTTCAGCGCTAACAGCGAGATACTCATAAATTGAACCCGGTCGACAAAGTCCTCAGAGACGATTGCGGTGAGTCCTCATGCGCAAGATTATATGCATTTACTGAATCAACGTATAGTTCTTGTTAGAATCGCTATCGCACCTTCGCGCACCTCGCAATCAAAATTTTGGTCTTTTTTTGCATTCGTGGTGATCACTTAAGTATAATCATAATAGATATCATGAAGCTCGTTCAATTCGCTTACCTCGCCGACGATCGTTGGGGTAAAGGCGGCTCCTACCAATCTGCATATTTTATAGACGGGAGATTTTTTGCTTGAATAATCTGACGAACAGGACGTCGAGGAAGTCTTCGGCTTCAAGGGAGGCTCTTCGGGATGACATATTAACAGCCGTTGATCCTTTAACTATACCAATGGTGACGTGTCGTGTCTAATGTAATACTTGATCAGGACTGGCGACCAAGGCACAGCTCGGTCCTTCTCAGCATCAGCATATTTTCCAATGATTTTCATTGGAACCGCTATCTACTTGGCATCCACAGCGAGTCATGCATAGTCCTCTTCAGAACCTATGATAGTAGGTGACTAAATGAAATATTTCAACTTTACAAACCCGATGGCTACTCCTCATATTTAATGCAGCAGTCAAAGCATTGTCTTATCCAGATGTAGCTGGGTGACCAGCCTGGCGCGCACACAGTCGAAGTAGGGTAGCATGCCCCTAAGCAGTGCCAGGCTGCTTCTCCTTCATCGGTATCACTAAGAGTCGGAGCTGCCTTCACCCCAGCGGCAGCGGCCAGGATGGCCAGGTAGGTGAACTGGATTTTCATGGTATCTAGTATACACGTTAGTGATAACCGTCAGTGCCAGGAAAATACCCACCCGTCAAAAATTTGATTGTGTGGTGTACGCGAAGGTGTTATGGCACGTCCAGGAAGAACTAAATGTGAAATGGATACAATGATCAAGTTGCCCAAGTCTTTAAGTCTCGGGATGACTCACTGTAAACGAAGCGATTGTCTGTGAGGATTTTGGGACTTGACCACGTTCAATTTATATGCATCTGAGGTTCGGACACCCAAATGAATTGTTTGAATACTGAGTACTGTAGGATTTAGTTATGACTATCAGGGTCCGGCGGTACAGGACTCCCGAGTTCTGCCAGCCGGTTTGGCAGAACTTTGGCGCGTCGATGAGATGGTAGAACTATGCGTCAAGAGTGTGGCAGAACTCCGCGTCAAAAGGGTGGCAGAACTTCAACTTGGCAGAACTCCTGGCAATAAGCCTAGAACCTAGTTCCAGCTCAGAGAGTCCAGCTCAGAGATCTTAGCTGACCTATAGTAGTAAATAAGTATTACATGTTCGACTCCTAGAATATTGTCGTAACACCTCCCAACTTTGATGTGCGCGCATTGCACGAGTCAGTAAGCGCTATTTTGTTTAAAATTCCTACCGCTTGATTCACGTGCCCCCTCTACTTCCACGCGCAGCGCACATTTCTCGTGGAACGTGGCTATGCGCCAACACGACGACTCGAGCCTGAGGGTGGGTGGTATATTATGAAGTGTATAATACAGTAGAAATGCTCATAATGCATAATTTTAAAAAATCGAAAAATCCCTAGAAAATCATTCTCGACCACGCCAAACTATCCATTACATAATTATGTAATGTACACTGGTTGAAACAGCAAAACATATTTTTGACGTGTCATGCATTCACAACATCATTTCAATATTTAAACACATTTTCCCTGTATAGATAGACATCTCATGAATGCATCCATGTCATTTCTTTGAGGAAGGGCTCCGTGATTCGCCCGCAAGGGATGTCATTTGCGGGCTTTGTTACTGCTTGAAATACGCAAATAATTTCCTTATTGGGCTTTACATATTGATAACCCCGATGTGTTTAGACTTGTCGCGACGAAATTTGAAGGCACATCAAGGAACATAAGGCTGGAAAAGGAATTGGTGATGCGGGAGGACTCCCACGTCCCTTCCACTCACAGGTGGTGGACACTGGACACCTGCGACACGCCGACACCCCTCAAGCCCCCATCCACCTCGCAAGGACGCACGAACTGCATGCCCCATAGCCTTCGATAAGAGGGGCCTCCTTCATTCAGTTATGCAAGGCTCCTCGTAACTATAGGTAACTACAGGGTGTTATTTCATGCTTACTCGTCATTGCTCTCACTGACCGGGCCGACCTCTGGTCACGATGTTTGGTGGGTCTTATCTTAACGCCTTGTTACATTTGACCCGAGATTCATAGCTTCCTCCATGTCTGCTCCACATACCAAGCGCATTTGCCAGATCATCAAGGTGCGTACAAACTCTCACCTTCTGCAACAATTAGCTAACCCCCCTGACCATTCGTGACAGCTTAAACCAGAATGCTTAGACGAGTACAAAGAAGTCCACAGGAACGTCTGGCCTGGTGTTCTGGACACTCTCAGACGATACCATATCGCGGACTACTCGATCAACCATTACCCGCCGTTGAATTTGCTCATCGCAAACTTCAAGTATACGGGCAGTGATTTTGAGAAAGACATGAAAGCTATTGGGGACGACGAGGAGACGCAGAGGTGGTGGAGGCTCACAGATGCCATGCAGGAGAGCTTTAATGACGGTGCGTCAGGGAGCGGAAAGCAGATCCCTTGGTGGACGGTAAGTTTGATTTGTGGACTGAGGATTTTTTGCTTGAATAGTCTATTGTACAGGACGTCGGGGAAGTCTTCCGCTTATAGGAAGGCTCTTGAGCATGGCATGTTAACAGTCGTTTATTGGCCTTTGATGTCCATACAGATGAGGCGTCGATTCCTCTGACAAGTACCCGGGTGTCGTACTTGAATTCTGCCTGTATTCCTAGTCAATTCAAGGCTTCGATTGATGAGACCAGAGAGCCCCACTGACATCGCGAAGACAACAAAGTTTTACTAGTCGACTCAAGTATCATGCCACACTTGTGTCCCACCCTTGCTCATATTACGTCGTTCTTGAATTCTGCGCGTGTTCACTTTAATTAATTTGATCATTTCCAGTCTCGTTAATTGAAGCACCTTGTTCTTCTAGCATCAAAGCTGGCTAACGCCCAATAGGATGAACTTTCATTATCAACCGATTTTCATCATTTCAGCGCTAACAGCGAAATCGAACCCGGTCGAGTTCCAAATTCCTCAGAGACAATCGCCTCGTTTTCAGCGAGTCCTCATGCACAACATTATATGCATTCACTGAATCAACATATAGCTCTTGTTGAAATTTTTATGGCTCCTTTGCGCACCTCAATCAAATTTGTGGTCTGGAGTTTCTTTACATTCATGGTGATCACTGAAGCATAGTCGTAATAGATACCATGAAGCTTGTTTAGTTCACCTACCTCACCATTCTTGCCGCTGCCGTTGGGGGTAAAGGCAGTTCTTACCGATGACTACCAATGACGGCCAAACCAATGGCCCCCGAATCTGGATGTTTTGTAGACGGGGGATTTTCGGTTGAATAATTCGATGAATAGGACGTCGAGGAAGTCTTCCGCTTCGAGGGAGGCTCTTCCGGGTGACATATCGACAGCCGTTTATCCTTCAACTATACTCAAGGTGGCGTCGTATCTAATATAATACTTGATATTTGCTTGATATAGTGAACAACGCACAGCTCCGCCCTTCTCAACATCAGCATATTGTACAACGATTCTAGATGAAATACATCATCCGTACAAACCCAACGGCTACTCCTTAGTTATAATGCAGCAGTCCCAGCATCTTCTGACAGCGTTCCAGCCTGCGAGCCTCCCCTTCCCATGACCAATTTTTCCGATAATGGGCAAAAAAGAGGTCCCCTCACTATTTTGGACGTTGTGCTCGAGTGGTTGGATATTTTTCTCTAAAAATTCAGATCTGGAGTGTTGAGGTAGACTACTTGTCAGGAAAAATATGACAGAGTTGTTATTATGTGTTATATAGGTGTGGTACATAAATTTTCAATTTCGTGTCTCAAGTACCGATTGATAACTGTACCGATGGTGACGTCTCGTGTCTATTATAATACCAGATCCACCTACTGGTGAACAAGAATAGCTCGACCCTTCTCAGGCATCAGCATTTTCCAAGGGTTTTCATTGGAACCGCTATCTGCTTAGCATCCACACATGTACAGTCCTCTTCAGAACCTATGATACTAGGTAACTAGATAAAACACATCATCTGTACAAATCCGATGGTTACTCCTCAGATAATGCAGCAGTTCCAGCAATTTGTGTTAAGGTTTTGGACGGCTGTCCTGCCTTTTCCGCAATTAGGCTTTATATGGTAGCATGTCTCTGAGCAGGATACTGCTGCTTCATCGATAGTACTAAGAGCTGCCTGTACCCCAGTAGCAGCGACAAGAATGACGAGGTAGGTGAACTGAATCTTCATGGTATCTAGTATATGCGTTGGTGATGACCGTCAGTGCCACGAAACTACCCACCGTCAAAACTTTGATTGTGTGGTGTGCGCGAAGCCTAAGATGCTGTGGCACGTCCAGGAAGATGTGAAATAAATAGAATGATCAAGTTGCCCAAGTCTTTAAATCTCGAGATGACTCACTGTAAACGGGGCGATTGTCTCTGAGGATTTTGGGACTTGATGACGTTCAATTTATATGCATCTGAGGCCTGAGGTTTAGACACCCAAATCAATTGTAGGACTTCATTAATATTATGAACATAGGCGGTAATCACTGCGGAAACGAGAAATTGACCAGACCCTATCTGGACGTGGATAAGCCGTCTGCCTAGACACAATCCGTACCTAGTAGTCTATCTGTACACAAACTAGACTTGGGGAATTCGGACGTTGCAAATGTCAGACTTTGGAGAAAACCGGACGAACGGTTAGAGGCGACACGGTGTAAACAGACCCAAACTATACTTTAGACACATGTATTAACCAGCTAACCGCACATGTCCAAGCAGCGTTCCAAACTCGACGCTAACCAGGGTACAGGCATGCTCGAAGGTTATATCTGGACGTCGCGACAACCTAAGAGTCAAATCATGCCAAAAAATCGCTAAGTCCTTTCTTCTACTTACTTCACATCGTGCTCATGTTTGAAGAAAACATCATACGCCTCGAACTCCCTCTCAAGTACTCAAGTACCCAGAAACGATACGCATTACGTTTATTCCAGACGTACCCGGCCCCCTCGTACGTTTTTTTTACTTGCCATCGAAAAATTAGTGTCTCATGTTGCTAGACAATTGAAATCATACCATCCACTTGCACGACCACGAAATCTCCCGACATGCCCAAGGAAAAACGTATGTACATATATTTTATGTGTTAGATGTTGCTGATATGTTTATAGCGCTTCCCCAAAATTCGCGAACATTTATTGGTCCAGGAATCGATAACTCTCCTATGAAACCATCTGCCCCCACAAAATCCATCAGTAACGTCATTTTACGTCCTCCGACAACTCATATAGATGACTTTCCTGCCCCAGATGATAGCGTCACGGAGCCCGAGTCTGAAGTAGAGCAAGGATTTGTCGATGCAGCTGATAAGGTTCGTCCTCATACCTTACTACTTTCTGGCTGTTGATTTATTTTTTAGACCATTGTGAATACGAGCGCTGGTATCAAACGCCCAGGCAGTCCTCTCATTTCGGGCAAGCTCCGTACTACTAGATACTAGATGTTGTATATATGTGATTCTGCATGATTATATACCAGTTGCAACTTGTCAAAGCAGCGCGAAGATCATGCGAGTGCGACGAAAAAGTCATGTGACACAAAGATCTACAGCGACGCGCTTTGTCGCGTCGGCATCATACCATCAAACTAGTAATTCAAGCAACAACCATGGCCCACTCAGCCAGATGCTACTGTGATACTCACAAGTGCAGTGGTACACTTGTAGCAGTTCACACCAAAAAGTCTCATGAACGAGCCGATCTTCGCAGGAAGTCACAGAGCACCATCCACTCTGGACGCATCTTTCCCCACAAGATCACTCACCTGGAACCTGTACCATGCGAAAATCCAGCTCCTGCAGCTCTTGTTGCACCAATCTTTGATTTTCCAGACCCCCCTCCTGTCTCTCCATGTGCTGTTGAGCAGGAAATGCTCGATCATGGCATACTTACGCAGGAAGATATAGATATTCAAAATCACGGTCGTGCTCTTCCCAATCTTGGCCCAAATTTTCATACACCCGAGGCACTTCTCGATGCGGTTGACTTTTACGATACATATCATACTGTTACTGCAGCTGGCGTGCAGCCCCTGAATCGGTATCATGCCCATTCAATACCCAAGGACCCGGAGCAGCGTGCAATGGAACGAGAACTGGAGAAGGCATTGGATGAGGGAGTGCGAGGGATGGACACTAATGACGAAGAAGACATGGATGTCGATGTGGACATGGATATGGCTGATTTGAACCTCGATGAAGCCATGATGGATGACAAGGATTCACCCGATCCTTTCGAACCAGATGAGACGTTTTTTATGTCAAATGGCGCCTGTGCCATGTCGACTATTCAACCTCACCTCCTCACTATATATGCAGTCACTACGTGGCTGCATCTGCAATGGCACCTCCCTCGTGCTGCATGTAATGCACTTCTTTCTATTTTAGGTTGCCTGCTGCTGTTCGTGTCTCCTCAGCTCGAGATCCCATTCCGCACCCTGCAGTCAGCCACACGCGTGCTAGCACTCGATACTCCTTTTTACACCCTTCCTTGCTGCCCCACATGCCGAGAAGTATATCCGCCCGCAGGTTCTACGCACGAGCAAGATCACTGCATGACTTGCAATATCCCTCTTTTTCTACCTGATACCACCAAGCGCGGTTTTCTGCGAGCGAAGAAAATTCCATATGTTAAATACCCATATCTCCCTCTTTCAGTCCAAATTCAGTCCATCTTAATGATCCTGGGAGTTGAGGCAACACTTGATGGCTGGCGTTCAAAGCCACGAACACCCGGTCAATACACAGATATCTTCGATGGGAATGTGTGTCGCTTGAATCTTAAAGCGCCTGATGGGACACTTTTCTTTTCGAATAGCCCAAATGAACTTCAAGGTCCCAACAACGAGCTTCGCTTAGGCGTCAATCTAGGGATTGATTGGTGCTATGTATTGGCACATTTCTACTTACAAGATGTGCTCACATGCTCTATAGGTTCTCGTATATTCGCAGCAACATCGCACCCTCGCATTCGTCATGCCCCACATCATTTTCTATCTGTAACCTTCCCCCCAAGTACCGGTGAGTTGTACTACCTAACTATTGATTTTGCGTCGGAAACTAATGACCCACATCTCTTAGATATCGCACCTCAAACTTAATGTGTACAAGCATCCTACCAGGTCCAAAGGAACAGAACCCGGATCAAATCCAATGTTTCCTTCGACCAATTATATCAGATCTCTTACGGCTATGGAAGCATGGCATCAAGGTACCAACAGAATCGTGTCCAGAAGGTGAGTATTTTAAATCCACAGATCTATCCGAAGATTGGCTCATACTCTTATCAAGGTCGACTTGTTCGGGTTGCCCTTGTTGCCGTCGTTTGTGATAAGCCTGCCGCTCACAAGATTGGTGGTTTTGGATCGCATTCACACACTAATCTATGCACAGCCTGTTGGATCACGCAAGTGGATAAAGCACGAGCAGCAGCATTTGTGAAGGATGGTGATTTTTGAAGCTTGTAGCCCCAACGTTCGCATTAACCATCTATCACAGCATTTAAGGAACGGACAAATTTGGAACAGCGGGAGTTAGGAGAACAATACCGACAACTGACGACACCCACTGCACGCAAAAACTTTGTGAAGGACTTCGCGACATGCTATACCCAGCTTGCAAGGCTCCCGTACTTTGATTTAGTTAATCAGGTTGTGATCGATCCCATGCACAATCTCTTCCTGGGTATGTATCGTTTGATTTCTCAACTCATTGCTCGCTTATAACCCAACAGGACTTGTCAAAACTCATTTCTACAATATCTGGGTTCAAGGAAAAGTACTTCGTCCAAATCACGAACTAACCGCCTTTCATGAAATGCTTGCCAATGTGAGTTCACGCTTTCTTGTTTGATCTGCCTTATATCTTGTATAGTTCACTCTACCGAGCTCCTGCGGCAAGCTTCCTAAAGACATAGGAATGCCCTCTGGAGGATCGCTGACTGCAGATCAATGGCTCTTACTTTCGACTGTATACGGGCCAATAGTTGTAAGTTTTTCTCTGAGTCCTCTACCTAAAGATGCGTAACTGATATGAAATGTAGATACCTCAACTATGGAGTGCTTGTGCGCCGAGTGCTGATAGTAATCATATTCTGCAAGATCATGTTGCGCAGATTGAACGACTCAAAATGGAGAAGACTCGTCAGGCCGAGAAGAAAATTGTGGAACGAAGGGCACTCGAAGCAGCGAAAAAGCAAGGTAAAGAGGCTCACGCACTTGAGAAGGCTCGTATTGCCCGGGAGAAGGAATTGGAAGCTGCTGCAAAGAATGACACACGACTTAAAGCTGCTGCTGCAAAGCAAGTAGAAAAGGTTCGGATCGCTGCTGAGAAGAAGGCTGAGAAGGCACGCATCTCTGCAGAGAAAAAAGCAGCGAGACATCGCAAGAAGGTACATTGTTGATGCTGTTATTTCTTATACTTATCTACTCTATAGGGAACAGATGATGTTATCAAGGCACTCCCCTCCGAGTCTGTTGCAGCTGGCAAGGTCCCCCATGTGACTGATACCGGTGATGAGGAAGAAGAGCTCAAGTTCGGTCTGCATCCAGATGACCCTGCTAATTTTCTCAAGCTATCTGGTGCCCTTCGCATCCTGATGCATCATACTTTATCTGACACAGATATTGACTGTGCAGATACTCTCATCCGGCAATATGCTACCGAATTACTCAAGGTATGTCGTTGATCCATCTTATAGACTTATTTGAGCTCGTTATGGTCTAGCTTTATGGCTCAAACATTATCAAACCAAACCATCACTACGCCACACATATTGTAAGTTTCGTGCGCAACTTCGGACCACTCCACAACTTCTGGACTTTTCTTTTCGAGTGTCTTAATAAAGTTCTCAAGTCCTTCAAGACGAACAACCACGGAGATGGAGAACTTGAGACGACATTTTTCTCAGAGTTCCACCGAACGTGCGAGTCGAGTCACTTAGTACGTATCTCACTAGTACTTCGTTCAATCAACTTACTAAGGCATATTCATATCCTAGACATATGCGTTATTACAGATGCCCAAAGAGTCTCTGCCATGCGAAGTGGCAGAGCATATGCTTAAGGCTTCATCCGAAGAACGTGGTACGGTTGCCGCTCTTGCCGCTCTATCTACAGAGTTAGATGAGGTCAACGCTGACGGTAAGTAGTTCTTCTTTCTTATGCTTTGCTAACTTCTTCTATTTTATGTAGCCGGGCAGACTTATGCACTCAGCCCACGGCGTCAAAAGACCTCGATGACCCTGGAGACATGTCGCTTACTCGCCAAGACACTTTGTTTCCGTTCACCTCAGACCCCCGTGCACTGTTGATCAGACCGTCCTATTGTCCCTCATAGTGTTCCCCTCAATCGCGAGGCAACTTTCTTTGACTATGTGGTCATCAAAGGCAGGCGGTATTATGCATCTCGCACCGTTGGTTATAACTCCTCCTCCCTTGTGCATGCTATTATACCCCACTTGCATGGCGAAGGGAGTCATGATGCTTACGGAGAAGTACTTGAAGTGTTTCAGCTTGACCAAGATATTCATTTCACAGATTAATCAATGTGGTTTGCCCGTATGCGATGGTTTAAGCCATGGCACAGTGAGTCAAGTATGTGTTGGGATGACTTGTAAGCATTCACTTTGTTCTCGGATATGTTGCTTACATTGATTGATTTTCAGTGCGTCTGTGAGTGTCCGTCTTTGGGAACTAGAAGAGTATTGAGGGTCGGACACACAAATCCCGACCATCATAGACCTTGATTGCATACATGGACACCTGGCTCGCACAACGGTCTCGATCGGTGCATATCAGGTGAAGGTATGGGCCACTATCAACTTGGCCAAGGAAAGTTTCTCTTCACTCCGTGCATAGTTTGCTGAGACTGACTTTTGAGAACCACAGTAAATTTGCTTGCGATATATGTATAGCACCTTTGATAATAGCATCATAAATTGAACGAGTTCATTCGTGTTACCCTCTGTCTTACCACCAACAGACTCAATCCTCGGACATCAAGATTTTCATACTATTGGTGTTACCGTCTCTGCCGCCACTCCCACTGGTAACTCTCTTGTTCATTGCTACATCAGGTCTACGAGAGCTAATTCCCATTATCTTCTTCATCAGCGTACCACTCCGCAAGCTCATCAAGATATTTCTTGTCGTCTACCGCCAAGTCTCCCTCGTGAATGCTCCCGTTAAAATCCTTGAGCCACTCCGCTCCTTCAACTACCTTCACCTCCTTGTGTTTGTCTAACCATGCCGCATTTACCATTGTATTGAACAGAACTGTTGATTTGCCTGACTTCGGGAGACGAGAGCTCATCTGGGAGGGATGGGCCTCAAAGGTGGCCTTATGTACGTCCTTTGGCTTCGTTATCTTGCAGCACTTGGCTGAAGGCTCTGCAGGTCCATCCTGTTCCCCCCCTTTAATCTCACCAGACTTCCTACGCCTGTGAATCTCATCTAGGACCCGAAGGAACGCTATATACTATCAACCATAATTGTAAGTCAAGTTCTGATAATATCTGAAGTCTTACCGCTGATGATCTCCACTCCAACCCTATGACCTTTCGGCTTCCTTTGCCTTGACTCTGGTCCTTACGACGCTCTACTGAGTCAGGGCTCAGTTCACCCTCGTCATATGACACATAATCAGATCCGTAATCTGTATCGATTAGCGCTACTGATCCTTGATGCCCATAGGATTTTTCAAAGTCAGGAACAGCTTCACGACAATGGTTTGCAGCTTATTTTGTGTATTTGGTGAGTTATCATCAATCTACTCTAGATCTGTTCCCAACAACTTACAGTTTGACGTCTTCCTCGACGACAAGCGTTTTTTTGCTTAATGGTGAGCTTCTCTGTCTTCTCAGCCGATACGTGACTGGAGATTTGCTGACTGAGGTTTCGCCAGTATGATTTAGCAATTGTGCTAATGACGGTGCAGTCATAGTCTTCATCCTTCATCTCTCCCTTTTTCTTAACGTCATTTCGTAACGACTAGCAGGGGAATTAGCAGGGATCATCACAAAGTAAGTACTAGGTCCATACCGTTTCATTATCCCATACACGCTGAACCACTTCTGCAATATATAAAGAATTTACTTTATCATCAATTTTCCCCCCCCCAATGCGGCCTCCACACTTGTATTCCATCCACTGTCTCATATGCATCGCTGTTTTCAAGAGGTAAGCTCTGCGCAAGCAGCTCTGTTCGATCTGCGCGGGCAGTCTTCATATCTATTCCACACAGCTCGAAAAATATTGGTTGTATGATGGGCTACCATGGTCAGCATGCAGTATGTTGCGAATATTTGGTGTGTTGTTGCTTACTTTTAACGCAGGGTGTTGGTTGGATATATTCTTCTTGCCTGCTGTGCTCTTGGCCACACCTGATGCCGTCATTGCATCCAGCAACTCCTTCAGCATATTCTGGCCCTGCTGCGCATGTTCGTTCAACGCTTGCTGGTTTCCAAGGATGATCTGGTTGGAAGATTCAATGCCTGTGAGACGAGTGTTGAATTTCTGCATCTCGGTGAGTAACTGCTGAAAGCCGCTTTGAATCATATTATTCATCAAGTCGTTGCGTTGCGCAATAGGTGTATGTTGCATTGATTGGGTCAGGGGAACAGAGTATCCTTGGAGACTGGGATGGTCGCCCATCATGGGCGTAGCGGGGGGTACTGAATGCCCACGAGAGCCAGGGTCGCTGTAAGGTGTCATATGTGGATTGTATCCACCAGAAGGGGGTTGGTCGAACTGGTGAGAACGCATCTGATTTAATCCTGGTCCATTCTGCTGAGATCCCCCAAAGTCATACATTCCATGCCCTCCACCATGCCCTCCACCGAGTCCTTCACCATACAAACCTAGTCCCGATGGGTTGAAACCACTGTGGCGATTATTGGGCGCTGTGGCGATTATTGGGCGCTGTGTCGATGAAAGGATCATTGGGAACAAGTGTTATGACCAGCGTCCCTTAACCTAACTAGTAGGTGTCTGGAGTATGGATCACACCACAGGACTCAGTCTGTAGAGGGTAAAGCAAGGATAGATTTGAGAGGGAACGTCTAGGCCCTACGATAACGTAGAAACGAGGAGGTTAAGTCTAAGGAGTACTACTGACTACGACCTAAACTATATACTGCTCTCTAGGTGGAGATAGCTGAGTATGAAAGGTTGTGATATAACTATATACGGTCATAACATTGCACCTAGGGTATAGGGCGTCTTATCAACCAATCAACTACAAGAAGGAAAAGGGAAAAGGGTTCATAGGGTAAAGGGTATCGGTAATTAAGCAGGGTTCTCAGGGACTGCTTCTATTCAGGGTGGACGGAGATTAAGAAGGGTGAGAGAGTTCTGTGACTAGAAGTCTCGAGCGGTAATTAAGGATCTCGATTAGAGATGGGATCTGTGATCTAGATCTAAGGATCTAGATAGGATCTGGAGATGTATCGGGTGCGATCGGATGTAGGGGTTCTCCAGGGTCTTCGGTAATGAGCATGCTTCTCTATGAGCGATGCTTCTGTGATAAGGGTTCGGGGTTTAGCTGTGACTGTGCAACAGGTTCTAATGTAAGGGGTTCGGTGAATGACAGAGGTAACTCTTAACATGTCATGTGAAGGAAGTGAAGGTATGTGAAGGGGTGATGACTCTTCGAGAGATAGCTCGTAAAGGACTCTCGGTTATGGTTCGATCATAGAGGCATGTAGATGCTTATGATGTAACCCGTTGCCTAATCGTAGGACTTCTAAGGATGTGATGAATTCGTATGTCTAGGGTTACGGATATAGATGGATGACGTCGATGTAGTATAGATGTGATGTAGAGATAGTGATCGTTAATCGGTTATCCATCTTATCTTATCAGGGATCTATCTAATCTAATCTTATCGGATAAGGTGACTTAGGGTTTGATAATCGAAATTTAGATGCAGTTGGTAACATTCATGACAACAAGTGGGGATGATGGAACTGGGTGCGGATTGATGTTCTGAACCCCCTGAGCTGTACCAACAGGTTTTTCTGCAGGTGCTCCAGCGGCTCCGTCTGGACGGCACTGCATGCTTAATGTGTGCTGGAACATAACAGGAGGATGCGGGGACGGGGACGACGGGGACGACAGGCCTAGGGATATGTGAGGTTCATACAGAAGCACCTTTTGTTTACACGACTTCTTGCTTCTCGACCACACGAACCTTCCGCTCGTCCATTCACTGGTACTGCATGCTCTTCGCTAGCTTTCTGCTTGAGGTGCTGCTGCGTAGGAGGATCCGCCATGTATTCTTTTGTTGCTATCTGTATGCAATCTAGACTCGATCCATACTCAATCTATACTCTGTTCATACCTGTGGAGATATATATTCGATTCCTATCTACACACGACCTCGAGTATGGTTTGTCTGATGGACCTCAAGCTAGACGTTGGTTATTACATCTAACTACAGTACAGTTAGGGTCCGAATAGCGGACCCTTTCATACATGTTCTGGACCTAGACAGATGACCTTGCCTGTATCCAGTTTGTATATGGTTAACTGTTCTATTTGTACTCTATCTGGATACGGTCATTTTCTCGTTTCCGCAGTGATTAATGTTGTGAGGTGTTGGGGGCGTCAAGAACGTGCCAGTAGAACTCCGCGTTAAGAGCGTGGCAGAATTCCGCGCCCAGAGCGTGGCAGAACTCCGCATCAAGAGCGTGGCAGAACTCCGCGTTGCAAAACTCCTCGTTCGCTTCTCTAGTCACCAATATGTAACTTACAGTAGGTCCAATATATTTTCTAATTCCCGAGCCAAAGAAGCCTCGAATGGTATACTTGCGAAGGCAACAAAGTTCTTCATTGATGCAACCGTGCCATCATTGATACTGAAACACGGACACCGTTCGGACTACTTGGACAACCATTACCCGCCGCTAAATTTGCTCATCGCTCACTTCAAGTACACGGAGTTATCGAAGATCATCGAAGATGATGAGGAGACACGGAGGTGGTGGAGGCTCGCAGATAGAACGCATAAGAGCTGCGATATGAGCCGGAAGGAGATCCCTTGGTGGACGGTGAGTTGTGCTTTGTAGAATAATCTGATGGACAGGACGTCGAAGAAGTCTTCCGCTTCGAAGGAGGCTCTTAAGCATGACGCGATGACAGCCGTTTATTAGCCTTTGACTATACTGATGGCGACTTGTCGTGTCTATTATAATACCAGATACTCAGACTGGTGAAGAAGGCACAGCTCAGCCCTTCTCAGCATCAGCGTATTTTCCAACAAATTTCATTGGAACCGCTATCTACTTAGCATCCACACATGTATAGTCCTCTTCAGAACCTAATACCAGGTAACTAGATAAAATACATCATCTGTACAAATCTGATGGCTACTCCTCAGATAACGCAGCAGTCTGTCTGAAGGTCTCGGATTGGTGTCCAATCTTCCGCACAGCTAAACCGATTACCGTAGCATTTCGCTTCGCAGACTATTCCATCTCCTCCATCGGTATTACTAAGAGCTGTCTTCACCCCAGCGGCAAGGATAACGAGGTGGTGATCTGATCTTCATGGAATCTATCACATAAGTTAGTCCTGACCGTCAGCCCGAGTGCCAGGGCACTACCCACCGTCAAATCTTGATTGTGTGGTGTGCGCGAAGGCACTATGGCACGTCTAGGAAGAAAATGGATACAATGTTCGAGTTGCCCAAGTCTTGAAGTCTCAGGATTACGCACTGTAAACGAAGTAATTGTATCTGAGGATTTGGGGACTTTACCACGTTTAATTTATATGCACCTGCGGTTCGGACACCCAAATGAATCAGAGGGGCCAAAGGCTGCCAGTGGGGAGCGGCAGCCTCCGCGTGTGATATTATGTAAGCGAATTTCAGTGAGGTACGATGGTCAATAAGATCACAGGATGATACAGACATGCGTATGTGGTGAAAATTAAGTTGCAGAAGTATCAAAAGGAATTTTGGGTGAGCTGTAACGGTATAAGCATAGGAAATAAAATGGAGTTGTTGTGTATGAGCCATTCTCCTTGTCAGAGCCCCTAATGAAATCATGACACTTGCTAACACTGGATACCAATATAGAAGGGAGATAGAACTATAGAGCTGACCCCAATAGTTCAGTCCCACTAACTGGTGGCTGCAATATGTAGCCGAGCCACGTCTTGCCACGTCCGCGCTGTCGACTCTCAAATGTTCGTGCCCGGTGCTCGCCGCTGTGCGCGACAGCGAGCTCGAGTATCTCGCTAACAGGGGCACAGTAAAACGGCGGACATTGATATATAGTATAGATCATGTGTGAGCCAATGAACCTGTGATACGTGAGGGAATGAAAGCTTGCCGTTGAGCACGAAACGTACCATTCGTAAAGTCATTACCTCCTGCGTGGTTTGGGTGAGTAGAGTGAATAATAGGTCGCATAGAAGATGCCTTACGGTCACGGTGGTCGCGGACCTGTTAAGACTCGGACTGGCAGTGAACGATGACGTCGGGGAGGAGTTTCATGGAGACGTATTTGGATAATTCTGGAGTCATGACCTGACCATGGAGCCAGTAATTAACTTACCATGATACATAACCATCCGGTGGGGCAAGTATGCTTACGACACTTCCAATGTCCCTTTGGCGAATCGCATGCTTAAGATGACAGCGCCAAAAGCACTTAGCAAATACGCTAAAGCAGCTAACGAAGTATATTGTCAGATGCGGCCTTCATACAAAACTGGGGGCTGATCATCGCCATCGACCGTGACATGTTTTAGCTATCGTCGGGTCGACGATGCTTTGGTCGGTCTTATACAGATCTTAACGCCTCGTTACATTCGACGTGACGAGGTTCATAGCTTCTTCCATGTCTGCTCCACATACTAAGCATATTTGCCAGATCATACAGGTGCGTACAAACTCTCACCTTCTGCAATAATTGGCCAATCACCCTGACTGTTCGTGACAGCTCAAACTAGAATGCGCGGACGAGGTTCACAAGAATGTCTGGTGTTCTGGACGCTCTTAGATAATACCAGACCATGGACTACTCGATCGATTGTTGCCCGCTATTTGGTTATTACACGACCAGGAGATGCAGAGGCGGTGGAGGTTCACAGATGGAACACAGGAGTGCTCGGAGTGGGAAGGAGATCCCTTGGTGGATGGTGAGTTTGCTTTGTGACATCACACAAATTGCTCAGCCCAGACATGGTTATATCTGCGGTGTCGACTGTCAACAGTGTCAGGTCCAGTATCGAAATACCTGTGTGTGTCAGTAAAGAATGCTTGGTAGGACAGGAGAGCGAGCATAAAATTGTCAACTTCATAAGTGGATAGATTGCAATGTGACGCAATAGTACAACAACACAAAAGAAAGGCATGAAGGAAAGCAGAATGAATCCACAAACTTTGTGACTGATATATCCAGAGAGTAATGAGACCTCGGGAGTGCCAGAGTACGAGAGTCTAAAAATGAAGGCGTCAAACTGAGGGAGCGACGACATGAAGAGAATAGTATTGCACAAACAAGCTTCGTAGAGTTTGCGGGGTCCAGCCTTCACTGAATCACGTCATCGCCATCGTAACATGGTTTCTGCCAGAACCAACATATGCGAAAGCAGAAACGGATGCTAGCTCATCGGACTAGGAAGTATTGCAGAACTTTGTACCGGCAGGCTATCAGTATTACCGTAAAGCGGCAAAGATGAGTACTTGAATCCAGGATGCAAATCAAACTAAGTACTTACTCATATTGTTCAACTTCGTGCAACGCACGCCTGGTCGCATCATAATATAGAAGGAACGACTATCTTCATTTTATTTGGTCTGCAGGAGACTATGGTCGCATGCTATCTGGGATATATCGGAGGCAATGAGGGGGCAGTCGAAGCTTGACGTTTGTGTATCCACTTCTTTCACGCCTGGCTGCTCTCGAGGAGGTCGAAGCTAGCAGATCCGAGTCCTCCCCTGTAACTCGCATGGACTTTCATGACATCATACTCCACAAGTGCCGTTTTTTGATCTTGAACTTTCTCAATTCGACAACGCCGATTTTCCATATATACCACCATCTAATGGGGTCGTGACTAACCCCAGCGGCTCAGTGCAGACCAAAAATGCATCTATGACGCCCAGTAAACACCGTCTATGACGGGAGGAGTCGTGTTATCATCGAGGGCTTCTATGTTCAAGCATACAACGAGACTACAAAACTGCGTCGTAAGTACTTCAGTCATATTCTATGTATTCAAGTATTCGATATTTCCTCATTCCAAGGTCTCCATTGCTCGAGCGGCAGTGAAATTTATTCAGAAGTAAGCTCGTTGACCAACTTAGCAACAAACTACTAGTAACGCACGCGTTGTGCCATCAACCATACTGCACCAATGCGCAGAAACACGACTCACTATAGTTCACTGTCACGACATGTCATTTCTTTACACACACGAGGACGTCGAGCTACCACACCAATAAGTTATATAGTTAAATTCAGGATGAAAACTACTCATACTCACGAAAACATCTCTGCAGGTGTGCCCGGGACAGCAATCGGTATAAGTATAGCACCATGTAGGACACTTTTCACTGTCAGGGTCATTGGCAGGGATTGATGCTGCAGATATTGATGTTGTTAAAGCAGCAGCAACGGTGAGAACAAAGGATAAACGCATTGTTCGTGATGGTGCGATATGGGGTCAAATAAATCTGAAGGGGACAATAGGGGGGGCGGCCTACTTTTATGTGAAGAACCTACTCATCTGAAATCCACTTTCGAACAGATGATATCCGCAATGCCAGCGGATTGCCTTATGAAGCGGCGATTCGGTGTGAAAACCAATATCACCCTGCGAATATGCGAAGTAAGGTCAAGCTCGAACCCGCTGTTGAGAATCACACCCACCCACTTCGTGTAAAATTTTTGACGGTCCTTTCTGTGGCATTCGCAGTCGAGGGCCAACCTTCAGACTGAAAACGTGGCACGTAACTGCCCAGCCACATCTATAATACTTGGTCCTCAGACTAGTGAAAAAGGCACCGTGACGTTGCACAACTCGGCCCTTCTCAGGCCCATCAGCGTATTTTCCGATCATTTTCATTGCAGGGGCTTTCTACCTAGCATTCACACTGTACACATGTATAGTCCTCTTCAGAACCTATGATACTAGGTAGCTACTAGAGTACAAATCTAATGGCTACTCCTCAGAACATGCAGCAGTCCCAGCAGCCTACGGTAGAGGTAGAGTAATCGAAGGGTCTCCACCCGTCCGGGCAGCTAAACGGACTATCGCGGCATGCCCTAAGCAGACCTTTCCGTGACGTCCTTCATCGGTATTGCTAGGAGCTGCCTTCACCCCAGCGGCAGCGGCATAGATGGCGAGGTAGGTGAACTGAATCTTCACGATATCTAGTATATGTGTTACTACTACTTGAGGTGCTAACCGTCAGTGCCAGGCAACTACCTACCTGTCAAAATTTTGATTCTGTGGTGCAGGCGAAGGTGCTACGGCACGTCCAGGAAGAGCTAAATGTGAAATGGATACAATGATTAATTTACCCAAGTCTTCAAGTCTCAGGATTACTCACTGTAGACGAGGCAATTATCTCCGAGGATTCTGGATCTTGACCACGTTCGATTTGCATACTACTGAGGTTCCCACATATGACGAAGACCTAAATGAATAATTATTAGATACTAAGGGGCCAGGAGGAGCCAGGAGGCCTGTGAGAGGGCTGTGTCTAGGATCTGATACCAGGACCTAATCATGAAAAATGGCAGTAGTACTATGCACAGGACTGCCGGGTTCTCCCAGCCGGCCTGGAAGACCCTCGCGCCAAGAGGGCGGCTTGGCAGAACCGGCTCGAAACCCGTCCCCACCACGCTTCCCGACTGCACGTCCAACGTATATGACCAGGCCCCAGTGTCATATTGATGCAAGATTTTGCTGCAATTGCAGGGATGCTAGTGATGCATCATCGCTGCAGTACTTTGGTGGATCACCTAATGCATCATTGATGCCATCACCAATAGGTATGGGAACTTCGTCACTACACCCAAAACATAACCATTTCCGGTCATCTCCTGGATAAAGTTGCCGTGGTGTGGTTCAGGACCGGTTCGAGATACGACTGCCCGAACCCGCACCCAAACCTGTTCATGATATCTTAAGACTGTCGAACCCGAACATTAGCCAACGGTTCGGTCAAGAACCAGTTCTATATGGTGCTGTTCAGGTGCGAACCGGTTCGAACTTTTTTTACTACCAAAAAATGAAAAAAAAAATAGGAATTATAGCTATTTTGCACCCAACCGCACTTCATCTACAGCGTCGTCGAGCCAACATTGTCTCCGTGCAGCTTCTTTGGCTCCCATTTCAGCTTCACGGTGTCTCCTCTCCTTCTTGTACTTATTCTTTACAATTTGAATATCACCGAAGTTTTCTGGAAGTAAACGTGCACGACGTTTACTATCTG